CTATATTATATCTAGATCTATCTTACCTAGGTTAGTTATATAGGTATAGGTAATAGGAGTTTCGCGCTTCTTTTTATAGTTAGCGCGTTAATTAAAGTTATTCTTATAAGAAGGGTTTTAGTTTCCTCTTCCTTATTTCTTTTCTTAGCGTCGCGTATACTATCTATCGTCGATTTATATTACTATAGTAATATAGTTTAAGAGGTTATTAGGTCGATTTTCCTTATAGAGTTCGTCCTTAACTTCTTCTTTAAGCCTATTATAAAATCGTAATATAAGAGGTTCGTTATCTTAATTAAGCTTTAAGGTAACTTATTAAAACTTTATAGTATAATTTAATACTAAGATCCTTTATTAAAGTTCTTAAAGTTTTTATTTAGCTTCTTATTCTTTATTAGTTATTCTAAATACCTTTATAATAACTTCTTTAAATCCTTAGAAACTAATAAAGACTTCGTTTATCTTATTATCTTATCGCGCTAGTTAGTTATTAAGAAAGTCCTTTATAATAAGTCTAAACTAAGTAAGTACTATTTTAAATAAATAATTTCCTATATAGAGTACCTTTTTAACTAAGTCTAAGAGTTTAGTAAGGTAAAACTAATAGTAGGCCTTAAGTTAAGTAAGAAAGTCTCGAAGTATACTATAAGTACCGTTAAATAGTTTTAGCTATTTTAGTTTAACTACTTCTCTAAGGTCCCTAACTTATTTATTACCTCCTTTATTACTAAGTAACTATACCTTATATTAAAGGGCGATAATTTTATATATTATATCCTAAGGCGATATAGTAGCTCTAGAGTTAGTTAATCTAGCTTACTATATAAGTATATTAATAGTTATAATATTGCTTAAAGTAACGCGGTATTATACTAAATAAGAGCTTTTAATATATAATAACTAGTATTATTTTTAAGGGATAAACCTATCGAGGGGTTTATATTAGTAGATATAATAGGGCGTAGTCTAAGTAATAATAAGTATATTACGTTAGTAATAAGTTAGAGGTTATAGACTATAGACTATAACTAGGTAATTAAAATTAAAGATAGAATTATAATAAAGATTTATATTAAAAGCTAGAGAGCTATCTATTTAAAGGAGTAAAAGTAGGTAGCTATATATACCTATAGAGACTATCCTTAGATTACGGTCCTAGCCGTAATCCCCTTTATAGCTTACTATAGCTTACTTATAAGCTATACTCTTAAATAGTAATCTATCTATATAAGGCTTACTTAGCTTATATACGCTTTAGGTAAGCTAAGCTTAAGTAACTTCTCGTCTTAATTATTATTCCGAGCCGCCTTATTACGTAAACGAGGCCGGCTCTCCTACGGCCCGCTAACTATAGTCGTAATACTATTAATATTCGTATTTAAAGGAGGTTAGTTATACTAGTATTCTTAAGAGGTCTTAGCTAGTATTCTAAGCTAGCTCTATTTCTTCGATTCTTAATTATACGATAACCGGCGACCTATTTAATATATAATAATATATAAAATAATAAGCGATTCTTACTCTATAATATAGGATTTTATCTATAATTAATATACTACTTATTAGCTTATATAATCGGGAGAGTATATTATAGCTACTTTATTTATAGTAGGAATACTATTCCTTATAAATTAAGACTTTATTACCTCCTTAAAGGGCTAGATAAGTAATACTATTGCTATTTAATAGCTAAAGTAGGTTTTTATCCTTTAAATAAGTTACTATAAGTAAGGTAATACTCTTATTATTATTAATAGCTATATAAGTTATTAAGCTAATAATTTTATATATAAATAATTCTAGAATAATATATATCTCTTTTTCTTACTATTATACTCCTTATATATCCTTTAACTACTTAATATCTCGGTTTTCTTACCTATTAAGGCTATATACTAATATTAACTTACTAAATAGCGCTATATCGTTAAAAGATATAATTTTCTTAAGGCTACCTTCCTTTATATCTACTATAAAGCCCGGTAGGCTAGCCTAACTAAAAAGAATATTAAGGGAGGTTAGCGTAAGTTTAGTTTATAGCTAATTAATATAGTAAAGCCTTTATTAAGCCGCTTTATCTTACTATAGCTATTAACGCTATTAACGCTATTAAAAAGAAAGAATATTAGCTCCTTAGTTAATAATAATGCCCTTAAAACGCTTAAACGATTATAAGAAGTTCGCCGCCTTATTATAAGGCTAGAAAATCGCGGTTAAGTTAACTATATAATCTAACTACTCTTTAATAAAGTTAGCCGCGCCCTTAATAATTAAAATTAGTAGCTTATAGCTACCTAGCTTCGAATATAATAGCTTAAGTATTAATTATATCGTTTATAGCCTCGAAAATAGAAAAAGGTTCTATAGGATCCTAATAGCCGGTTCGTACGGATTAATTAAGTTATTAAGATAAGGCAGCGGCTCGAGCGCATTCTCGAGCCGGCTGCTATTACCGCAGCTAATTAGGACGTAGATTTTAAAGCTCTATATAGTAGCTAGTAGCTTGAATAGCTAGAAAACACTATAATTAACTATCGTAACGTTAAAATGCGGCTTTAATTACTATTAGAATGTGCCTGCCTGGGTGTTGTGGAGAGTGCCGGTGTTAGGGTGTGCCGGACTTTAGGTGGGCTGACTTACCTTGCACCTGTAGACGTGGAATGTACCTCGCCTACTTGTCACCCATGCGTGACATTCGAGACGACTTCTCCGACAGAACTGCCGTTGAAGCCATTGACAGTCTAACAAAATATCAAAGTACTTATAAGAAAACGGTTAAAAGATGTATTGTTTTCGGTCTGAGCTGTAAATTATAGATAGCGTAGGCAATTAGTAAGACATTAGTGTACAATTTTACATTCTCACTTTATTCAGGACCCACTTGTTGTTGTTTCTCCTAATTCCTCGTGGTAGTTATTTTGCTCCACCTCCTCTTTTCGTATTTCTGGTGGTTGTTTTTTTCTCGCGTGCTACGAGGCAGTACACGTGGTTCGCACCCGACCCGGTCAGCGGCACGTTGTACAGAAGACAACTAGTGCGACCTCTCAACCCTGCCGACGAATCCTCATTTCCTCGCGATTTTCGCCTCGTCAATCCACCCCGCTTCCCACACCCTTCTGGAGCTCTGGACAGACGCTCGGCCTAGCCGTTTTCTCGAGTCCTCTGCTCCCGCCTTGCGCGCCCACGTCCTGTCGGGTTTCATATTTGCTCTTGCCTACCCCAGGGCTGCAGCTGCAGCCAGCAGCATCGTCAGGCCGCAAGCCAGCGTGACTCGGACAGTCGAGCGGGTGACATCTTCGTTTCGAGGCTGTCGGTTCTTTGATCGCAAGCACCTGCCAAAGGGTGCTCCTCACTATCTAATACCTGCGTCGGTTCTACAGACGTCAGCCCAGCCCCAGATGCTTATCATCTCGCCCACGCCGTCAGCCATGCGTTGAGCGGCAGGCTGCAAGTGATTGCTGACCTGCCAGCTTCCTTACCGTCCCCCTCTCCTCGCCTCTCTTATTCCTCAGCTCGTTTCGTCGCTCGACATGATACCTGCTCTCCAGATGCATTCTCGTCCGGTACCTCCGCTTCCGACCTTCGGTGCTTTCGCCGGAACCCTTCCTATCCGTGATCGTGATCTCAACAACGCCGCCGACGCCGCTCCGCCCCGTTCTCGCCAGTCGCAAGATTTTCCACCGCCGTACCGGCGCTGTCTTCCCATTCGAGTATCTCAATCGCACCTACCTCAGCAAGTCCCAACAGCACAAGTTCCGCTACCGCCCACCGAGCATAGGCTTCGCCGAAAGACCCCGAATGGGACCGTTGACGCGGGCTATGATGGCTCTCCGAGTCAACTTTCTTCTGGTCCGCCTCCCTTGAAGCACATGATAATCGCCGCCTCGGCCGGCTTCGAGCCTCTCGCTACGCTCGACGTACCGTCTCGCCCGCTCGGCCATGCTTGGCCAGGCTGTCTACTTGCTTCTGAGCACGCCCAGGATGCCGCAGTACAAGCCAACAGCCTGCCGGCCTCGCTCTGGCCCTCGATCGCTCGAAGGTTGACGCCCCACTTCGGCTCGTTGCAGACTCCCTCAAGCGACCATCCACCAGGGGCCCTTGGCATTCATCGTGAGCCTCCACACTTCGGCTTGAATATGTACCAGCCGGTTCTACGAGCAAACGAGTACAATGTACGTGCCATGTGTCCTCCTCCGTTACCGATGGGCGGGTACTTTCCACTCGGCCACACTGTCTGGCAACAGGGCTCCTTGCCATGGGACTACAGGACCCCTAAGCACTCCCAGGCCTACGCGTTGAGCTACGGTCCACCTGATCATAACTCCATCGGCCGTCCCGTGCTCTGTCATCTGGTGGAACAACTCTCTCCCGGCTCCCTCGACTGTATGCGATCTCCCGACAGTGTCCGCCATGTTGAGCCTACAGCCGCCGACTCTCCAGCTCGGGACAAAATCTTGGGCCCAAATGCACCAGCACCCTACATGCGGCGCGTACCTGGACGGATCGGCCAGTCTGGCTTCAAGGAGAAAACTTTGGCCCATGCTCATCAATGCTATCTCGATCTACTAGCATTCCTCCAGGCGAACGGGAGAGCCAATGCTCTAAAAACGAACTCTGGACCCGGAACCACGTATAGGCTTCCAGCATACCCTAAACCACGGAAAACCGGGCCCGGGCCCTCACAAAGCTCCCGTGGAAGCGGCCTTGTGGACGGCGGCGCATCTCTACTTAAAGATGGCGCAATAGGCAGCCGACCCTCAGGCGACTTTTTCACGACGGGGCTTGAAGGTCAATACGGCTCTCACCCGCATCATCCACCCCTATCCGGATCTGGCCAGCTCGATGTGACAAACGACAAGCAGTATATTGCCCCAGGCTCTGCTGCGTTGCTAATCAACACCCCTTCAGTCGTTCGAGCCACACCTTTGAACAATGCCGTATCTTCGCTAGAGGTCCTCAACAGCCTTTGCGAGCAAAGCGGCTGGAAGTGGCTGGATGGAATGTTACTGGGAGGCTGCCTTCACTATGGACTAGAGCACTATGAAGTGGCCCTGGAATGGTTCTCGAGGATCCTAGAGATAGACTCGAGGTAACAGCCGTCGCAGGTCGTCTTGAAGTGGACGTTTGGTTATCTGACCATTTTCACAGTCATGTCGAGGCTATTACTAATATGGCCGCCACCATGTTTTGCCTCAGTCGACAGGCCGAAGCTGAACAGCTTTGGCTCAGGGCGGTCAAGCTACGTCCCAGCTACCTAGAGGCTACTGAGCATCTGGTGGGCCTCTTGTACAAGAGGCGGAGTAGAGAGGCCGTCGAGGTCATCTCCTATGTACAGCGAGCCTTGAGGATCTCATTGCCGAGAGGCCATGAATGTGGCCATGCAGAAGGCCGGGATCATGATCTAAGCGGGTATGCGCTGCCGGCAAGCGAGAATGCCAGGATACTCGCCCTCGTCCATGCCAAAGGAACGATGCTCTACAGTTTGAAAGATGTTGAGAAAGCTTCCGAAGCGTTTGAGGAGGCCGTGTTGATCAGTGTTGGACGGCGGCTGGACGGCATACAGGATCTGATACGACGCGTTCAGGCTGTCTTGTCGCCCGCGGACCCCAACTCGGCCTCGGCTGGCTCCGAAGATCGAGCATTGCGCCCCCTTATGTTGCCACCGGAAAGGGCTCGACGCACGGCTCAGCTCGTGTTTAGCGGGGGCGGCGAGCTGCCTGGTCTCCTTTTCGTACGGAATGCGGTTTCGAAACGGGCAGCGATACAGACAACCAGCAACTCACTTCTTTCGCTTGCCAAGATTTTCCAAGACGCCATGTCTAGTGGCAGCGCGACTTCACGCACGCCGTCAAGTGTTGGCGACATTCTGGCTCTCTACTACCTTTCGCTCTCTCTCCAAGAGAGCCCCTCCACGGCGAATAACGTCGGCATTCTGCTTGCCGGGATTCAGCAGACGGCGCTGTGGACGTCCAAGACATTCGTGAGAGACTTTCCTCAAGCAAGCCTGCCGGGCATCACCCCGGGGAGTGGCATGGCCCTCGCCCTGGCGTATTACAACTATGGCTTGCGGCTGGACTCAAAGCATGTCCATCTACACACTAATCTTGGCAGCCTCCTGAAGGACATTGGCCAGTTGGATCTCGCGATACAGATGTACGAGCGCGCCGTCTCGTGCGACGGAACATTCGACATTGCCTTGACAAACCTTGCCAACGCAGTCAAGGACAAGGGCCGAATCAACGATGCCATCGCATACTATCGTCGTGCCGTGACCTCGAATCCAGATTTTGCCGAGGCGGTGTGTGGCCTTTTTACGGCACTCAACTCCGTCTGCAGCTGGCGGGGCCGCGGCGGGGTGATGCTGGCTTCGGGCAGATACGACCGATGGCATGTTGACGACGAAGGGAAACTTGTCGACGCCCGGGCGAGTTGCAGTGGGGGCGGCCTGGCCGGGCGCGTTGTGGACATTGTGGCCCAGCAACTCAGGGATGCCTCGCGCTGGGGTCAGCATGCGCTCCAGGGACCAGTTGTCGGTGCTTTGGTTGAGCAGCTCAAGCATCTCTGCGAAGACGAGTCCTTTCAGCTAGACGAGGCGATTCGGCAATGGGCGGGAAAGCCTTGGGAAGGGTCACGAGTAATACGCCTGGTGGAGCGAGCTACACGGGTGGCTCTCCGCAGATGGTATTTGGACCTCTACGTCGATGGCGCAGGATCGAAATCGCCGTACGCCAGGGCACAACCACCTCCCAATCTGACGGTCCCCGCCGCACCGACTGTCCTCCCTTTCCATACCTTCACTTGCCCGCTATCTGCCAGCGACATACGGGCGATATCTCAGCGTAATGCGATGCGGATATCCTGTTCCACTCTGCGATCGCCCTGGCTCCCGGCCACGGTGTACCCGCCGCCGCCGCCGCCGAAACCTCAGCTGAACGTTGGTTACATATCTTCAGACTTCAACAACCATCCCCTGGCTCACTTGTAGGCGTAACCCTTTCTGCTGCGTCTTGCGGCGCCTGCTCATGGGTTAACCTTTTATCCAACATAGGATGCAATCAGTCTTCGGCCTTCACAACCCGATGCGTGTCCGGGCGATCTGCTATGCCACAACGCCCAGCGACAGGTCCGTTCACAGGCAGCAGATTGAGAGAGAAGCTCCCGTGTTTCGTGATGTCAGCAACTGGTCGCCGGACAAACTGATTGAGCAAATTACCCGAGACCATGTGCATATTTTGGTTAACCTCAACGGCTATACCAGAGGGGCCCGGAATGAGGTCTTTGCTGCCAGGCCGGCACCGATTCAAATGTCCTTTATGGGTTTTGCGGGCAGCCTGGGGGCCGAATGGTGTGACTACATACTGGCGGACACGACGGCCATTCCCCCTTCGACACTGCGTCCGTGGCGCAGCAACGTCAGGATCGAGGACGTGTTCCACGACAGCACGGAAGGTGGCGAAGGTGAATGGATGTACTCTGAGAATATCATCTTTTGCCGCGACACCTTTTTCTGCTGCGATCATGCGCAGTCGTGCGCAAGCAGTGAGAAGGAAATTACATGGGAAGAAGAGAAGCGCCGGAGGTGGAGCATGCGCAGGGAGCTCTTTCCGAGCATAGCAGATGAGGTCGTCATCATGGGTAACTTCAATCAGTTATACAAGGTGAGCCTCGGCCGCGAATCGCCGGCCACGGTGGCATAAAAAGCTGACGCCTGACGGCACTCGTCAAATGATAGATTGAGCCGACAACGTTTCGGTCATGGCTCCGGATCTTGTCGCGGGTTTCGAATGCCGTGCTTTGGCTCCTTCGTTTCCCCGAACCTGGCGAAAGCAACCTGCGGGCGACGGCCGAGGCGTGGGCAGGATCCGAAGTTGCGAGCCGCCTCATCTTCACCGACGTTGCTCCGAAGAATCAGCACATTTCGCGCGCCCGAGTGTGCGACCTCTTCCTTGACACACCCGAATGCAATGCTCATACAACAGCTGCAGACGTGTTGTGGTCCAGCACGCCGCTGCTGACTCTCCCGCGCTACCCTTTCAAGATGTGCTCGCGCATGGCTGCTTCGGTACTGCGCGGGGCCCTACCACAGTCAGCCGAGGGTCGCCAGGTGGGGCGGGAATTGATTGCAGAGGACGAGGCGCAATACGAACAGATGGCGGTGGAGCTAGCGGGCAACCTGGCTTATGTGGACATGGGCGAGGAGGGGCTCAAGGAGGGCCGAGGCAGACTGGCAGAGATACGCCAGCTTCTGTGGGATTGCAAATGGCGCTGCGGGCTGTTCAACACACGACGTTGGGTGGAGGATGTCGAAGGTGCATACGAGGAGTCGTGGCGGCGATGGGTGGATGGGGTAGGAGGCGACATATACCTGTGAGCCCAGGGACGTAGGCAGGGTGACGGCGGAAGAAGGTCCGGCGGCCACGACGACAGCAATGATGACGACGACCAAAGGGGATATGACGACGACGACTAGCCTGCCGCATTGTGCTGCGGAACCGACTGCGAGTGCACGCCTCGTTAGGACGGAGAGACTGTGTAACAATGCCACAACGTGCCCGTTACCTGAAGCCGGCCTCGCTCCGTGCCCATGGTGCCTCAGCCTCGCAGGGATTATTCGCCCAGCCCGCCTCTTGTCGACGCGGGAGAGTGAGTGGCTGAGGCGCATGGCTAGCTGGGCTGTTTCCTGACAGCCAGTGAGCATTCTAGGAAGATGAAGGCGGGACGATGCGGAGTGCGGGATCCGAGCTGGGTAGTTGCAAAAGGAGTGCAAACATCTACAGTACATGCAGCAGGGGCAGCAGATGCGGCGGAGCTCCGAGAACCGACGACGTGGCTGTGGTGTGTGGGCCCTTGCGACCGAGTATATTCGGGAGCGACCAGGGAGCCCCGGTCGTCTTGGCGCGGTTGACAGCAGGGCATGCACGATACTTGGGCACCAAGTGTCGTTGGCGTGGAGCAGCTCGTTAGGGAATACGCACGTACAGTACATGAATTAGACACTGGGGCACATGCATCCCAATACGGTGCAGCATCGGCACAGGCAAGCCCGTGGCTGATGCAATCACATTGTGCACTGAACATGTAGAGGCACGTCACGGGAACTCTGTCCCATTGGCGGCGCAGCACCAGACGACGGAGCATTAGCATATGCAGGCAGTTCAAGCCAAGTTGAGCCGGAACCTTGCTGGTGGGCTCCATACCGCTACCACGGAGGGGGATGGGCCAGCTCCGCATTTGACAGGCACCCGCATGTACCGCAAGGTAGCGCGGCGCGGCAAGATCCAGAGAGACACTGTGTCGCAGACGAAGCTCTGTTGCTAAGCTGACGCCCCCGAGCCTTGTTGCTGAAGTGAGTGGGCATCCAACAAGCCCCAGCTTGGTTGACAGCGCCATCCCGGCTGCAGATCTAGTTTGTATTTAGCTATTTCCAAGGTTTTGGTCGTTCGAGCTCACCAGTCGAGGGAGGCGTGCATGTGCCCCGGTCCGGCCAACCGTGGTGGACGTACTGTACGGATACAGCAGGCCTCTTCTCCAGGCCGGCAAATGACCTGTCGCGCCCGCCTGGAAACGAATGGCCGCTTGCGTTTGTCGGGCGCATTTCCACGCAGTCGGCGGCCAAGCTACGGCCATGTCTCGTCTCGACCACGAGGTCCGCAGGCGTCACGCGAGAGGGCAGAGAGTTCCGAGTCGGAACACTTAAGTGATGGCTGAAGGGGGAGAATTTCAAAAAAAAAAAAGGTCGTGGTACGTACCCAGGTTAGGTACCTAAGGTAGGTCTGGATGGATGTACAGAGTACGGATAGGTACCTTACCTACCTAGGTAGGTAGGCAGCGTGCATCTACGAGAGTTCCCTCCTGCCTGAACCCAGCCCATCATCACCCTCCAATGACGCTCTCCATTGCGTGCCGCCCAACTAACGTGCCTGGGCACCCACCTACCGCACCGACATGCTGAGTTCCTGAGGGCCGGCCATCGTCGACTTGTGCCATCATGACCCCGTTCGGCTGCTGTATCAACAAAACCAACAGGCGCCATCTGCCATTCCTGGGAACTTGCTTCTTTTACACTTTGGCTTCTCTAGGCCCACCCCCTCCTGTCTCTTCCCCTCACACACCTCTCCTCTCCACCCTTGTCCCCTGTCTGCTTCCCGTCCGTTCCCACGCCCTCCCTCTCCCGCAGGACGTTGGATCACCTACCCTTTTTACTCACCTGCTTCCCGTGCCTCGCCTCGCCTCGCCTGCCTAACAACACAAACCGAGATCTCACTCAATACAATCTCATCCGAGTCCTTGTTGCAACCAGAGCTCCCACATCCCCTCGAAACGCTTTATCGACTCGCCCACTCTATTCTCAACCTCGGCCTTCACCAAGCAAAGGGAAAAAGCCCATTCTCGACTTCGTCCAGCAGCACTCAACCATTTACCGTCCCCATCTCGTCCATCCACCCACCCGGCATCCGCGGTGGAGTCGACCCGACATCGAGGAACAGCGGCCATTAGCGTCCAAGGTGTCATCCGGGCCTGGAGCTCAAGCCGGACGGAGCCCGAGCCGGATTTGGGAGCGGATGCCGTTCGACAGCTCACCAGCCGATTCCTTTTCGCCGCCTACGACGGCAGAGGACGGGTCAACACCCGCCGAAGTCGCCATGCCATGCCATCGAAGAGGACCATGGTCTAATTTAGAGGACAAGTATTTGATGCAGCTCGTCCATGCACATGGCCCTCTCAACTGGGTTCGCATAGCCCAGACACTGGGCTCGCGCACCCCCAAGCAGTGTCGCGAGCGCTATCACCAGAACCTGAAGCCGACGCTAAACCACGAGCCCATCACTCCTGAGGAGGGTCTGCAAATCGAACGCCTTGTACACGAGATTGGCAAGCGCTGGGCCGAAATCGCCCGTCGACTCCATGGCCGGAGCGACAACGCCGTCAAGAATTGGTGGAACGGTAGCCAGAATCGCCGCAAGCGCCTCGACCGCCGCCGCGCCGTGGTACACACGCCAGCAGCACCATCCCACGCATACGCGCATGCACAGACACACACACACGCCTTTTTTGACGACGACAGGTGTCCACGGGTTGTGCCCTTGCCCATGGTGAGACCGGGTGGCCTCCCATTTCCTCGGTCGGCCGCCTGCCCTCGCTCTCCAGCCGCCGACGGCCATGTACTCCACCGTCATGTCCTATGGGGTGAGGCGCCTTTACCCTCGCCCTGCTCATCTGAGCCCGCGGAGTCGGATGCCGGCTCCAACTACACGACGTCGCCGGCTGGCAGCTCGCGAGTCCTGGACCAGACTCCCATTGAGCTGCCGCCCTTGCGAACATGGCAGGCTTCAAGGTCTAGGGGTGCCCGCCTGCCCAGTCTCAGCTCCTTGGCTCCCCAAAATGGCCAGCCCGGGTCGCAACCTCGTCCGCCTCTGGCAGGAGCCCTGGGTCAGCTGCCAACGGCGCCCAACTCACCTGTGCAGAGCCAAGAGCAGCAGCAGCAGGCCGGGTCCGGGTCCGAGCCTGCCACTCGAGATAGGGACTCGAGGATGAGGCTGGCGACGCTGCTTGGTTGACAAAGGCTACAATCATGGCCATATGAGCCTTTCAGCATGATGATGCCATTTCCGAAGCCCGCTCATATGCTGAGGCCCAGGGTCGAATCCATGCTGCGAGGAGGGAGAAAAACAATGTGCGTTTGTACACGCACGATTCGCGTCGTCTGCTGTGGAGGCGACGATGCCATGAGCACTGACTCGGGAAGTACTTTGATTTTTTTTTTCTTGGACGGATGAAGCAGGCGCCTGATGGAAGCGTGGCCTCGAGTGGCAACGCCGTCGGTGACGCAGTGTGACAGGCAACATGCGGGCAGCAGCAGGTTGGGTCGGATCGAGTGTCATGGTGGTACCGCTCATGAATGTTCAAAGGCAGCTCTTTGCAGAACTCTCACACGGGGTCGCGCTCTTGGGGCCAAATAGAGTTTCAGGAGCATTCATTAATACCCAGCTCTGTCTGATGGATTTCACCCCGTTCAGTTACTGCCATGTCTGCATCGTCGGGGTGCTAAGGCTACGTAGGCGTGTCTAGAGATGGATCCTTGGTGCGCAGTGTTGTTGGGCCGGGCCTGGAGCAGTCGGGAGGGCTTCGACGACAGTAGGGAAAGAGGCGCAAAATCAATTTCCTCCTTTCTCCTTGGTTCCGAGCTTGGGAGTCACCCTGTCTGTGTCTCTCCGTCTTGTGGTGCAAGTACGAAAGTACAGGAAGGAAAAGAAAAGGGGGGGTAGAGTTTTTACCAATTGAAACATGACGTGTTCTTGTTTTCCTTTCTTTTTCTTGTTGCGTTACTCTGCGCTGGTTTATTTTTTTTGCCTTTGCGGTCCGGTTGGTAAGACGTCCACGTCGTGTCTGGCAGCAACGTTTACCGTCTTGACTGGTTGAGCCGAGGAGAAGCGTTTTGCGTCTCGCTCATCCGTAGGCGGCAAGTTGGGGCCAAGGTTGATGGATGCAGCGGGCCAAGCCGGTCGAAGGCTTAAAAGAGCATCACGGGCTTCTTCCCCGCTTCCCGGAAGGGCCTGTCGAAATTAGGTTGAGCGGTGCAGCTAAGATGCGAGCAAGATTTGGAATAATGGAGCCGGTTCGCGATCGGCAGCGATGCGACTGAGGGGGACGGGACAAGCCTGTCACTGTGTCCGTACTGTATGCGGGACTGTGCAAAGTACCCAAGAGGGACTTTGGCAGTCAAGCTCCCCGCTCCGCCCCACCCAGGTACGTGGGAGATAAGGTTGAGGTGTGCCTTGGTATCCGTAGGTACTGCATACGCGAGCGATGCATAGGTACCTCTACCTCCCACACGCACGCAACCTAAATGTGTACGAGGGCATCTTGATAGGCACTATTAGTTAATTACTCGTAGATGCCAGGTACCGCCGATTGAAATGCTTTCGCTCGGCACCGACTTTTGCCCGCCTTCCCAACGTCTCTTCACTTGATCGAGTGTACGGATACCTATCAAGGCACATGCTTGTAAGCGGGCATTGTGCTCTTGAGTTGTGCTCTTGAGGAGCAGCTACAGTACCTTATAAGTTACCGGTTAAGCACTCGGCGACTGCTACTCCGTATACTTAGCGAGGTATGGAAACTGCCATGACCCCTAGCTCTTATTGGCGACCTTGACGAGTCTCGGCAAACTCTTTCGTCGTACCTCGCGGCATGTCTCTGGGGACCATCTGCCATGGCCCAGCAAATGAACGGAGAGGGCGTTGAACCACTTCCTCGGTTTCCCGATGCGGTTTGGTGACCACGGGCCCAGTGGCTTCCATGTTGCCGCTGGCCGTTGGGGAAATGTCCTCTGGACGGGTTCACTCCTGGCCTCTCGGACACCCCTTGGAGCACCCGCCCTGCAAGTTCTCTCTCATCCCGAGTCCTCGCCTCTTCTTCCTGTTTGTTCTACGTCTTCCGGGTGGGCGGATGACTTGGCTGGTTGGTCGTACGCCGAGACGGAAGTAGACGGTGCCGCACCACCTTGGAACAGAGTGCATTTGCTTGACAATCACCGTCCTTTTCCCCCCACGCCATGGCCGAGAGCGGCGCTTTGCAACTTGCCGCCTTCCGCCCATGGAAAGAGGCTTGAACCAACTGTCGACTGTCCCGAGGAACGCCGGTTGTCTAATCTCAACGCCGAGCTGCCTGGGTAATTAGTACTGATATCCACAAGTTGACGGCCTGTGTCCACTGTGTTCCGCGCAAAGAGATTGGTTACGAGCCCAGTGGGCCTTGGCCGTTGCGTCTTCGGGGACGCCCCCGACGCACACGCCCGCCCAAGCGACGGTACTGTGCAGCATTCTCCTTATAGTACAGTACAAGCCTCGTCATACAGCATGCCTACGTCACTGATCTTACATCCCTGCCCACGGTAAAGATACAGTGCACAGAGGGGACAAGGGGGTGGGGGTGGACAGGATTGGTCCTCGGAGGCTGGAGCACCCCTGTCTGGCCCCCCTTCTTCTCGCTCTGGCACGGATGCGGAGGCCGTTGCAGCTGGCACCCAACCGACAAAACGCCGGGACCGGGTGTCGCGACGAAGACGATGGAAGTTGTGGTGGCCGGCGACCCTCCTGATTCCAGCATGCCAAGGCCGTTGAGCGAGGGTGTCGACCCCGTGGGCGAAGGAAAATGTGGCCACAACCATATGTACTGTACATACTACATACATGGTTAACACGGGTCGCCGAGAGATCCTGGCCGGCAGGGTAGGTACAGTGCAGTCGACCTTGTCTTGGACGAGGGCCAACGGCGTGGCTGCTGTCGAGCCGTTGGCGGACGGCGTTGAAATTGCCAGCCGTTGTCGGGTCCGAGACACCAGGACTGATCCGGATGGGGCCGTGATTAGTGACGAGGCATGCATGCATGCATGGTGGGTGCATGGGACGGTAAGTTACTCTCGACCCCAAAACAACGGAAGCGGTGCTCCAAGACATGCAGAGTAAGCACATACATAACTGGTACAAATCTAGATATGCCCCAGATGCCCTGGAGGAGTGTATCTTTAGTCTCACCGTTGCCTCGTTCTTTCTTTTCTCCTTTCCGTCGTTTCTTTTCCTGGCTGTAACTTACTTTGGGCACGGCTCTTCTTGGCCTTCCACTTCCCGGTACCCGAGGGCCGCCAGGACCGTCGCAATCCCGACACGAAAAGCTCAGTTAGTAGCCAGGACGGGCCGAGTCCGGTTCCATCGGGCCGAAGTCGCTGTATATGGTATATGGGTGTATGACAGGCAGTTGTCAAAAGTGGGCATCCGCAAGTCCAGCCGTTGCTCGCGTCAGAGTCCTGGGTGTACAGTGCAGTACAGTGCAGTATCTTTTTATACAGTACAGTCCCCCCCCCTGCTTACCGCCAATGAGGAGGGTTCCCCGGGGGGTGGGACAAATCGTCGCGGGAAAAATCCCGTTCATCAACCGAAGAATTTCGGATTCCCAGCCCGCGTGTGCAACAATGTCGGGCGCGCACCGGGGAATGCGGCGCATCCACACGCACCCTCTTCCCCCTTCCCTCCACCGCTACCCGGTAGCGACGAGCCCCGGAACACACCTGTGGGGGCGGGTTTCAAAGCCTCCACCGCTGCCCGAATCCCCCTCTCTGGCAGCACCCACAATGGCGCGCCTTTTAGAAGCCCTCCGTCTCTTTTCGGTTCCCGGACGGACGAGCCGAGGCACCCACGTCGCGTCGACACCTTGTTCAACCCAACCGCCACGTACCCACGACCCGCGGAACCATGCGTGTGCGACACAACTGGGCCATCGTCTGAGGCTCGACATCTAACCTCGGGCAAATCCTCCGTCCACCCGTCTTCCTCCACCAGGGGAATACACCGCGGCGTGGCAGGCCGCGCATGGCAAAGCCAAGGGAGATGTGGCTAGGGAATCCATCCAGTACGGGAGGCAGCGAATCAGCAAAAAGCGACTGTCGTGACCCACAGTCCCAAACGGCGGCGTCAATAGACCATGTGCAACCCACCAAGAGTCGAGACGGGGCGAGAGTAGTCCTCAGCAACGCAAACACGTCGAGCAGCTGAGTGCCCTCCGCTGACTCGGCACAACGCTTGGAATAAGCTCCTTGTCAGCTCCCAGGTATATGCCCACGAGCACCATGTCCGCAGCCCTGTAATTCACCAACCCAAAATACTTGTTCCGAGTCCCACGAGCATGGTTCAGGTTCTGTTCCCGCCGGACAAGCACCGAGCCTATGGCGCACGGCTGGAACAGGAACACTGATGAGCGAGGGAGCGAGAATGGACGTACGATATATTGGTCAAGCAACAAGCTTGATTCATCTCCCCTCGTCTGCAACCCCTTAGCCTTGATTTCCTCGCCGCTCGCCGTTTAGCCCGGCCCGAAATGGTGACAACGACACAAGATGGGAGCGAGAGATCCGGCAAGTGTGTACAGCGGAGACTCATGCCCTGGGCCTGTCTAACGTCCTAGGACCCTTTTCGTATCCTCCTTCTTGCCAAGCAAGCCCAAATTCCGTATTTGCGTCGCACTCGGGCCGTCGTCGCGAGGAGTGGCTGTATCGGCTCGAGCCTGGGCCGCCTGCATGGCAAGGGCTCTCGCATGCTGCACGTGTATGGACTGGTGAGCTGCTGCTTGTTTGCGAGACGCAGTGGCATTGGGAGGTTGGAAGAGTCAAAAGGAGAGCGCCAACCTCTTTCTTGTGATGCAAGCATTCGTAGTAGTCCTCCAGCGGCATTGCGCACTTCTTCTTTCCCGAGTCGTCTTCGGCGGTGGTATTGACGACGTAGCAAGCGAAGACATCTTGCCAGAAGGGAAAGCAGCGGCCGGGGCCTGCAACAGGGACGAAAATATGGCCCAGTCAGCAAAGACTTGAGTAACGGCAAGAGATCAGAACAATGGCGGGGAAGCCGACCGCCGTGCATTCCGTATCCCGACGCCATGGAGGATGAAGCCGCTTCGTAGCGAACGAACCAGGTCGGTGACGCGCTGGGTGAGAAAACCAAGGCAGCCTCGCGGAAGAGCCGGTGCTCCGGAGACCTAGTCCGATTATGAGGAGATGATTGTCGAGTGGCCGACTTGCAGGAGAGCCGACAGTGGGCAAGCAAGCACCCGTCGTGATGGTTGTCGCGAAGGTTGCCGAGTTCTTGGTGGTGACTGCAGTGGGGCGCTAGAGTGGTGCGAGCCAATGACTAATCAATCGACATCCCGTGCCTTACCTCACCCAGCAACTTCGTAGTGAGCGCAGCTATAATTATCAGCCTGGCATCAAGTGCCCTCGCTTGCCTGCATCGAGCGCTCCGTCGTCAAATCCCAGCAACAGCCTCGAAATAGCTGAAGCGGGAATCGCGACTCGAAGAAGCAGTGCGGCCTTTCGCTTCCCCACGCACTGGGCCAGGGAACTGGCGTCCTCTGTCAGCAGCCATGGGCAGCACGCTGACGCCGGCAAAGGTGTTGCTCTTGGCTGTTCATCTCGCTGCTCATGCCGATGTGCGTGGACTCGACCAGCTTGCCGCTCAGTATCCGGCCGTTCTGCACAACCATGTTCTGCTACGAATCCTCCTCACCCATCTTCCCGAGACGGTCAAGCCAGACGTATACGTGGATTTCCTACAAGGAAGCGCCGCTGGCGAACTCGTCTCGCGACCTGAGCTCGAGCTCGAGCTCGACACATCTCCCGTCAGCGCCCTGTCCAACCAACTGGCCTCGAAAAAGGCCAACAAGCTGCACCTTGCTCAGCTGCAGTGCTCTGATGCCCCGACACAGGACAAGGACGACTCGCTTAGCCTCTTTCTCTTCCAGAGAGCGCATAGGATGGATGCCGAGACAGGCATGCTCGCGTACCTCCCCGATCTGCTAGTCCCCTTTATCAACCATTCTCCAGCGCTGCGCACCTGGATTGTCTCGGCCGTCTTACCGTTCGTGAGGAGGAACGTGGAATACTACGCCGAGACCTCACCCGCCTATTCTCTAGCCCAGTTCCAGAACCTTGATGGCCCGGACGCTGTCCTATATCTTCTGGCCCGCAGCGGCAGCACTCAGAACGCCCAGAGCGACCTCGGCCGGGACTTGAGGGGACTTATAGGACCCTGGCTGTACCAGGACACTCGCTGGGCTGAAGCAGGCGGTGAATCCGGGGTCACCGCGGACTCCCAGGCTCCAACCCCAGGCTCATGCCCTGGCTGGGAGCAAGCTTTGGAATGGCTTACCTCCCAGGCGATCACGTCATGGAAGTTTATGGCTGATGCAGTCGAGCAATGGGACGGACCGGCTGACGTTCACTTCGGTCACGGAGCCAATTTGAAGCTTCCGGAGCCCAGACAGCGCTACTTGGAGCAAAGCTATGCCAGAGCAGTGCTGGCGTCATTGTACATGGTGCAGGAGGCCACGACCGACTCCCTCAGTGCTTCCTATCGAATGTGTACGAAGATACGATCGCTCTTGGGCCACGGGCGGGGCGACTTATCACTACAAGACGCACTCGGCGCTTTGCCCGACATGTCCACCGTCGACATTCCGAACCTTGGCGGAGCGAAGGCGGCAACGCACATGAGGAACGACCTGCTTCAGTCTAGCAACCCCTTGACACTGCCAAGCGACGCTGCCACCAGCTTGTTGATGACACTAGTTCTGAGTGCATTCATCTTGACACACCTTGGCGTACCTTGCACCGTCAAGAGAGCTGGGGACCTCGCCTTCCTCGGAGACGGGAGGGAGCAGAGGAGCGAAGTTGGGAAATTGTTTCATGCAATATCGAGCAATGCGCAACTAGTTGATGAAGAGTTCTGGATAAGAACAAGACGTGAGATACTTTGGCTTCGTGACTGGGGTCAGACAGCCAACACGTCAACCCCCAGCGCTGTCCGAGGTGTTCTAGTGATGGTGCCCAGAGAGCACATTGAAAGCGAGTTCCTCAAAGCACTGCTTGTCAAATCGCGTATGTACCTCCCGAGAGCCCCTTCTTGCTACCTGCGCCGTGACGCCTCGTCTGATGCGCTTATAGATTATACGCTCGCGAGAAGACTGTTTGAAGACGGCGCAGAGAGGCCCCTTGCCGCGGATGTGATTCAAGAAGTCGTTTTCAACTCTGCCCTCAACGCCTTTGACAACGCCTCGAACCCGAACCGCGCTCGGGGCGGCTTGAAGCAATGTGACGAGATGTAATTCGCCTCCACCCCATCGTCGTTTCCATGCAGCTGACGCGCCATCAGCATCCACGCTTTCCCCAGGACGGTGAGCGATGCATTACCGGGAACCAAACGTATCCGGGCCCTCTTGAAAGCCACACACGCGTTGAGTGATTACCGGCTCGTTCTCAAGCAGGGCGAACCTTTTGGTCCCGTGGTTCTGCGAGTTCACTCTGATCCCATTTCCATCATCGACAAAGTGCTCCAGCAGAATCCCAAGGCATACACTCGCTTGCAAGAATTTGTGGAAATGGGAATCAACATGGTCCGCGCCGGACTGCCTTCCCGCGACAGATCTTATCAGACTCTGGCCTCATCGACTGGTGACCGGGACACACGATTCTTTGTTACCGAAAGGCGCATCGTCGCCATGTGTGTGGAGGCCGCTCTGCGGGAGGACGACTTCGAGACGGCATATTCGTATGTCGTCAGCCGCCTCGGAACTCTTGGCCCGGATGAAGCCAAGAGTCTTTGCGATAGGTGGTCGTGGCAGGCCGCTCTTGGAGCGGGCCAATACCTTCGCACCGACCGGTCTCAGCAGCCGACCCATCTGGGGACAGCCAGTGGAAACCCCGAGATCCGGCATCTGGAGCAACGCATGGAATGTCTGGCTACAGCTCTGAGAATTGCGCCAACCTGCCAACTTCAGGATATTCTCAAGAGTTTCCGGCGCTGTGAAGAGCAGCTGGATTCGGCCATCAAAGAGGAAGCAGCCAATGAGGCTGCCTGGGACGCCAGGGCAGACTTGGCCGACATTCCCGGCACGTTTGATGCCCCAGTTCCCGGCAAAGTATACCCGCCTCGGAACATGACCGCCAGCGCCGCCGCCCGGCAGGCAGATGAGGCGCCCATGTCTCTCTTCGATCTTTCCAGGGCCACAGCGAAGATCGCCCAGAAAAACCTCACGGGACTCTCGAGCCTACAAGGTGCAGTCACCGGAGGGCCGCCGGCATCTGTAGAACCCACAGAGCCGGAAAATTGCCGTGCCAGGAGAAGGGATCAGCTGAGAGAGGCCGCCACGGGCACATTGGTCTCAAGCGTAGGATGGCTGATTGGGGCCAATGTAAATCAGGGCCGGACGGAAACAAGTTGAGAGAATGAACAAAGGCTCACCCACCTCGCCGGCCCCCTTGTCGTCTCTGCCGCCGCGCTCACGACTTTGTCCTGGGACCGTGTGTTCCGAGCATTGGCTGTCTGAGTACTTGTGCATAGAAGAAACGTATGAAACTTCTGCTCTGCTGCACCTTGTGGCAGCCAAGACAGGCCGCATAATGGCTCAATTCACGATAGGGATGAGAATGCAACGAGTCAATAAGCTTAAATGCTGTTTCCAAAGGCAGCTTACTATACTGTTGCCAAAATGTCTGCTTAGGCGCTATAGCCCTGGGCAAAATTCACTACGTATTCCAGTAACACGATGCTCAGGCAAGCTCGTCAACTGTCAATCTACGCTTCTCATACCAGCCTTATGCGGATCGCGATATGCCGCTGAGAAGACAGCGCGCAGTCTTCTGCGCAACCCAAACGTGGTCTGCAGAAGTCTTGTGATCGAGAAGCAATGCATGTGCCCGGGCACTCTGTGGTTTCGATTGAAGAAAGGGATCAAACAGTCTCACGTGATCATACGCTCAAGCTTACTCACATCCATCGCAGGGTACTACCAGGGCATATATAGCCGTGGCAGCTTTGACGCTGGACACGTACCTCTGGCTCAAGTGAGTTGGCGCTGGCTAGTCTGTCCAAGCTTGCTTCCTAAATCGCGCTCGCTGGGAAGATGCTACTACTGGGAAGTCAGCCACAGGCGAGAAAAGGAAGCTGTACCAGCGAACGTCCTGGTTGTCAGCTGCTGGATTGCTGATGACAAGAGCCATGATGGCGCATCGGCCGGTGGTGCCGGTAGAGTCTTATCCGGAGAGATGGCACAGAGGCTGTGTCCAAGGTGTCAACGAAACTGAAGCGGCCCAAACACCCTGGAAGATGCTGCTTTTGGAGGATTACACTCGTCGATGGAGAATTACACTCGTCGAATGCCTGTATAGATTAGCGAGCATCTCTGATGATGACTAGGGTATTCTGCGCGTCGTACGCTGAGCAACCTGCTTCATAAGCCATTCTTGTCGTGTACTGTCCACCACGATTTTGCCCATAATGGGAAGAGTGTGTAGTAGACGCATGGTGCCGCACTGTCCTTCTATCGCGGGTGGCTCCCAGCAGAATGCGTGACCGCGAGCAGCAGGTTTATTGATGGCGACAGTGCGATCACGGCGAATGGCTTGTTGATTCGTAGATGGCGGCATGTTCACGATTGAATGCGAACAATCAGATGAAGTCAGTCAGCGGAGTGAGGCGGTCCTGATCGCATGCGTTCATCTGGAAGCCGACAGCCGCGGCCGACTAAAGTTCGGAAAGCCAAATTGACCGTGGTTCTGATCATTGATACACGAAGCTGAGAGCAGCAGCTCGGCGCAGTCGAAGCTTTAATGACCCCGGGGTTACACTGGTCAAAAGAAACCAAGAGCCAAGGTCGGCGTCTGTTGCGGTTGCTGAGCTGCCAATGCTATGAAAGTGTCGAGCAAGGTGACGAGTGATGGAAGTGATTGATTTTGCAAGATCCGGAAGCTGCCACATGTAGTCCATCCGTATCCCTGTCGCTGCAAGATCGACCAGCAAGGAAAATATCTCAGTGGCGTAGGCCGTGAAATCGATACTGATTCCCCCTTGTCCCATACTGTCGCACATCGCATGAAACTCCCGAGTGAGTCGATCTTATGGGTATGTCCCCATGGGTCCCTGGAAATCACTTGACGCAGTGCGGCGAGAAAAAAACACAAAGGATGAAGTAGTAACAGAAAAGACAAGACCCAGAAGCGAAGCGTCAAAGAGTGACATGCTCATACTTGTGGCGAGGCGCAAGACAACGTTCGCCGCTTGTTGGCCTAGCGGATGGCGGGATCGGGGCCTAGAAACATTAACGTTTGTATGCGCATGACGGGTTCAGTACTCCAAACCTCCGTAGGGCTCGCGGACTTCAGATCGGGCGGCAGAGTCGCCATAGCCAGATCCGATTGGTTCCCGGGTTCGAGCCGAATCGCGATCGCCCTGGCGATCGTATCGTTCGCGATCATAGCCGCCGGCGTTGCCTCGCTGACCATAGCGGTCACGGTCTTCGCGGCCACCGTGTCGCTCGCGTCCGTAGTAGTCGTCGCCGCCGCGATCGCGGCGTTCATATCCTCGGTCGTAATCGCGTCCATGGCTCCGATCTTCATATCGACGCTCATCGCGGTAACCGCGGTCGTAGCCGCGATCTTCATATCGTCGGTCGTAACCATGGCCTCGATCATTGCCCCGGTAGCGATACTCGTCGCGACCACCGTAACCGCCGCCGCCGCCGCCGCCGCCGTAGCCTCCACGTCGGCGGTCATCAAAACGGCCACGAGGCTCCTCTTGGAACATGTCAGCCATGAGCAAAAATCGAGACGTGGGGCGACTTACCTCGCTTGGGCGGTCCAAAATACTTGCCGGGAGTCGGAGTGCGTGGTCGGGCACGACGGGCCTTTTCGATGCTGAGGGTACGGCCGTCAATCTGTTCGCCCTGGAGGCCTTCCTTGGCAGCTTCGGCTTGATCGGACGTGACCATTTTGACGAAGCCAAATCCGCGGGACTCCTTGGTGTGCGGGTCACGCATGATCTGGCACTTCTCGACGTCGCCGTACTTTTCAAACATCTTGGAGACTTCGGCCTCGGTCAGGCGGGGGTGGATTCCAGTCACAAAGAGATTGGAGCCCGGGTTGATGGCGCCATCGTCATCGTCCTTGGAGGCCGATGAGTCCTTGGGAGGCCTGGATATGCAGAAAGAGTGGGGTTAACTGGGGTACGTCCATTATGTCGGCTCAGGGCAGAGCAACTTACGCATCAGCGTTGCCATTGGGAGAATGAGAACGGCGGCGAATGCCGTCGTTGTCGTCGCGAATAGGACGGGGAGAGGCGCTTCTGTTATCGCGCTCATAACGAGGAGGCTCGTCTAGGAAGGCGTCAAGGCAGGTTCAAGATTAGCCATGACGAGAGCAAACGTGTCCACCCGCGCAAGAAGTGATTGCGGATGGTAGGCTGTTGGGAGAAGCAGAAGGCGAGAAAGCATACCGTCGTACCGATCGCCACCCACGGCTTCATAGTCCATCGCGGTGGTTGCCATGGTAGGCGACGCAATGAGAGGAGACGGGGCGAATTTAGGAGAGGAGGCGTGCAAGGCCAAGAGCGGGCAGAACGCAAATATGCCAGAGGCGGCGCTGCAATCTTGGTGGAATCGAAGGAGGCGAGAAGGTCTTGGCAGGCTTCAGTCAACGCGTTCGCGTGTATTTTATGCAGAGGCGCGGGTATGTGTGTACCTGTCACGATTGACGGGCAGACGAGGAGGGAAGAAAAATGGTTGGACGAGGGAGGTAAGCAAAGGGCGAAGGGAGGCTAAAACGCCCGGCGAGAGCGAGGAAACGAGCACGGATACCTGAGGCAGGGAGCACCCACGGGCCGACTTTTTGCCGCAGATTAGGCGAGGAGGAGGGGCCGGCCCCCGGACTTGTTCTCCACCATGACAACACAGTCCAATACTGTCTGAATGTTTTTACAATTCGAGGCTCCTCTCTACGTCCTCCGCCATCGTCACCGCCTTGGTGTCCAACTCCCCGAGGGCCTCTGCCTCGTCCACGTCCATAAATTTGAGCCACTTGACAGCATTCCCCCCACATGCCCTCTCCAACGCCAGTCTCGCAAAATGCCCGCCTACTACCGGCCGCGCCATGAATCTCGCCGGCGAGAAATCCCCTTGGCCCTCCGTGTCGTACAAGTCGGTCAGGGGTCGATCTGGCTCAGCCTCGGTTAGAATCTCGGGTTGTTGGGTTCAAGCAGAGGTAGGCTCATCAAGGCTCACCGGTCACCGTCTCATTCACCCAAAGGGCGATGCTCTCGGTAATCTCATCCCGAGTCTTCTTCCCCGCCACTGCTGCGGCAAAAAACTGCCAGTCACTTTTGGAGTATAAGTGTCGACTGTCAAGCGGCAGACCGTAGCGCTGAAGCACCGCTCCGTACCAGCTACTCTGCATTCTGTATACCCGTTGGGGAATAAAAGGCCCATCGGCGCTTGAGACCATTGATTTCTCTGCCTTACCGCCAAGCGGTAACCTCGAGTCACCAGCCTCGTGGAAGCAGAGCACCGAGTCTGCAAAGAGGTTGTACAACGTGGTCCACGATCCGTACCATGTGTACGCCAGCTTGGCATGCGTATCGTCCCGCGACAAACCGTAGCCGAGCCATTCTTCGACATACAAGCTGGAAATGTCACGGTAGCGTCGCGCGCCCTCGTAATCACCAGCTAGCTTCGAGAGGTCCGCCATTGCTCTGATGCCAATGATGCCTTTGAGGGCCAAGTTGGTCTGATTTGCAAGCCACCCCGCAAAGTCATCGGTGCTCAGTTGATTGCGCGGGATGAGCGACTCCTGAACGAGGTAGCCCGTCCATTGCCGTAGCAGGCTGTAGGATCGCTTCACCCAGGCCTCGGCCGATTTCTCGACACTCGACCCTGTGACAATGGGTGCCCGGTCTACTCCGAATTCATCCACCTCGAGTGGCGGCAGGCTGCCTTTCGTCGTTCCCTCTTTGGGTCTTTGATGCCCGAAATGACCGCGGTTGTGCGTGGATGGCGCGTTCCACGCCGGGTGAGAGTCGTCCTTGATGGAGTTTGCGACTGCAAGGGCCATGATGAGCATGTTTCCGCATTCTTCCACGGGCATATACTCGTCTTTCCCATCTGCATGGCCCGTGGCGTTTGGGAAATGTGCCCCAATGTCGTGCATGCTGTAGTCGTTAGGGTACTGGCCGCTCAGCTGGTGCTCAAGGAGCGGTTCGAGGAGGTAGACCAGCCACCGAGGATTGGTGTAGAGGAAGAAAGGAAACGCCGGGAAGATCACGTCCACGGTCTGAAAGTTTCCGTTTGAAGAAATCTCCTTGAGGAATATGAGGGGATTGTTTGGCGTGCCCGAGAACTGGGTGGCCCCAAGGACTTGCCGAGCGGAGAGAGACACAATGTCCCCGTAACTCTGGGAAATGGATGATTCGGCATCCACCTGGAGCTCCTGCGAATAGTTCTGTGCCAATCGTGACGCCATTTCAAAGTCCGTATAGTGCCAGTCGAGCATGTCAAGTGCTTCGGAAAAGTACGACGCCCAGAACGGCCGCATATATGTCAAGCCCCGGGCAGCAGCAAATTGGACAACGGGGTCATGAACGAGTGCCAGAGTAAAGACGACGCTCTCTTTGGTTGGTTTGCGCTCCATCTCTTGGCCGGTTTCGCGGGACAAGTTGAAGAACATAGAGAAGGCAAAGGTAGGCTCCAAGTCGTTTATGCGTCGGAAACGGTCATCGTTATCGCCGTTCAGACAGCCGTGCTGCGCAAACTGGAGACGAACGTCGGCCGCGTTTCCAGACTGATGCCGAGCTGTACGAGGTGCCGTGAAATGAAAAGTCCCCCATTCTGCCCTGTCCGACGACTCCGTGAACAGCAGCTGTGTCCTTCGTGACACACTCCATGACTTGATGGACCGGCTACCGGCGTCTGCCGACGTCTCATGGAGCTGCCACTCGATGGCACTGTCCTCCATCCCGCTGACCCATTCGCCACTGACATCGGTGTAAATGTTGACGTCCAAGGCGCCCTCGAGGTAGATAGCCATGTAACTCGCCGGCATAGATTGACGTAGCGTAGATGTAGGCGTAATGGGAGATAGAAACGACAAGATTACTTTGATGGAGTCGTCCGGGCCGAGCCTGTATGTGAGGTTGGTTGCGGAGGCGTCAAAGGAAGCTCCCTCATAGACCGGAATTGTAATGTCTGAACTAAGGGACGGGAACCAGAGTCAGCTTCGCCGTCCGCCTCGTCTGCCGAAAGCAACGGGAGGATACCCACCTCGAGGCTTGTCTAAGGGAGTCGTGAGGCCGGCCGAGTAAAGGGTATATGGCTTTGGTCTTGGGTACAGACACCATCACGGATATGCCAGTCTATACAGAGCGATGTTGGCATCAGTGTCTAGCACCTGATTGGCGGCAGGGGAACCTCATGGCTCACCCTCTGGCCTGTCCAGAACATGGGCCAATGTTCCCATGGCGCATCTCGTGCGTTAGGCAACCAGGTGCTGAGGTAGGGATTTCGGACAAAGAGGGGTAGAACAGGTGGTTTGAGGCTGGAAGCGCTCGCTGCCACCGCAGCAAACAGAATCAGGGCTGAAAGCATCGTGGAGAAGGCAAGGAACGGGGAAGAAGGAGGCTGTGAGTGGTGTTTGGGGCGTGAGGCCATCGGATAGAGCCGAGATCCACAACATCCAGGACTGGTGTGCACGAGGCCGGGCGAGAATGCGAGCGCGACAGGACTCAGTGCGAAGACAGTGGCTGGCCTCGCTCTTTGCAGGAAAAGGGACGAGAAGTTGGCGAACGAAGCGGCGGGCGAGTTAAATCGTCAGGCGCTGGGCGAGCTAAACGGCCTGGCGTCGATGACGGGTCCGGCGATCCGGCCAACGACATGGGGTCGACTACATGTATGAACATCTTGTTTCTCCAAAAAAAAAACACGGGGCGCACCCCCTTCTTAAGCAACCAAAGACAGCATGTTCAAGCTTGAGTTAACCAACTTCTCCCCGTACTTGAATGTGGTGGTCTGCGGAATGCCCGCTTCTCATTCGATGAGGTACTGGACGGGATTTATTTGGCGCGAGATATTTTCGTGATAATGGACTCTAGAGTACTCTGTAGTCTGGTGAGGGATTCCTCGCCGTCTCTCGGGGCTGAGACAAATTGAACCCGGGCTTGACGGCATTGCTGGGGCTCGGGCACGGACAAACCAATTGCTGCAGGGTGCCCTTCCATGCCGGAACGCGTCACTGCTCGTGGTACTGCCGACGAAATATAGTTCATTCCAGCGGCATCGACGCCGACGAGAAGAAAAATGGAAGTAATAGTCATCGCCATGATGTGCCAATGATTCGACTTGCGCGTGCCGTCCTGCCTGCTGTGACGGCTGATGCGTCTTTTTGGCCCGCAGCTATTGTCTTTGCGGCAGCCAGGTCTCTAGCGTATACAGTGGAAAGCCATCTGCCCTAGAGTTGATGACGGTGGTTCTTCAAACCCGCATATGGCTGGCTACATGGCGAGGCTGAGGATCTTTGAGCTCCTGCGACTCTGGCCGCCGCGATCCTGCTACCAGACGTCCTCTGAATCAACCAAGTGGTTCTCGCCGTCGGCCCGGACATGCTGCTTGTGCTCGTCTCGCCTCATTGCCTTTCGCATGTCAAAGGCATCCTCGCTGGTCTTGTGAGGGTCCGCGGCGTGGTCTCCGTAGTAGTCCTTGATAACACGAAAGACGCTGTAGCCGAGGTTCTTGTAGAATGTGATGGCCCTGTGGTTGCTGCTGCGAACAAAGAGGTCCACAAACCAAGCGTCATTGGCGTCGGCGGCCGCCTCCAGCCGCTTGGTCAGGATCTTGCCGATGCCTAAGCGGCGAGCCTCAGGGGCCACCGTCAGTGCCGTAATGTGAGCATGCCACGGAAGGTAGTGCTCGGAGTACTTATACGCATCGGGGGACGATTCGACCTTGCCCATGACTGCCTTGAACAGTCAGCACCGTGTCCACGGCAGCGGCTGGAGAGGGGATGACGAACTGTACCCGATGATGTTTCCGTCTACATCCTCGCAGACCTGGAAGAGCGACGGCCACTTGGCGTAGTACTGGAGGTAGAAGCCGAGCTCGTACGTCTCTGTCAATGGATCGAGATTGCATTTGGAGAACTTGTTGACGTCGTCGGGCCGAAACCGCCGGAACGTGGCCATGGTGGCCGTCGACGGCTCAACGGTTTGGGCGCCGCGAAGCACCGGGGCTAGATCTGCGAAAGCGTGAATGGCGGACTTGCAGACCGAGAATTTTGTTTAGGGGCTTGCATCCGCCCGTCTACTCACCTAGGTAGATACCTACTAAAAGCGGGGGTGACTGAGAAAAAAGCTGACCAGCGCCCTTGGGACATCTATTTGCCTGTCTATCGATTGAGATGCTTGGTCCGGCAAGACATTGTTTACTTGCCCCGTGCTAGCAGTCACCAAGCTGCAGGGCACCACCCCCTGTCGTTGAAGCCCCGCCACCGCCCAAGTTGGGTCGGCAGGCACCCAATGTACTGTGATTTAGCTCCCGTCCCCCTAAAATCAGAGCCCCTTAGTCACCAAAACATCCGTGGCATGGCGTCCTGTAGGTGCCTCGAGTCGTAGCCATAACAACATCGCGATCCCCCTCCGTGCGTGCCTCTCCACCTCGTTTACCAACCAGCGAACCTACTCCTCCGCAGAGGGTCAGGGCTGAGTCCACGGCGGATGCTACGATAACAAAAAGATCCTGATCTTTTGTTGCACGGCCAAGCAGCCATTACTCGTCCCCAAGGCTTCTGCGATTTGGCAGCAATGCCTCCCTCGCCTCGCACTCCGCGGCACTCCAGGAACTCGTCGGCGCTGGACAGCTTCCAAGATTCTCCGCATGCACGAAGGCAGTCCAAGACGTCGCTGCACGACTCGGTTTCTGCGCCCTTCATCAGCAACCTGAACCACCAAGACGCGCTAGACCTCAGCATGCTTGCGAGTGGCGGAGCTGGCTCTGGGGAGTGCATGGGCAATCTGGCGGATGAACTTGCCGATGCCTTCTCCGAGTCGGGAGAGGAGGAAAACGACGAGTACCAGGACGGGGACTTTGCACTGACTGACTCCCGAGCCCCGCACACGCAGCGGGTGGCGATCGAGGCCACCAGGGACAATGGAGTGGATGTCTATGGCGAGCCCATGAGCGAAGACATCCGTGCAGCAGAAGGCGGCCTCAGTATACCTGCTCTGCCGAAACGGGGGCACCAGAGAAAGGGGAGCGAGTACGACGGTAGCGAATACGGCTCGGAGTCCGACCTCGACTCTGCTGGGATGCCGCCAACTCTCGTTGCCAAGATTGATGCCATCGAGTCTCTGGCCAGGCGAGGGACGGAGAACTACGGCGGCCCGGCCGACGACGTAGTCAAGAGAGTGACGGACGGACTACGAGATCTAGGATCCCAGTCGACAGTGGAGGGAAGCGCCTCGAGGTCAGAATGACCCCTTTCCAAAGTCGCATGCTGCTATACTCACCGCAAACGTCAGGTTGATAACGGCACACTCAGCGCTTACGACGCACCTTGCACACCAGACGCGGCAGCTCCACAGCTTGACGTTTCCCTTGCTGTCGCCGCTTGCAACCCCCCCTGATGCCGAGGCCATTGAAAGTCTGCTGCCGCTGCTCGTGGCTCTATCAGACGATATGCCCCGGCCGTCAACATCAGCCTTCAACTCGTTGACGGCATTGCACTCCATCACCTCGGAGCTGATACAGACACTGAGCTACCTCTCAGACACCCTCCACATGTCTCGTCAGACGACTGCTACGGCATCACGGAGGCTGAAGAGCGCACGGGAGCTGGTTTCGGAGATGAGGCGCGAGGAGGAGCTGCGCGAGGAGGGTGAGATGTGGTTGACGCGCGGAAACTGGGGAGAGCGGTTGCAGAAGAGGGAGTGTGCTGGAGTGTGCGGTGACGTCATCGGCGGTTTTGAGGACGTCTGCAATGGATGGCGTCAGCGGCTGCTTGCGCGGGCCGAATCGCAGGCGTGAGGGTGATTTGATGGGCTTATCAGGGTAGCTCGGATTCTCTCGGCAATACCAAACGGGGTTGACGATTTTTTTTTGGTTTGCATGCCTACGACGAGCGAGTGGATGCGGAGCGCGCGGGCAACTCGCGGGCAAGCCTGCACCCTCGTGCCCGACGGTGAACGCCTGTATGCTCTTTTAGAACGATGGCCTCGATGACAATTCCAACTCAACTTGATAACGAAGTGCCTCGGGGTTGAGCGGTGGGATGATGGATGTATGCGCGGAGATGAGTCCTTACTGGCCAAGCTGGGTGCTGCCTCCGGGGCCAGGTACGTATGTAGATGCAGCTTGTCGAAAGACTAGCGTCGTCAATGGTTCACAGCTGACGAGATTCAGACGAGCATTTCCTTGTAGACATTGGACAGGAAGGGCGGACGAGGTTGCGTGACGAGTGTTTTGGTGGCATCGCGGATCCGTCATGGCGCTTTGGGCAGCGACGCATTCGCCAGGGAGGCTGGCAGAGCCTGGCACGCGAAAGCAGCGCGCTCAGAGGAGAGGTTTTGCTGCGCGCGACCGGACTGTATGTAACCTATGTATGTACATGCAAATCTGTCATGTGGTCACCCTTTATTATTACGTAGTGGACTCTGCAAGCTCCAGGGACGAGTCTGGGTACATGTACGAAAGACATCAGGGGACGCGACGAGAATAAATGCACGAAGGGAGAGGGCAAGAGGGGTAAGCAGGGTATCTCGAGAAAACAAATGAGGCCCAAGTGTTGGCCTCATAGGCGAGGCCAATCGTTTGGTGGCGGCGGGCGCGACGGCACGCGTCCCGAGCTCGGGCCTGATTAGGTAGCTCGGAACATAACAGCAGCAGGCGGCACAACAAAAATAAATAACGCCAGCTCTTCTCGGCGAGCGGGATCGGAACATGCGGTTATTGTCGCGACAAGGAAAGCCGGCTTCCGCCAAAGCTTGTTTCCCAAATCTCCAAGGCCCTCTTTGGAGCCAGTGAGGATGACCTTTGCTTTTTCCCCTCCCCCTTTCTCTACCGCAGCTTTGGACCCGCCGGAAAAGTCAGCATACCAAAGTTACAAGGCCGTCGTTGCAGTTGGGCACTCGATGGACATGGTACAGCACTGTACAGTAGAGGTAGCTGCGCGCACCCCTAGGATCCGTCCAAACGTGGCCGTGCACACTGTATCCCGTGCATGCTCCGGACTGCCCCTTGCTTTTCTGCAAGCTACCCGCGTTGTGGACGGTGCATGGTGATAGGAGAGTCGCGGCCGAGCGAGCGCGTCTACGTGCGTCCTGCTCCGAAAACAGTGGCGAGAGGCCATATCTGCAAGAGTCTACGGAGCAAGAGATGCCCTCTGTGCTTAAGCACCCGAGCGAGGTCAAGGGCATGGGGCGAGACCAAGCCTCACTCCCTCGAGGAACCAAGACGTGAACACCTCAAGGCCGACAGATGCCTGGTGATGAGGAGCGTTCGCGGAAAGCCTCTGCTGTTCTTCTCGTGTGTGTTCCATACAAAGTCTTGGTGGCATGATGCGTCGTCGTTGTTATTGTTGTTGTTGTTGTTCGCTTCCCCATGCACGCACGTCCTTGGCTTCCCTCTCACCTACGTAACTACCTACGTACCTACCTTAGGTACCTGCTGCAGGTATCCCGGCCCAAAAGACATTTACGCACCCGGCTTTACGAGCTGTATTCTTTGCAAAGAAACCTTTGTTCTCCAGACGTTGGAACCCCAAATACCTACATGCCTTCCCACAGAGAGTCTAGAGGGCAGATCACAGCTTACAATACCTCCTTCACTTGCTGCGGAAACGTCACGCGGTCAGCTGGAGAAGTATCTTTAATATTAAGGTACTTACCCTTACCTCGTCTCACCCGCTTGAGCTCAACAAACACCTTGCAATTCAGGCAGTTCAGTGAACTGGCCCTGCAGCTCTGCGGTATCGCCCCGTACCTAGCCTGAGCAGGTACTGTACCTGAGGGAGCATATATTTTTTGGAAAGCCCCTCGTGCTGGAGTCCCGAACAAGCCTAGTCCGGGCCGGTATCTTTTAGCGCTCGCGGCGGCGGCCCCCCCGGAAATTCAACCTCCCTCTTCGCTCAGCCTTCACGAAGCCACCAAGCACCAACGCATCCACCTCTCGCCCACCCACCTCCTGCCAGGCACAAGCGCGCCTCTCTTCCATCCCGCTTTGGCATCGCGACTCCATTTTCGTCCGCTCACCAGTCGCTGGTCTTCCTCCGGCCGGCTTGGTCCTGCGTACCGCACTCTTGCAGCACCATCGCCTCGACCAGTCGACCCCGGAGCATCGTCGAGAGCATGCTGTTCCAGGCTTCACCATAGCTGTCATCGACAACGACAACGTGCGCGAGAGCGAGGCGCCCTGCGGACTCTCATTACGACGAGCCGCCTTGCTCTTTACACCACGAGCCCCCTCTTTCACCTGACCTGCACAGCGAAATATTCCGATTCCAGCATTCGCCTGCCCTCCTACTCGTCGCCCAATTTCCGGATTGCGTGCAGCCCACCAAGGGTCGTCTTCACCAGCCCCCACCTCCGAATACTGCACGTCTCGAGCATGACGATGCAGCCAGAGTCTACGGACCTCACGACCATGTCGACGTCGTCCAAGAGGGCCATCAGCGATGCCAAGACTTCATCCGTTTCCGGCCCGCCTCGCCTCACCACGCCGCCACCCCCTTCTGCTCGAGGCCTACTCGAACCGAAACAAGCCGACGACGGCAAAAGCTTTGGGAGGATATGTAGCAATGGATTCGGGGCAAGCGACTCTGCGCGATCCATTGCTATTGATGCCAACGCCGTCGAAAGCGCCTTGCTCAAGGAGCTCCAGCGCCCACACCGTGAGAGCACCCCAGGTGCAAGCCCTCATCGCAAGCGCCAAAGAATCAATGGCGACCGGTCAGTCTCGCGAAACCCTCACCTATCCCACTTCCCTTCGTGATGTAGGACAGGCTAACAAGTGAACAGCTTCATCCCGTCCCGCTCGGGCCAAGATCTGCAAGCCAGCTTCAGTCTCCTCCACGAGGATGGATCCCCCGCCACGCCTTCGAGACAGAAGAAGCGAACACCCCATGGAGAGCTTCACTTCCAGAAGAGTGAGTTTTTTTGCATCGAGTTTTGGCATATCGCGTGTAAAAATGCTCACGATGCTTCACTAGCTGAGGAGGCAAACCGCACCTTTTCAACGCTGCTTCGTGCCGAGCTTTTTGAGAGTTCGGTGCCTCAAGCAGCTCCTTCGACCTTTTCATCCGACAATGCCTTGCTAGATGGCTCCCATGCTCGCCCCAACGATGGCACGCGAGCACGGACACCGCCAAATAACAATCCTGCGCCGTCCCTCCCTTCATCGATGACACCATCTACGCCTCACAAAAATCTCTTCTCTTATATGTCGCCGCGCCATCACAGCCACGTTGCAGGTCATCCGACGCCCTCAAAAACCCCGCAAAGTCGCCATGGCCCAAACCTGGACACGCGAGCAGAAATATATAGCTTGTCGCCCGTGCGGTTCGGGAGTCAGCAACTGCTTCTGAGCTCGCGGAGACAGCCTCGAGCGGTAAGCAAGGTTCCATACAAGGTTCTCGATGCTCCTGAGTTGGCCGACGACTTCTACCTGAATCTGGTGGATTGGGGTAGCGCCAATGTCCTGGGCGTAGGACTCGGGTCCAGCGTATACATGTGGAATGCGCAGACAAGCAAAGTCAACAAGCTCTGCACTCTCGAGGACGACACGGTTACGAGCGTCTCTTGGATACAAAAGGGGACACATCTGGCCGTTGGGACTGGGAAAGGCCTCGTGCAGATCTGGGATGCAGAGAGGACGAGGAGGCTGCGGACCATGACGGGCCACACCGCGCGTGTGGGCTCGTTGGCGTGGAACACGCACATTCTTACTTCCGGGTCGCGCGACAGATTGATTTACCATCGAGACGTTCGAGCGCCTGACCAGTGGTTGAGAAAGCTCGTCGGCCACAAGCAGGAGGTGTGTGGCTTAAAGTGGAACTGCGAGGATGGCCAACTTGCCAGCGGAGGAAACGACAACAAGTTGATGGTCTGGGACAAGCTGTCGGAGACACCTCTCTGGAAGTTTTCCGACCACACAGCCGCCGTGAAGGCCATAGCATGGTCTCCCCACCAGCGCGGATTGCTGGCGTCCGGGGGCGGGACTGCAGATCGACGCATCGTCTTCCACGACACCGTCAAGGGCTCCGTCATCAACGAGATCGACACTGGCAGTCAAGTGTGCAACCTTGCCTGGTCAAAGAACTCCAACGAACTTGTCTCGACGCATGGGTATAGCCAAAATCAGATCGTGGTGTGGAAATATCCCTCCATGACCCAGGTGGCCAGCCTAACAGGGCACACGTATCGTGTGCTGTATCTTGCCATGAGCCCCGACGGTCGTGTTGTGGTGACCGGGGCCGGTGATGAGACACTACGATTCTGGTCCGTCTTTGGTCGCCGCCCGGGGGCTCGAGAGGATGGCGAAACCGGGGGTGGTCGGCTGGCTGACTGGGGCATAATCCGGTGACATGCTGCTCAATGGCGCATGCTCATTTCGCTATGTTATTGGGCAATAATCTCAAGCCTACACTCGGTCCCAGCTCGAGAGCCGTGACCTTGAGAGGGTCGATGCTCCATCATTCCAATCGGCCGCGACACTGTCTGCGTCAGGCACGGACTTGACGATCAACGGGAAGTTTGCGATTTCGGCGTCCGCGAAGCTTCAACTCCTGTCCTATGGCAAGGTACATGCATGAGATGCACGCACGACTGGGTTGCGTCGCCCTGGCCGTGCCGCGATTCATCTTGATCACAACCTTGACTCCGACTCGAGGGCGGCGTTGCCGTCGCTTACCAGGGTATGTAAAGGGGTTGAGTGTTTCAAGGGCGGAGGGGTGCCGATGGATGGCTCAGTCCTGAGCAAATCGCCATCCTCGTGGGAAGAGGGCTCTTGAAAGGCAATCCTCGTCCGGGACGGGAGGAAGCGACTTGGTAGCGATTATATTCGGTATGTCATTTAATGCGAGCATAGCGCAGCTGAGGACAACAAAACCAATAAGTGGACAACCTTTTGCATTGCTTTGGAAAGACTCTTCTTGATGTCTACGCCCACTCTTTGCTTGTTTGCACGGCGAGTGAACAAATCAACAGGGTGTACGATTGCGACGGGGATGACGCAGTGCCCTAAGCGGTCCCTGCATACATCTGCGTGATGAGGCAGGGCAGGTGAAGGCATGTGAATCATGCATTGCGAGTCAACCGCAACGGCTAGCACGGGCTTAGACTTGTCGGCCATCTTAAGAAAGTCGTCTGCTATATAACCGCCAAAGTCTCCGTGGGTCTTGGCTCAACGTCGAAACCTTGACCTGATACTTCTTGTACCTTAGAGGTCGTCGACCTGAAAGGCGGTACAATGGCTTTTAAGGGCGGTATATGGCTGGGTCCCCAGCAGGTCATTTTCGGGCTCGAAACATGACGAGCCCTCTCCGCCTGTGACGCCCCAGGCGCAACCACCTGCGCCAGCGGCGCGGTGACATCCGAACCTGCGAAATGAGAAATCAAGACCAAGGGTTCTCTCCACCATCAGTTGCACGGTCATGAAGCTGCACCGCCATCCGTCTTTCTCTCGCGGGTACCATTAGTTCGCTTGGCCATCGATACCAGTGGTTGCTGCTGAGGGGTTCTCATCGAGGAGGGGAATGTGGTCAATATCCGTATTTGGAGGCCTTTGATAGTCACGCCTCGTCTCGTCGTTGTCTGCAGTTGGTTCAGTGCCTGCAGCAGCAATGAAATCAGAAGATTGTTCATTCTGACCAGGAGAGGTGTGGGCCGCAGATTCTTCGGGGCGCGGTGCCATGACGGGGGACTGGAGCATGAGCTCGGGCGTGTTTTGCCATTTGAGAACCTCGGCCTTCATGGCTTCCAGCTCTTTCTGGAACCGTTTGCCGAAGACGTCAATATAGTAAGTTGAACCGTTGTAGATACTCCAGGCAAACAGGGTGAAGAGGAAAGCCGAGGACGCATATCGGCTCGCGAACCAAATGGGACATGGCAGCATCGTCAACACAGCGTAGCTGTACTGGATCGCCATGAAAGCCGACTCTTGAAGACGTTTTGGAAGAGACAGGACCAAATTGCCCACCCAAGTCTTGGAATATGATCGGCGCAGCCAGGTGAAGGACGTGGGCCGCCCCGCGGCAATCTTGTCCCGACGGCGAACCGTAATGAGCAGGTAATAAGCGACTTGCCAGAAGGCATAGGGTATCGTGCTCCATGCCAACATGGACACGACGTTGGCGTATGCCGTCGGGGAACCAGGGGTCGAGTTCTTGATGGTCCAAATAGCCGGGAACCGATCCTGTTGTTGGTCTGGGGAGAGCAGATGAACGATGCAGTGGAGCGTGGCGCAGGGCATGATGTGGATGAAGAGCGAGGTGACCTTGTCCAAGCTGTGAAAGACGAGAGAGTTGCGCCACATTATGATGGCAACAGCGTTGTTGCCAAAGGACAAACAATAGGCAGCCATGAAGAGGCGCTTGGAGTTGGGAAAGACCCATATGCTAAGACTCAGCAGGAAGTTGGCGAAGTAACAGAGGTCGGCGAGAAAGTAGTGGTAGCCCTGGTGGTGATAGGTGAAGAAGCGGATGGGCATGAAATAGACGAGCTGGGCCGTGTACCAGATGTGAAAGTACTGGGGGAAGCCACCGATGAGATATCCGCTGATGAAGATGTTGATGACACCGAATATAAAAGATATCTTTTCGCGGATGCTAACGGCCTTTGTATCGTTCCACTGTCTGCCGAGCTTGTCGACGCGCCGTCGCATGCGCTTCTTGTAGCGGTCGAGCTGCTCGTCGGCCGAAGGAGCGCGCCGGCGCCACTCCTCCGCCATGCGATCGCGGGCCAGCTGCGTCTTGGACTTGAATACATCCTTAGACCTGCGGACTTTTTCCGTCTGCGCCGAGATACCCTTTTGAAGCTTCTCGAGCTGCTGTGGCAAGGTGAAGTTCTCGAGGAGGTCGAGGACGCTCAGCCTGTCGGCGGGAGGCAGCGGGTCCCAGTCGTCGTTGGGCGAGCTGCTGCCCGAGTACGAGGGGTTCCGTGAGAGTCTCGGGCTCTGGGGCGTGGTTGCGCTTAGCTCTGGGGACTCGGGGAAGGCTTCGTCGGGGGGATCCGAGTCGGGAGGCGACGAGAGATCGGGTGCGGGCGAGGGTGAGGGTGAGGCGCGGCGCTTGTCATCGGCGGCCGAGAAGGTGCGGTCATTGTCCATGGCTGCTGATGATGCCTGTCTTGGCTGTAAAAGTGAAAGATGCCAAATCTCTGGGGACCAAAGCGATGGGAGCAAGGTGTCCCCTGAGCGGGCACAGCGAGAAACCTCGAAGGCGGGAAGGGCGAGAGGAGCTGAGGCCAAACAAACTCAAGTCAGCGGTGCATGACAGCGTGACCTTGCTAAGCTACCTACCTACCTCTAAGGTACCTACCTACCTTGCGAATCGCGCGACCCCTCAAATCCACCAAGTGTTATACTGTACTGTACAGTGTTATCTGCGTCAGCGTCGCGTCGCGAGATAAGATACCTATACTAGATAGCGTTAGTATGGCCACCCCTCCCCCTTCTAATAATTCCAGCGGGGCCCCTCCAACGGAAGGCGCGCGACGCGTTGCGACCGGCCGACTTCGTACTTCTCGCACGCTCATTCAAGCCGATCACCAGCTCTCCCCCTCAACGAAGCACCTTCTCTCCCATCACTACTATGAGCCCTCGCCAGTTTGGTGGCCAAGAGTCTGAGCGAGCCACATCTCACACTCCCCAGGGCCAGCAGGCTGCAGGCAGTCCCACCTCCCAGCATCGCCCGCAATCCACCACCATCGCCGAACAGCACCTTTGACATCTTCCCTCGGCGACCGTAAGCGTGCGCCTCCGATATTTCCTTCCCGTCGCCCGTCACAAAAACCTCGGCGCGGCTTACGCGCCTCGATATCGGAAGCTATGGGCAAACTCATCCGTCTTGAGCTCTTCAGTGCGCCTTGTCCCCATGCAAACCTCGGTCGCAATACTAACGCTGCCATCTAGACTTCAAGTCGTATAAGGGCCACCACACCCTCTTGTTCGGCGACTCATACTTCACTTCCATCATCGGCCCCAATGGATCGGGAAAGTCCAACTCGTAAGACTCCTTGCGCCCCCTCTTACCCCTTAGATCGAGCAAGAACTGACTCGCCACCGCAGCATGGACGCCATCTCCTTCGTCCTCGGCATCAAATCCTCTCACCTGCGCTCTGCTCACCTCAAGGATCTGGTTTATCGCGGCCGCGTTCTCAAGACCTCCAAGATCAATGACGATGGGTCTGCAGAGGCTAACGGCGGTGCCAACGGGCTCTCCGACAACGATGCTAAGGCCTCCCGAAGCGACCCCAAGACTGCCTGGATAATGGCCGTCTACGAGGACGATGCCGGTGAGGAACAGAGATGGAAGCGTTCCATCACCAGTCAAGGCGCCAGCGAATACCGCATCAACGATCGTGTCGTTTCCGCGCAACAGTACAACGAGGCCCTCGAGGCAGAAAACATCCTCATCAAGGCCCGTAACTTTCTCGTCTTCCAGGGCGACGTCGAGGCCATTGCCTCCCAATCGCCGCAAGACCTGACACGCCTCATTGAGCAGATTTCTGGAAGCCTCGAATATAAGGCGGAGTACGAGAAACTCCAGGTCGACGCCGAGCAAGCCGCCGAAAACCAAAATTTCCAACTCCACAGGCGGCGTGGCATCAACTCGGAGATCAAGCAGTACCGCGAGCAGAAGAAGGAGGCCGACAGCTTTCAGAAAAAGACCGAGGACAGGGACGCCGCCATCATCACACACTGCCTCTGGAAACTCTACCACTTCCAAAAGGCCATGGACGAGTCTAGCTCTGCCATACAGGATCACCAGGAGGACCTCAAGGAGCTGCGACGCAATGTCGAGGCCTTTGAAGCGCGCCTGGAAGCAGCCCGCAAAGAGCAAGTCGCCGCCGGACGCAGAGTCGCCGGGACGGAGAAGGGGATTAAGCTCAAGGAACGAAGCATCGAGGACGGAGAGAACGCCCTGGTTCCGGTCGACGAGAAGATTCATGAAACCTCTCAGCAAGTTGGTAAGCTAGAAGCTCAGGGTCAAAAAATTGCAAAGGAGCGAGACGAGCAGGCCGAGGTCGTCGGCAAGGTTCAAAAGGACACCACAAGTGTCGATCGGGCACTGCAGGTTTTCGAGGCGGACATCAAGGAGCAGATGAAGAAGCAGGGACGAGACATCAGCGACGCAGATCGCAAAGAGTACAACGTTCTCCGCGCTCAAGTCATGGCGCGCTCCGGTAGCAACCAAGTCAAGCTTGAAAACCTCGAGCGGCAGCGCAAAGCCGACGAGATCACGGTCAACAACCTCAAGGGTAAGGTCGACAGCATCCAGGCCGCCATTCACAAGGCCGAGGCCGAGCTGGCGAGCACCGCAGAGCGGCGGAGCTCCGCCGAAGCTGCCGTCCAGGAAATAACCCATGATATTGCCAGCAAGAAGAAGCAGTTCAATCAACTGCAATCAGAACGGGTGCGGACCAACCAGAAACGGACTGAATTGGAGGAGAAGCTCGAGGACGTGGCTCGCAAGCTTCGAGACGCGGACGACGGCCGGCGTCAAAACGATCGCGAAACACGCATGAAGGACATGGTAACCTCTCTGAAGCGAGTCTTTCCCGGTGTGCGCGGCCGCATCGGCGATCTGTGCACGCCAAAGCAGAAAAAGTACGATGAGGCAGTCATTGTTGCCCTCGGCAGGGACTTTGACTCGGTCGTCGTCGATACGGAAAAGGTTGGTGTCGAATGTGTTCAGTACTTGAAGGAGCAGAGGTTCCCGCCCATGACCTTTATCCCCCTGGACAACATCAAGGTCAACGCTGTCAACTCGGCCATCAAGGGGTTTTCCGGTGCGAGGCTGACCATTGACACGGTCAACTTCGATTCTTCAGTGGAGAGAGCCGTGTCTTATGCCTGTGGCAGCTCGGTGGTGTGCGATACTCTGGACATTGCCAAGCACATTTGCTACGAGAAGAAGACGTCCGTCAAGGCAGTGACACTGGAGGGATACATTATCCACAAGGCCGGGCTGATGACTGGCGGGCGTGGTCCGGATCACAAAGGGGGGAAACGCAAGTTCGAGGAAGCTGATGTACAGAACCTACAACGAATGGCCACCAAGCTGAGGGACGAGATTGATCGTCTGCCGAAAGCAGACAGGCGCGGCACCTTGGAGGAGTCCCTCCAGATCGACTTGGCCGGTCTTGAGCGACGGCTTGCGGCAACCAAGGACGAGCTGGCAGCGTTCAACAAGAACTGGATCAGCAAGAAGCGTGAGCTGGACAGTTGCAAGAAGCAGCTGCGCGAACTGGAGCCCAAGTATGAAGACCAGGCCTCCCAGCTCGAGAGCACCTGGGAGACCCTGCAGGAGTTCAAGGACGCCATTGCCCGCGTGGAAGACGAGGTCTTCACCGACTTCTGCAATCGACTCGGATACGGCGACATTCGGGCGTACGAGGCATCCCAGGGGAAGTTCGAGCAGGAGGTGTCGGAAAAGCGGAGTCAATTCGAGGTTCAGAAGCAGAGGCTCGAGAGCCGCCTCAAATGGGAGGTTGCGCGCCACGGCGACACTGAGACCAGGATCAGACGGATGCAGGATCAAGTGCGACGGCTGAAGCAGGACATCAAGGCGTACACAAAAGAGAAGTCTGATATTGAATCGACGATGGTTCAAGAGCGTGACGAATTGGAGGCGCTACGACAGACACTAGAAGAGCTCAAGGCGGAGTTGGTGGACAAGAACCAAAGGGTCGGCGAAGCCCGAGCCGAGGTGCAGAAGCGGAGCAAGGATATAGAAGCACGTCAACGAGACATCAACGCGCTGGAGACGACTGTGCAGAAGAACAGCGCTGGCAAGTCGGCCCTGCTTCGAAGGTGCCGGCTGGAGCAGATACAGGTTCCCTTGCTTGAAGGCACGCTTGACAATCTTCCCAATGAAGACGACCTACTACGGCAAGACCCCGAGGCCATGGACGTTGACGGAGACGACGAGGAAATGATGGACCTTGCACTTGACGACCACGGCATTGAAATCGACTTTGACGACCTCGATGGCGAGCTAAAGGAGGTAAGTTGGGTCAAGCGTTGATGTGTCTCGAGATGGCTGATGCTGACACAAAGCAGTCTGATGATCCGAGCGTTGAGGACAACTTGACGCAAAAGATTGCAGCTCTCAGCTCGGAGCTGGAGAAACTCAATCCGAACATGCGCGCCATGGAGCGTCTGGAGAGCGTTGAGACGAGACTCAAACAGACGGACCAAGAGTACGAAGATTCCAAGGCGGCGGCACAAGCTGCTAAGGAGGCCTTCAACGGCGTCAAGCAGAAGCGATACGACTTGTTCAACAAAGCCTTTGGCCACATCCAGGAGCAAATCTCGCACGTGTACAAGGACCTAACTCGCTCAGAGGCATATCCTCTAGGCGGCCAGGCCTACCTGGACATTGAGGAGGATACAGACATGCCATATCTGTCGGGCATCAAGTATCACGCCATGCCGCCGCTGAAGCGATTCCGGGACATGGAGCACTTATCGGGAGGGGAGAAGACGATGGCGGCGCTGGCCCTGCTCTTCGCAATCCACAGCTACCAGCCGAGCCCCTTTTTCGTGCTCGACGAGGTGGATGCTGCCCTGGACAACGCCAACGTGGACAAGATCAAAAAGTACATCCGGGAGCATGCGGGGCCCGGGATGCAGTTCATTGTCATCAGCCTCAAGACGGGCCTTTTCCAGGACTCGGAGAGCTTGGTGGGCGTGTATCGAGACCAAGAGGTCAATAGTTCGAGGACATTGACGTTGGATGTGAGTCCGAACCTACCCCCTCGAATGACAAAATGTTTGGAAGCTAACGCACGAGTCACAGCTGAGGAAATACGCGTGAATGGATTCAGGATAGACAGGTGTATATCTGATAGTCTATCCCACCCCAGTCTATTCCAAAATATGATTGTTGTCGGCCCAGGTCGGCTGCACGCCGCGACAAACCGTCTCATAGTCTCCCAGCACGGGATGTTTGCCACTCAACCCGAGCGTCGTCCAAAACATGGCCCAGCCTGAATCCCGCAACTTGCAGATTCCCGCCGACCGCTCAAAATACCACTTGTTGACCGGGTTGTTCTTGCGGCTCCTCCAGCAGACGCCGCGCGGGAAACAGTCTTGGACCATGGCATTGAAGACAATGTCAGCAACGCCTCCACTTCCCTGCCGGTCCCGGAGAACGGCGAACTTGTCGAGGTAGGGGACGAGTCGCCCGCTGTCGTAGGCTTCCTGCTGACCTATGCCGGCTGGCCGCTCCCACGTAAATATCGCTCCGCCCTCGTACTCGCCGGCGATGATGATGCCGGCCAGGTTGTCGTTCACGCGGTCGAGGTAAGCCTGGACATCGAGCTTTCGATTGAAGGAGTCCTCAATCAGGTGGACCAGCCGGGGAAGGTCGATACAAGTGTCCGTCAGCCGGAGGCGGGACGCGCCCGGCCTTGGTGGGCGCCATGGGCGGACCCTGGGGTCGGGGTATATAGTGACTGGCATGCCGCGTTTGACCAAGGTCGCCGCGCCCGAATCTGTCAGCTGCAGATGGCCAACGCCCTCTCCTTTGATCCTCTGGAGCGGCAGTGAAGGCGACGATGCAGGCCTGTCGGTGAGGAGGTTGTGAAGTAGTGGGTTCCGCTGCCGCCTGGTTGTGACCATTTCAGCGAAGCCGAATGCTGGATGGTTCAATGCCGCGCCCGGGGGAGCAGGCGAAGATTGTGGCGCCGTGTTGGCCGCAGCGAGCGGTGTGGTGACGAGGGCCGACGACGACGGCGGCAACAGGGAGAGAACATCCTTGGCGAGGTTGAGGTTTGCCGCGTGAGTCGGCCCCTGCTCTCTGTTCTCGCCCGGCTGTCCAGTTGAGGAGTCTCGACGGGTTGCAAGATGATTCATCAGCGTGCTATACTCCTGCTCGAGGTTGATGAGGCGGTGGCAGAGATCGGGCCGGCTTGGCATGGGGGTTCCTCCCAGAGGGTCCAGCACGATGAGCCTCTCCACCGAGGCAATCCTCCTCGGCCGAATGTCGCCGGCGCAGTCGTCGCCGAGGCCTTGAAACTGCATGCCGTTGAGGTACTTTGTCAGGGTCAGGACCGTCTCGTGCGCCTCGGCTGGCTGGGGCGCCGAAATGTCGTCGCGGCGGGCGAGGCACGGGGCTATGACGATCATGCCGTGCTGCAGTGCCCGTTCAAGCAGCCCCTGATCGTCGACGCGCATTCTGTCGGAGAAAATGGAAGCCGACGGGGTGAGGTCTCTGGGAGATTGCCATGCGAACATGTTGTCGGCAACCTTGGCGGCCGATAGGTCCAGGGAAGAGTCAAGGGCCTCGCACAGGCGCCAGGCCTCGTCTTTATACGTCTGGCGGGTGGCATCGAGGCCACAGTCGACGACGACAATGGCAAGCAGGCCCAGGGCGCGGAGCTGGGTGAGGGTCCTAGCGATGCCATGGATGTTGTCGGACGGCAGGCGCTGGGGCATGCGCAGCGTTACGATGGCTACGTTGAAGGGCTCGTCGGAGGCTGGGATTTGGCGCTCCTGTGGGACGCCCTGGACAAACTGGGGGCTGTCTGGTTCCGGATGGACCTTGCGGGAGGCGTACTTTTGGAGGTAGCCCTTTGCTTCGCGGCTTGTAGCCGAGGACTCGAGCACGGAGACGACGACTTCCTGAGCGGCCGGGGTCAGAGACGAAGGTCGGGCCAGGAGGAAGAGAAAAGGCGGATATTTACCCTGTCGAGGGCCAGCTTCCTCGCGCGACCAGTCGAAGGGCTCGACAAGAGCCGAGCCAGAGTTAGTCGTGGAAGAAGATGGACGGCGAGGCCACGACGGCAGGCGGAGCGCATGGCGCCGCGATAGGCCCAAGGCATGATGCCGGCGGTAGGATGGTGTCGGACTGGTTGGAGGCGGCAGTCGCAAGCGGGCGTGCTGACGTTGGCTTGGCGTGGGTACGCGGGTGTACTGGATGGATTCGTGCATGCTGGTAATACCGCATTTAGGATGTGTCTGTGGGCAAGGGGGGGTTGCCGATGCAGTGCGATGTCGGGATGGATGGCTTTTGAGTGGCTTCAAGCCATTGTGTTTGAGAAGGCCTCGTCGAGGGCGATTGTTCGCCAGATTGGCGCCATTGCTCACGGGCCAATCTTTTTTGTGAGACGTAAAACCAAACTGTATCTGGAGAAAAAGGCTAATTAATTATCTGGGTGGTGCTGCAAAAATGGCATCGTGTGCGCACATGTGATGCGAATTTATGCATCATCTGCTAGCAGCTGGGGCTTTCGAGAAACCGTGTTTGCGGCCTTTGGAAGGCAGTCGACGAAGACGGGAGGATGACGAGGCTACAGTAATTAATTATTAATAATTAGAGCGCAGCCTGGTGGTCGCTCCGATGCTGAGCTGAGCTCCCTCGGATGCTGAGCTCCCTCCCATGCTGAGCTCTGATGCTGAGCGCGCACGGGCCACCCTTGCATCGAAAGGCCCTGCTCGAAAGGCCCTGCCTCGAAAGGCCCTGCCCTGCCTGTGTCGACTCACTTTTGATCCAAGCAAACTCCTTTCCAACAACAGCTCACGACCACAACGCGGCTGCTGCGGCAATCACGGGACCCAACGACCGAAAGCTCATCGCGGGGGCTTGCGCGACCGAAACCCACCGCGGCGCAATGACGGATTAGTCCCCGAGGCGATGCTCAGCCTTGCATCGTCCTTGAACATCAGGGCTGCCACTCGCTCGTCCCTTGGACGGCCCACGAGCTTGAGACAACCATCTCCCGCCTCGTGCTCGTTCGACTCCCGTCTTCTCGATATACCCGCGCACCGATGCCATGGATCTCGCAGTGACCCTCATCAAGTCCGTCATGCGGGCCTTTTACCCGACGCGCGACATCCTCGTGGTGGACGCTCTGATACTGCATGAGACGTACGCTCTGTTCGCCCCGCAGGCAATCGTCGGTCGACGTCGGCTGACCGAGTGCTTTACCAGGCTTCGGGACGACGACTTGGCCTACTTGATGGCCATCAACACAAAGGACCTGCACAAGATCTGCGGCAAGCTGAGAGAGGACCGCTTCTTAACAGTGTCTGTTGTGCCTCTCCGCGCCCGGCTGCGCAAAGACTCTTCACCATGCGCTGACTCGGTGGCAGACACACGAGGCAAGAGCTGCGTCCAGGCAATCCCCGCCCGAGCAACCGAACGTGGTACTACATCAACTACCGCCATACAATCGACGCCATCAAATGGCGAGTCTACACCATCGACAAGGAGGTGCAAGGCAGTTCGGTTGCTGTCAACGAGAAGAAGGAGTATTTCTGCACCTTTTGCAAGGCCGAATGGACCGCCATGGAAGTCCTCGACAACGTCGGCCCCAACGGCTTCCTCTGCCACCGCTGCCACCACACCTTGACGTTTGAGGCGGACCGCAACTCAGGCGGGCACGAACAGTCGACTCGTCTCAACGACCAATTCAAGTTCATCGGCGAGCTCCTCCCCAAGATTGATGTTGTCCATATCCCCGAGTGCGACTTCGACCGAGCCTTGGCCAAAGCGCGGCCTGTTGTTCGGGACGCCACCCACCAGCGTGCCGCGACGATACCCGTCGACGCCGGAGCGAATCGGCCCATGGCTGTCAAGGGCCTCACCAACACGGGGCCGCAGTCAATTGCCGTTAACATTTCGACAGCCGAAGGGCCCTCGGAGATTGAAAAGGAAGCCGAGAGGGCTCGCAAGGAGAAGATTGCCCGACAGAACGCGTTACCAGCCTGGATGTCCAATAGCACCGTCACCGGAGAATCCTTTGCCGGGGTTGCCGACACCAGCGCAGCCACTGCAAAGAAGGAGGTGGCCGAGGATGCGTCAAGGGGGAGGCCTGAGGATAGCAGCACCATCGCCCAGATCGACGATATCTTTGAGAAGCTCAAGGCCGATCAAGCGGTGCAGAGAGCACGAGAGGAAAATGGCGGGGGGGATGAAGAGTTTGGCTCGGAAGAAGAGGACGACGAAGATGAGTTTGAAGACGTACCGGCAACGGCAGACGTCTCTGGTCTCGGCACACCAGGCTTGACGGGGATCAAGCGAGAAGGCGAGCCACTCAACGGCCTGGACGCCTCAGGGGAAAGAGTCGCGAAGCGAGCCAAGATGGAGCCTGGGCTGAAGATGGAAGGGGGTATCGGGGAAGACGGCGGAGACGATGAGGAAGACGAAGAAGTCGAGTTTGAGGACGTATAGAGAACACAGGCGAAATTAGGGGCAAGACGGGAGGAACGCGCCAGCGAGTGGGAGGCAAGGGGAGTGAACTCTGGAGCCACGGAGGATAGAGGATCACGTCTGCTGTGACAGGATGGACGAAGGGCGATGGCAATATCGTGCAGATGGCCGAGGGGAAGGGGACACGCGCGCAACCGCGGGACAAGGAGAAGTAGAGAGATTGCAGCACACTGTACGCAGTAAAAGCCAGCCCAGTCACCTGCCTGGGTCCATGGATGCATCTGAGAGTGCTTGTCCGATGAAATAGAAGTTTGCAGTTGACTCGATGTACTGTGCTGTATCTCGGCGAGGCTGCAGCCTGCCCTGGTTGGTACCTCCGTCGACAGAATAAAACAGGGTTTCTTTTGCCTCTCCCGTCATCCCGTGCGCCATATATTTAATTGAACACGCGTTGTGGGCGCTGGCGCAGCGGAGCCCGCGATGCTGCCGGGAGCGAGAGCCTCCTTGTTGTCGCGCGTCTGGGCAAAAACGTATTGACCGGCGCATTGACTGGCCCTAGCAAGTGGCAACCTTGCCACTTCCCTCCCTCATGCATGGGCTTGAGCTATCGACGACAAACGACCACCCTTGCTGTCGCCATGTCTTTCGAGGGACCACTGAAATGCCGCTCGACTTCCCCCCCATCTACCTGCTCTCGACTCACCTGTCGCCGGACGAGCTCCACCGGCTCGAGGGCAGCATCCCGTCCCTGACGTACGACATCCACGAGGCTCAAGTCGTCGTGGGCAACATCTCCAAGACGGCACGCGCCCAGTTTGAGCTCAGACGCCTCAAGCTCGACACGGAGCCAATCCTCGGAGGCGCCCTTGCCCGTGGCGGCGGGGCTTCCGAGGTGGCCGCCTCGGTCCAAGTGCTCAAGCTCTCTTGGCTCACGGATTGTCTGCAACGGGACACTGTGCTGCCCACGGACGATTATCTCCTCTATCGGGGCCGCAGGCTGGACGCTGGCTCGTCGAGAAAACGCCCACCATCGCCCGCCACGACGGGCATCCCGTGGCGTGCACGGCGCGTGAGCGGTGGCACCTCATCCATGCAGGCGTTGAGAGGTGCTTCGCATGGACCCGGCCGGTCACGTCATCCCCCACCGGCTTTGGCCCATCAAACGACATCCGAACATGACGCGATTCAGCCCTTGGTGCCCGCGTACCTCCATACCACGTACTCGTGCCAGCGGCCAACACCCGTCCACAGCCCCAATGCTGCCTTCATCGAAGAGCTCAAGAGCATCCGAACTCTGCGTCTTCTCCAAGGAGACCAGATCGGTGTGAGGGCGTACTCGACGTCCATTGCGACGTTGGCCGCGTACCCGCATCCACTGCGATGGTCTCTGGGTAAGACTCCCTCGACGAATCCGTTGGCGCCATGTGTTGAACAGAAGTCACCGCTTAGAAATCGCCAGGCTCCCGGGCTGCGGCGGCAAGATCGCCGCGCTCTATCAGCAGTGGCGCGAACACGGCCAAACCAAGGAGGCAGCCGATGCGATGTCGGATCCCAAGCTGGCTGTCCTCAAACTCTTCTACGGCATTTGGGGCGTGGGAGACAGCGTCGCTCGAGAATTCTACGCCAAGGGTTAGGCAACCGGCGACAAGGGAGCATATTAGACCATCTGCTAACATGAGACAGGATGGAGGAATCTCGACGATGTTGTCGAGCACGGGTGGGCGTCTCTCAGCCGGGCACAGCAGATAGGGGTCAAGTTCTATGATGAGTTGAAACTCAAGATTCCGCGCCGAGAAGTCGAGGCCATTGCGCAAATCATTCTGTCGAACGCGCGAGGAATCGACGCCGGCTTCGAAATGACGATTGCGGGAGGTCATCGAAGAGGGAAAGGGGAAAGCGGGGACGTCGACGTGATTCTGAGCCACCGAGACGAATCCAGGACGCTGAGTTTCACAGACAAGGTGGTGCTAAGCCTGGAGAGAGGCGGCTTCATCACTCACACGCTGAGTCTGTGGACGAGAAATAGCGAACGGGGCCAGATCCCACTGCCGTGGAAGGGAGACGGCGCAGGCCGGGGCACAGGATTCGACACGCTGGACAAGGCCATGGTGGTGTGGCAGGCGCCGGGCAGCACGACGGAGACGGAGCCGACGCCGCACCGGCGCGTGGACATAATCGTCAGTCCGTGGAAGACGGTGGGGTGCGCGTTGCTGGGCTGGAGCGGCGGGACCACGTTCCAGCGCGACCTGCGGCGGTACTGCAAGCGGGAACTGGGCCTCAAGTTTGACAGCAGCGGGATCCGGAGGCAAGACACGGGCGAGTGGGTGGACCTGGAGGGGGCCGGAGGGGACGGAGCGTCTTGGGACCGGGGCCCGGCGCCGGACATGGAGACGGCCGAGAAGCGAGTCTTTGAGGGCCTGGGCCTGCCCTGGCGGCCACCGGAAGAGAGGTGTACGGGCTAACTGCACGCCGACGGATGCTGGTGCGGCTTTGTAAGCGGCAGGTCGAGGTCAGGAAGAGAGTTCAGATGCGGACTTTGGTGCGGACTTGCAAAGTTGATGATGCTGATGACCCACCAGACCGGAACACCGGGGGAGTGCAGAGTGCAGTAGGAGTGCAGTAGGAGTGCCGTAGGAGTGCCGTAGGAGTGCAGTACCTAGGTGGGTCGTACGTAATTACTCTGTACCCTGCCTAGCCTCGTCATTCTCCCAGGCACCAACTTCATTATTACCAAATGGCATGGTACCTTAATTACTGTCAGCAGGACAAAGACTTATAAACTATACCAATAACACCTTCACTGGGGGTGCCCCTATTTTGCTGGTGGTTAAGTGGTATTTGCCCTGTTCGACACTTACCTACGTCTGTACCTAGGTACTGTACCCACTAACTATACCTACCTACCTAGCTATCTACTCCCTACCTGCCTAGCGGCCAAGTCCCTGTTCCGGCGTTTGACGCCGGCGGCGGCAACTGCGGAGGCGGAGGGGGGCCTTCAAGGAGCCCCTGGGGCAGGGAGGTCCGAACCCCGGATCTCCCTCAATCCCGCCGAGTCCCCGTAGGTCCACGTACCGTCTTACTATTACTAGGTACCGAGGTACCTACTGTACCTACATGCCTACTAGTACGCCGTACCTACCACCCAAGTCACCTACCTACCTTGGGTACTTTACCTAGGTAGGTAGCCTCCTCCATCCGCCCTGCGAAGCGGCCGACTACATAAGAAGGAGGCTCGACTCCCGTCCTTCTCTTCCATCCCCACTTCTCCCTGCCTTCTCAACCCCCGTCTCATCCGACTCTCGACTTCCCTTGTTCCCAGTGCTCGCCTCTGCCAACTCTCGCAAAAAAAGATGCCTTTCCTGCTCGAGCTCCCGGACCAGTACGGGTCGGTGCCAATGCCCACGCTCTGCCACTTGGTCTCTCGCCCAGCTAACAAACCTTCCATTCAGCCTCGTCCTCGCAGCCGCCACAAGCACCTTCTTCGTCAACACCCTTCATGTCGTGCGCACATCCAAGTTCCGCAAGGCCAGTGGCTTGAAGTATCCTATCGCCTATGCTACAACCGAGCAGGCCGACAAGGACCCCAATGCCTATCTCTTCAACTGCGGCACGTAACCCGCCGTGTTCCCCATGTCCTGCGTGCTCTCTAACCTTGCCCCAGCCCAGCGAGCTCACTCCAACTTCACCGAGAACCACACTTCCTTTCTTGGCGCTCTCCTCATCGCCGGCCTTCGCTACCCCTTTCCCGCCGCTGTCCTCGGCGCCGGCTGGGCTGTTTCCAGAGTCATCTATGTCCTTGGCTATACCTCTGCCGGCCCTGCCGGCAGGCTCGCGTACGTCCTTGGCCGTCTCTGCCTCGTGTCCCACTGATTAATCATTTCTGCTGCAGCGGCTCCATCGGCGCATCCTTATCTGACTCATTGCTCAAACTCGCGGCCGCTTATACCTCCGTCATGCTCGTCCTAGGCCAATAGAAGAATCTTTTCCTCTCCCTGGTTTGGATCATGTGCCGAATCGTGTGGGGTGCTGTATCTTGCTGCGACCTGCCGGCCAAGGTCTCCTCTCTGTGTCGATAACTGAACTAGCAGCCTCCGTAGCTTGGCCGTATAACCCGTGACAGTTTGTCAACTTTGTTACCTGCGAGCAACTCTCCGTTTTCTGAGCTCTGGGCTGCTTGCTCCGTCGTCGCCGATTCCGAGGCTGTCCATGTCATCTCCGCCCGCCTCTTTTGCCCAGTCTCGCTCGATCCCATTGTTGCCCAAGAGGTAGTCGCCCAGGTATTTCATGGCATTGAACATTTCCTCGCCGGTCGGTATGATTTGCTCCTTAGGCAAAAGAAAGGCATAAGTGCCAGTATCTCGGAGCTTGATCTGGTAACTGAAACGGGCCCCCATCTCGTGATAAAACCAGTCAATGGCGGAGCCTCCCCCCGACTCGATACGAGACTGCGGCTTGTTCCGGCGCGGCTCCTTGGCCGCCACGGCGCCTTCGCAGGCCCGAGCGACTGCGTACGGCTCTCCGTTCGAGATCCGGATAGCTCTGGCGATGCCTGTGGCGACCTCTTCCAAATTCTCCAGGTTCGGAGGGTCCACGGCACACGAGGACGAGAAGGGGAAGAGAATTTGCTGAGAGTAGGAGTGAAGATCGAGGAATGCCACGAACTGGACCTTGTTAAGGGTCCCGTTGCGAGCCCACTTGGCGAGCTGCATCGCCTCGACAGCCTGGAATGGCTCTTGTCCACCGTAACTTTCAGAGCAAGGGTCGCTCTGGTTTTGCGAGTCGTCCCACTCGAAGCCGAACGCGTGGTCAAGGTCCAGACCGCGGCAAAAACGTATCCGCGTTGGCTGTCTGGACTTGCGCCACAGACGATCTGTTTTCCACGTGTATTCGAAACCATCCGGGTTGATGACGGGCATAAAAACCATGTCAAAATTACTGAGTAGCTTCCTAATCATCCGCTCCTTGCCGAACGATGTAATGAACGACCAAGCCAAGTAGTTGACGGTGCTGGTCGAAATCCATTCACGCGCGTGGAGGCCTCCGGTGACGACAACCGTCTTTCGCGGGACATCGGAATCGGACAGGTCGGACAAGCCGACGCGCAGGGCCGGTATATCTCTGCCCTCGAATGATTTGCCCACTGTGACGTAACTGACATACGAGGGAAACATAGCCTCGAGCAGGCGCAACCAGCGGATAATGACAGGAAGCGGCTGGTAATCGTGGAAGAAGAGGTTGTCTTCGGGCGCCAACGGTGTGAGGAGTGCCTGAGAGACAGCCTCGGCCTCGACGGTATCCGGGCGACCATTCGAAGGCAAGGACTGATGCACAGCGGCAGCGAGGTCGGAGATCAAGGTCGACTGAGACGAGCGGAGAGATTGCGGGAGGAGACCGAGGAGAGGCGCCACCTCGTCGGCATGGAGGCGTATGTCGACGAAGTCATCGGTGAAGGCCCATACGTCGAGGAAGAGCCGAGCGGCGGCCTCGGAGAGGGTCGTTTCTTCATCGGCCGTGCTAATGTTGAAACGGAGAACGAGCTCGTTGGCATACTTTGCCGGCGGGATTTGGGCAACATCCGATGGCTGGTCAGCGGCCTTTGACGGATGGCGCCCAAAAACATGCTCGATGGCGGAGTCACGAAGCCTTGCCAGCCATGGGAACAAACGGACGTTTGGACAGTTGTTGTAGTGGACGCCGGCGGAGAGGGCCGGATGGAGTAGTGCGAGCAGCAGCAGCAACAGCAGAGGGATTGACGGCCGGGTCGATGGACCAGCGACGCTGGGGTTTCCCATGCCCGCTGCAAGTGTCGGCGCTTTAGAGATGATGGAAAAGGCGTGTCTTCTGAACCAGCTGGTATGGGTAGTAGGAGGAGGAGGAGACGGGGAGGCGTTACTGATGGATCTTGCCTCGTTCCATGTAAGAAGGCGGCACCACTCAGTAATTAGCGGTATGTTCTTTCGATGGAGCCTTTTAGTCAGGTACATACTATGTACCTTGTAAGGTAGGTACCTAGATATCCGTGTAGATACACGAAGGCACCGAGTCAACCAGGAACTTACTTGTACCTACCAACACTTGTCGCCGCATCATGCCATGACATCGGCATTGCCTTAGCAGTAATTACCTAACACCTCCTAGGTTACCTATCCTCCGTTGGTGCTTCAGTCAGCACTCTCTGACTAAGGGTATCCGGGGCTTGTATCTGCCGGTACTTTGTGCATGCGTTGTGGGCTGAGCAAGGTGCCGCCAATCTCCTGGATACAGCTGGGTACCCATGGCATGTGTTTTGAGTGCCTGACGGCTTTCTCTCTCTACCTTACAGTAAGGACCGAGATACATACCTTAGGTACCAAGTAGGTACAGTACGTACCCGCTGGCAGCACCTGCACCGAACAGAGCCACAGCCCCTGGCCGCCGCTGCGCCTGACAATTGTTAGCATGCCTCCTTCCAACTATTATTACCTTCCCATGCCCTTAACCTTCCATCATCCTCCAGTCAGTCAATCCGGGCCTCGAACAAACAGAGAGCATTGCGACACAAGGCGAGGGGACACAAGACGAGAGCCATCCTACGAGACTTGCGACAGCTTCCAAAACCACGCGGCTTGACGACGGCGTCGACGACCAGCGCAAATGATTTCCACGTGAACCCACAGCGACGGCCGTGGCCTCCCGGAAACTAGACATTTGCTGTCGCAGCAAACTCTAAGTGACGAGAACGTTGTCGTCTCCCAAACCGCTCACCCTCTGCCTCTGCAACGGCTTCCTCGGATCCATCGGCCAGGCGCCGTCGCGTGCCATGACCATCGCCCCCAGCCATGCCTTTACTTCGTCGTCGAGGCACCATGGCTAGCGAGACTGACATGCGACGCCTGAATGCCGCTGCGCCAAGAGCCTCCGACGACAACAACCCAAGCAACGCCGACGATGACAGCGACTCCGGTGCGCCTCTTGCCTCTGCCCTTTCGGCACAGCAGCCCCTGCGCCAGCAGCAACGGCGGCCCCCGCCAATCGCCCTTCCAGACGCCGCCTCGCCTCAGCCACCGAGCCGCGAATCCGCCCAGGCCGAGCAAGAGTCCAACAAACATCGACGCTTCTCCGTCTTGCGCTTCCGAAATGCATCCGACTCTCAGCTCTCTCTCAGGGCCAAGCAGCAGGCCGAACGGCCTCCCCCTGTCCCGAGACGTACTTGATCCCGCACCCTTGTTCGCCTTGCCCACTCTCTGTTTGCTGACCAAGTTCATAAACACATCCAGCCCCCGCCATTGTCACTACTGCCCCGACAAACGAAATTACCGGCCCCAAGAAAATGTCGTCTCGCATGAGTCTCGCTGCAAAGTTTCGACGCTCCAACGACATCCCCCGGCGAGATGACGACGATGCCAAGAACCAGCCTCGCCAGCCCCCAAGGGCCTCGTTTACGGAAGACAGAGGCCGCCCATCCCTCGCTACCCTTACCGAGCCACGATCTCCTTCTCCCGGCCCCAATGGCGCCGCTCTCGATGCCTCCAACAAGCGTCAGTCCGACTCCTCCAAGTCCGATGCAAGCTCCGTCGACCACGTCTCCCATCCCAGCCCGTCGTCCACCATCAGGAAACCCCAATCTTCCACGCCCTTCTTCAAGCTACGCAGAGGAAAAAGGGCCCCCGAACAACTATTTCCCATGGCACATCTTCCGCAGAAGAACGCGGCCCAACCCGCGAGCGCCTCGTCAACGTCCCTTGGCGCAGGTTCCACACCACGTCCTAGCTCGGCCCGGAGTGCAACAACTCCGCGTGCCCGGACTGATCGCCATGAAGATGGGTCGGTTGCTCAAGCAGCTCCCACCGCTCTCCTCGCCCGTAGCAGCGCCACCCATTCCAGCCACTCTTCGCCGACACGGGCTCATCTGCTGAGGGAGAGATCGTCCACCATGAGCTCCATGGGCCGCGAATCAACGGACGACCACCTTCTTCCGCCTACGACACGAACCTCGACTTCAACTGGCCGCAAGAGCTTTGGGGACCTATTCGGGCTAAGCCGCATTCGCCAGAATTCCGAGCTGAGCCGCCAGGGCTCGCTGACGCCTGCGACTCCAGGCTCCATTACGTCCAAGAGCAACTCTCTTCAATTGTCGAGAGGCTCCATTGTGCTGCCAGAACGTCGTGATGACGAGTCACCAGCCAAGTACCTCGCGCGCCTTGAAGAAGTCGTTAGCCGAGGGCTGATCGCGTCCGCCGTCTCCAAAGGCACCGATCCTTTCACGGCCGCCGTGCTGAGAAGCTATATGAGAAAATTCAGCTTTTTCGGTGACCCGATGGACATGGCCCTTCGAAAGCTATTGATGGAGGCTGAGTTGCCAAAGGAGACCCAGCAGATAGACAGATGCCTGCAGGCGTTTGCCAACCGCTATCATGAGTGCAACCCTGGTATTTACTCATCCCCAGATCAAGCCTATTTCATCGCCTTCTCCCAGTTGATTCTTCACACGGATGTTTTCAACAAGAACAACAAGCACAAGATGCAAAAGTCAGACTATCTGAAGAACACTCGTGGGGAAGGCATTTTTGACGAGATCCTCGAATGCTTTTATGACAATATATCCTACACGCCCTTTATCCACGTGGAAGACGAGATCGACCTGAACTCAGAACGCAACGCCACAAACAAGAGGAAGAAGAAGAAGCAACTCTTTTCAGCCAACCCTGGGGATCCTGCCAAGCGAGCTATCAAGGAACCCATAGACCCGTACACGCTAATAATGGATGGCAATCTGGATGCTTTGCGGCCGAATCTCAAGGATGCAATGTCCTTGGATGATCACTACACTTATTTGGGCACCTCCACCAGCCTCAACCTAAGAGATTTGCAAAAGACCTTCTTCAGGACGGGAGTTCTGCAAATTGTCTCGGCCAGATCTCGCCCCGACGCTTTCATGTCGGAAAAGACAGCCACGAATCCCGCCGAGGCGCACCCCGGCATCGTGGATATCAAGATCACAAAGGTCGGCCTACTGTGGCGAAAGGAAATCAAGAGGAGGAAGACACGCTCGCCTTGGCAAGAATGGGGAGCCATTCTCACCGGAGCCCAGCTGTACTTTTTCCAGAACACCAGTTGGATCAAGAATCTGATGCACCAGTACGAAAATCACCTCAAGGCGGGGCATGACGGGATCCCCATCATCTTCAAGCCACCCCTGGAGGAGTTCAAGCCGGATGCATTGATGTCCACGCAAGGGGCTGTCGCTCTTGTGGACACCACGTACAAAAAGCACAAGAATGCTTTTGTCTACGTCAGACAAGGCGGGCTGGATGAGGTGCTTCTCGCCGACAACGAGGAGGAGCGAAACGACTGGCTAGCCAAGCTTAATTACGCTGCTGCTTTTAGGACATCAGGGGTTAGGATGCGAGGTGTCGTTGGAGGCCACTACGATGGCCAGGGCCGTCGCGGCATGAGGCGTCTCGATAGCTCCGACGCCACGCAGCTTATCCAGACCCCAACCGGCCCTGTTTCCATTGCGCGCGGCCGGATTGATCACAAGATGGCGCAGGACATCCAAACAGCCAGGCGGGACGGGCTGCAGCAGAAGATTACAGAAGCTGACCGTAAGGTCGAGGATGCTCAAAAACGACTTGAGGAACATCTCAGGAACGCCCGTCATCTTCAAATATTGGCGCCCATCCAGCCCAGGACGAGGGAATCACTCTTGCTGGCCGCGGCTCGCATGGCCGCACAGCTCAAGTGGACTCGCATGGAGATATGGAAAGAAACTTGCCATCGCGATATTCTAGTTCAGGACCTTGCGGAAGACCGACCAACGTCTGCGTCGACGGCCACGCCAACAAAAGCCCATGTGGACACCGAACAGAGAGCATCCCCTATCCCACGACCGCTATCTACCCATCTCGAGAACAACTCCGACCGGCATAGCGCTACCGAGTCGAGCCCTCAAACGCCCGCGAATCTCAACACCTCTCGCTTCTCGAGCGCAACCGAGGCCCCTCACGAGGCCGAGTCATCCTCCAAGCAGACTTTTCAAACCCCACCCCCGAGTGCAATTAAGTCGCGTCGGGAATCACACGATCCATCCCAGACAGCGTCTGACACGGGAAGCACCAGGCACGGGTCCGTTTCAAGCTTTGCTGCTTCGCCAGTTCCCTCTCCCACGTCCACTCCTCAGCCACGACCGACTTCATCTCGAGATGGGAGGGACACGGCGTCGTCAAGCAAAACCCATCGTAGCCAGGATGAGGTCGACGCCGACGAGCGTGACTTTTTGAAGCAAACCGGCCTGTGGGAGGCTAGATCAGGCAGAGTCTCCATTGACAAAATTACGGTGTCAACTTCAGCCGAAAGTGCCGATCATGGTGCTCTCCAGGATCGCGACAAGGTGGATAGAAGCAAAATCAGACGGAGCCTCCAGCGCACGCTTAGGGAGGGTGCTGGCCATCTTCCGCATCACCGGGGCAGAAAGGGCAAGGACGTCACTACGGCCGGAGCATTCGAAGATGGAGCACAGGATATCATGCTCACCCGTGGTACGGGGAGCTTTGTGGTCCACGGGAAAAAAGCATCCGTCATCAACCTAGGCACCGAGCTTCAAAGCATGTCCCAAGACGACAAGGTCTTTGCTCGAAAGCAACAGCAGCAAGCAGAGCAACCAATCGGCTCCCCTGTGCAGAGCGCAGCACCAGATGACGTTTTCCTCTCAGGCCATGAAGCTTCACCAGAACCACCGCAGGAACACGAGCAGAGCGATCGAAGAGAGTCAACTACGAGCGCCGGAACTGCTACAGCCCGGAGCTTCCGGGAGCTTCACAGGAGATACTCTTCCGCGCAGGCAGCTAGGAGCGTCTCGGCGGGTGGAAGACTTGCCATCCCTTCCGATGGTGAAAGCGAAGCCGCAGTTAGCTTTTCTGACGGGCGCAGATCACCTCAGCCCCTGGTTGAGAAGGGGGCCAAGGTCGAAGCAGAGGAGCCTTTGTATGAGGTCAGGAGGGACCAGGTGCCCCAAGAGAAGAGGGAGAAGGACAGCGGCACTGCGGATGAAGAATTGCCGCTGGAGCCGGGTCACTTGTCCAAACACCCGATCCAGCCCGTGAATGCATGAACACGGGCGACAAGAAAAGACGCAAAGAGAATGGAAGGGGGAGGGGAAGGGGGGCTATTCCGAAGCGACATGAAAGTCAAGTCCCGCGATTATCAGGTTCTGGAAGCATCAGACCTGGAATTGACGCAGACGTGATGCAGAAGAGAATGGCGCCGCCTGCCTTGTTCTTATCATTCTTGTTGTTCAGCCTTCTGAAGGATCTGTGGCGAGTTCAGAGGCTGGTTGTCCATAAGGACCAGAAGGTCTGGCTCTGTGCCTTCTCCGAAGTACAAGGATATTGCGTTTGTGGACTCTTGTATGAGCCACGGCTCGGGCGCAGCGGGAAATCCACTGGGCGCAAGAGGAAGCCGGGAAATATCTTCATGTAACCAAAGAAGGCAAAAAGCAGCCAGAAGATGTGTTTTGCGTCAACCTTGTACTGCTCGTGACTGGCGGGTCCACGCATATGACAACAGCGCACTTCACCAAAATCCAGCCTGGGGAGCTGATGAGGCGCATACGCCATGGTGGTTTGAAACAGCATTCGAGCTGTTTCACATATCCTTTTATATCTGGGTCGCGTATACGTAGGCAATACACGCGCGGGGAGGCCAAGGCGGCCGATCACACCCGCTCCCCGTCCCTCTACTTCTTCCCCTTCTTCTTCTTCTTCTTGGACGCGCCAGCCGCCGGCGTCTTCTCCACCCTGACACCGCCTCCGCCCACCAGTTCCAATGTTTCCTCGTCCTTGACGACACCGCCCTGCGTCGACTCGGCGACCCTTCTCTTCCCTTTCTTTCCCTTGGGGCGGTATGTCGAACGGTCACGGAGGGGCAGCCACCTCTCCGGGTCGAGTGCCTTGCCCTCGACAAGGTTCTTGGGCAGCCTCCGCCTTTTCCTGGACTTCTTGGCGGCCTTGTCGTCCATTGCGCCGTCGGAAGCAGGTCGCTTCGTGGCGGTGGAGGCATTGCTCGGCGCCGTGGCAACACCCGCGCGATTCAACGCAGCGACATCTATGCCCTTGATCAAGCTCTCGATGGAGGGCAGCTCGGCAATGTGCTGTTCAACCTGTTGCGCATCGGACGCGGCCAGAGCCGCCACTAGACCGGCCGAGATGACTGGCGAGCGCTGATTCTCGTTGTGAAGCTTTTTGAGAGCAGAGACTGCCAGCGACAAGTCGGCGGGGTTCGACGACCTGGCCAGCTCGATACCGGCCTCTCTGAGGAGCGACGTGGCAGAAGAAACGGGCCTGTCTCGCCAATAGGCGGCGGCCTTGACTAGTTCGGCCTTGGCGGAGCTCTCTCTTCTCACGGCTCGCATCAAAGATACTACAAGGGCGACCAATCCTGGACTGAATCGGACATCTTGATCATGTTCTTCGGCGGAGCTCTCGAGGCGGGCGAGGAACGATTCCAGTACAGACAGAGCGGCCCCGAGAGACTTGTGTCGGGCGTATAGCTGCACCACGGTGACGATGAGTCCAACGCTGTTTGGCCGTTTCTTGGACAAGGCAACCACTGTACGGAGTGTCTCCCTGCTGTTCAACCCGTCTGTTTGAGCAGCGGCGTTTATGACGGACGTGGCATTGACGTCCAGATTTGTGGTGGGGTGGCGTTCCTTGCCCAAGAGCTTGCGCGTCCTGTCCCTGACTCCGTCTGCTTTGTGAGCTTGAAGATCCACCAAGTAGGCGTTGCGGATAAGCGCGGCGGATTGGTAGCTGAATAAATTGGCATTGTTGGCACTGGACATCCAGGCCGCGGCCTGGCGCTGGTGCAGAAATGGATTGGCTGCTTGAGGTTCCAACGCGGATTTGTTGTTTTGGGCCAAGACGGCGAATTCGGGGTCGGCGTCGCTGGGCAAAGTCAATGGTTAGTTGATTTCCAGTCGGAACACACAAAAGGGCAGTGACCAATTGCTCGGGAAGATGGCGACTCACCTGGACGTGTCTAGTGACCGGTAGAGGTCCGAAGCCTTTTGGGTGTCTCCCAGCCGGGCATATACATACGCCTGCTGGGCCAGTATAGGTTTCAGCTCGGCCACCTTTTCGTCCTCTGTCAAGTCATCTGAGGCGTCGCACAGCTTGGCGGCGCGTTGCAGGAGGTCGGCGGCTGTTTGGAGGAATGCCCGAGCGATGTGGGCGCATGCGGCGTTGTAGCACAGTTCGAAGATTTCCGGTGGGTTTCCCGAGGAAGAAACGGAGGCAGTCGGGCGTCCTTGCCACTCAGACTGAGCCTGGGCGGCCTTCATGTTTATTCCAATGTCATTGGTTTCCTGGGCTGCATCAGCGTCGACGAGGCGTTTGTAGATGGCTTCGGCCTCGCTGAACCTCTCGGCACGATAGGCGACCTGAGCGGCGACATGGCTGGAGCTCCTCTTATCCAGGCCTGCTGAATCGAGGGCAGCGGCAGCTTCATCGAGCTTCCCCGTCTTGTAGAGGGCATAGGCTTTTTCGAGGAGGCATCTTGTCTGGAGCTTGGCGTCGCCTTCGGAAATGGCACGGATGGCGTCGTCGAACCGGTCAAGCTTCAGCAGGGCGACCACTTTTGTATGCTGTGCAAGCTCGTCACGCTTGTTGGACTTGAGGGCGGCATTGGCAGCCTTGAGAATCTCGTCGTGGTCGTCGATGGTGGCGGTCCGCAGCAAGGCGCTGAGCGAGGCGGCGGTGTTTTGGGGCATGATTGCGAGATGGCTAAGAGGGCCACTGCATCTCCGGAGGAGAGTGACGAGGCGGGCTATCGCCTTGACGAGGACGACGCAGGGTGAAGCTCGTGCGTGTGTCGGCGGTGTGGGTGGGAAAAAGGGCAACTCACGATACTATTGGTGAACTTATCATGGGGTCGTTCGAGTACTTGATACTAGTTATGGACTTATCTAATAAGGTTATTGTGGCGTCCTTGGCACAGCCACCTGCTTCACTCTGCGTGAGTGGCTGCACAGAGTCTCGAACACAGCATCAGCATCTCGGCGCATCGCATTCCACATCCATTCCCGGCTTCATCTATCTAAACAAGACTCCTCTCCTCGTATTTTTCTTTTGCTCTCGACAATCGTGCCTCCACAAGGGTCCAAGATCGTGCTCGCAACGCCGTCTTTCAAACACCCCCGTCCTGATCTTCTCTGCGCTCGGGAGACGCCGCTGCAACCTCCTCCCTCGCTGTCTTTTTCGAGGCCGTTCGCTCTTCGCCACGCTTCCTGCTACTTAGCCCCTCAAGATGGATTTGGACATTGAAATGGGCGATGTCGAGCAAGATGCGCTCGACACCGATTTGGCGCGGGCAGACGACATTCTGGTATGCCACACAACCTTTCTCCTATCCACCAGCGGCCTTGCCGTCGCGATACTGATGTTGGCCTCTTGCAGCAACCTGAAGAGCTCGAGGAACCTGGCGAAGTTGCCGACGACGTACCGCAGATCGACAATGACGAGTCTAGCGCTGAGGTCCCTACAAAGATCCACATCCGGGGACTCAATACTTTGCACACAGACGACGTGAAGGCCTACGTCAAGACGCACTTTGGCTCGGTAGACAGGGTGGAATGGATTGACGATGTCTCGGCCAACCTTGTCTTCAGCTCAGAGCCCACGGCCCGCGAGGCAATTGTAGCGCTCAGTTCCATCGAGGTTGCCGACGCGACGGCCCTCGCCGCTGGTGAGACACTCCCGGCCAAGCCCTTGGACGGCAAGCCAGAAGTTTCCCTGCAGGTGCGCTTCGCCCTCAGAAGCGACAAGAAAGAGGCCGGCGCCGCCATGCGAAGCCGCTATTACCTCCTCCATCCTGAGCACGACCCCGAAGAGAGGCGGCGACGGCAGCACGAGAATCGGTCGAGGTACCGCGACCGGGACGGCGAATCCGGCCGCGGTGACAGGAGACGGCGCGGTTCAAGCGTTCATAAACCCGAGCCCTTTGAAGCGAGCATGTACGACGATGCGCCATCACAGCCGAGGCGCTACTCGGACCCAGAAGAACGTGCCAGATCATACGCCAAGGAGAACCTCGGCAAGGAGTTGTTTCAGGACCGCGCTGCAAGAAGAGATAGATCAGCCTCGCCGCGGCGAGAATACGACGATGGAGTGCGCATGGATCTCATGGCTTCCTCGTCGCGGAGGAACAGAGACCACGCGCGCGCCGTCAAGGGTCGCCTTTCCGATAACAGTACCAAAGAGCTCTTTCCCACCAAGTCATCTGGCAGAGGCGGGCAGTTAGATGAGCTGGAGCGCTCCATTGGTTCGGCCAGCCTGCGAGAAGAGGACATGCCCAAGGTGGTATCAGCCCCTGTCGCTTCCACGACAGGCGTGTTCAGTATTCGTGGTCTCGCAAGCCAGCGCCGCGGCGGCGAGTCTGGTAGCTTCTCCATCAAGGGGGCGGCAGCCAGCGCAAAAGAGCTGTTCCCCGACCGGCTAGGGGGGGGCAACGCCGGCAAAGAGCTGCTGGACACGAAGCGGTCCAATCAGAGACAAAAGGCGCAGGACCTGTTCTCGTGATGGAGGACATAGGACAAGGCGGGGAAGCACGCAGAAAGTGTGACAAGGGAAGGCCAGCGCTGATGATTTGAAAACTATGGAAGTGGCCATACATACTGCTAGATAGACGCGATACCACCACGGCGCTTCAATGAATTGGGTCTCTTGCCTCTTGACCTCTGCTTCCCCTGACTTGGCCTTTCTGGAACCATGGGACACAGGGGTCACACTCTCGTTTGGCTCGTTTCGGTTTCGTATGGGCTCGGGGGGGGGCCAAACGACCACGGCTTTTACCACCACTTCTCTGTCATGACCCGCCTCGGGTCAACCGTCGACACATCACCCGCCGCCGTGAGCGCCGCGACAAGCTGATCGGTCATGGCCGGCGGGCCGCAGATGTAGACAAGGGTTGACTCGGGGTCCGTGTCCTTTACCAGACGGCGAAGCTCGTCGCCGGAAAGGCGCGCAGCCGAGACGTCGACGCGGGCGCCGCACAACGTGTGTACGCCCTCCTCCACCGGGACTGTTTCCTCGCAGCCATGGGCTCTCGTGACGTACAGGCCAAGCGTGCCCCGTAGCCGACCTTGGCCCAAGAGCTCCGCCATGGTCTCGAGGAACAAGACGTCACATAGCTGCCCGCTCCTCGGCACCTTGGTGGCGTACACGACGCAGACGTCCAGGTCGGGCCGCGCGTCGGCCATGAATCGCAGCATGCTCACGAGCGGGTTCACGCCCACGCCGCCCGCCACGAAAACGACCCTGCGGATGCCGTCGAGGGAATGATCCGCCGATGACGGCGGCGGCGGGAAGACGAAGCTGCCGCCGATGCGCACGTGCAGCCCGCAGCCCAGGACCCGCGGCGCGGGCTGCCACAGCCATGCAGCGACGGCGTTGCCGGGGCTGTGCTGCACGGCGAGCTCGAGGAACGGGGGCCGAGACTGGTCTCGTCGGGACGCGGACGCGGCCGAGGGCGCCGACGTGATGGTGAAGCCGCCCGGCTTGGGGACGCCCGGCACATACGTGTCCAGCCACTGGCCGGGCGAGAACTGAGCATGTCGGGCCAGGTCAGCCTCGGTGGTCTGTCAAGATGAAGCGCCGTGGACCTGCATCGACGATCAAGGGCGAGAAGAGATGATGTGTTGGCCAAGTTGACGCAGCGGGAGGGAGTGAAACCTTGACAGGCCCTGCTTGAAGCTCCAGGCGGAACAGTCGTATTCGTTCGTTGACCTCGTCTATGCGGCTGATGTTGACCTGCGCGAGTTCCTAGACGAACCGAATCAAAGAGTCTCCCGGTTAGTTCATCAAGCCCACGGTGAAGTCGAATACACGGGGGGGATGGCGAGGATGGGACGGCGGAGGAATTACACCATGTCTCGGCTCCCCGGCCGTTCGTTCCAAATGCATACTGTTGGCCATGACGTCTCTCTCTCTGGCCAGCAATTGACGGTCAGGTCAGCATGGTGCAGTGCGGTTGGGGTCAGGTATTACGTCCGGCCGTGAGGGTCTATCCGTACCCGGCAGCCCCGGTGTCCGCGCCGCTGCATTTCCGCACCTTGGCACACGGACATGAGTGCTCAGGCATATCCGCTCTTGCTTTCGCCAACGTCTTGTCAAAGCTGCACATAGCTAGGCAGAGACATACAAGATATCCTATGACTTGTGGCGTGGCAAGGACGCTCGAAAACCACACAACTAGGCTTGCTCGCCACCGATTCCTGTGCGCATACAGCTCCTTGCACCGTATACCAATCGTAGCCGCACCTCTCACCCTGACACATTTTCCTCCTCAACTCCCCTTCACGACGGTTCCGTCCAGTTGACCTGGTCGATCACTTGCCCGGCAGAAGGGTGCGCGTACCCAATTCGCAGGCGCAATCGAAGTGGCTGTATACAGCGTCAGTAAATGAGACATGGACAGTGACAATGGATATCATGACCGAGAGCTTACCCCTTTGCAGCCAGATACTCTCATCATCTGCGTGGCTGCAGCGCCGCCTGCAAGCTCCGACGACGAGACATTGAGGAGCTGCATCTTTTGAGACTTGGGTACGGCCGCCTGCAGACCAACGCCGGATAGAGGTGCGGAGCCCGGCGCGTTTTGGAACCGAGCCGTCGCTTGAATCATGCCCTCGGCGTTGCGTAGAATCTGTATGCTAACGTTGAGACCATTGGCTTCGTAGCAAGGGAAGCTGGTCGGCGTCGAAGCCGAATGCGAGCCCTGCGGCGGCGGGGAAGCGACGGAGCCCATGAGATCCAGCCCTGCCGAGGCACCGGCTGGCGACGAGCTCGACTGTCCAGGCTCGGACCCGAAGAGGTCCATGATTGACGACATGTTCGACTGCTGCGGCCCAGGCGAGGCTGATGACGCAGGCGGTGCCGCGGTGCCGCCACCGAGAATGTCGGCGAGGAGGTCCGAGTTGGATGCTTGAGAGCCATTCGAAGGTGCCACCGCCGGCGCATCCATAATGTCGAGCAGATCCTGCTCCGTGGGCCTTACAACCCTGGATTTCCGGTTGGCTGCTTTGGCTTTCTTGGTGGGTGCCTGGCCGAGAACACGAGATTCCTCTTTAATTTGCGGAGGAGGCATCTTCTCGAGCACTCCGCGGCGGATCTGGTCAAAGGAGAAAAGGTTGCTGTATTCGACGGCCCGCTGCTGTACCTCGACGTCCAAGCTGGTTTGGTGGGTTTGCAGGATGCGGCGTATCCTCTCTACCGAAGAAGCATCCGAGAATCTGGCCGTCAGCTTCATGAGAGCCGTGATAATGTACTCGGTGGCCACCTGCGTAGCGTAGCTACTATTTAATATCATCGCCAGCAGGTCCACAATCTCGCTCTCTTTGACGTTCTGGACAAGCTGCTCCTCTTCTTCATGCTGGCCACCGCTGAGAAGAGCATCGGCATGCTCGCCCACGCACCAGGCTCCGGCCTGCGTCAGACTCTCCTGAGTAATGTCCTTTTTGAGGTTCGCGTACAGTTTTCGCACGCCGTACGACTGGAGCTCCGGGGTAGTTGCGATGAGACGGATAAACGACGATAGAATCTGCTCCTTGACGTAGTTACCGGCCAGCGACAAGACACGGAGCATCGTGTCAAAGTGCCATCGCTTGTTGGGCGCAAATTTGTCTGCGGCTATGCCAATCTGGCTGGTCATGGTTGGCTTAAACTCATTGTCCGCCACCTCCAAAAACGCCAGAAGCTCACGGATGAGCACTCGCACGTTGCTCTCATTTATGAGCGTGAAGCTCAGGTCGAGCGCACGCCGCCTGATGCTGATGTCTGGGTCTCTCAGACACTCGAGAATCGTATTGCGGTGTCTCTGGACGGCATTGGGCTCAATGGCGACGACCTTGATGAGGGTGTTGAGGGCCACATAGCGAATATTGTTGTCTCGATTGGTGAGAAACTTGCCGAGGATGTTGACTCCGAGCACTCGCAGCCCCGAGTCGGCCTCGATGTCGAGAATTGTGCAGACGGCCTCGTAAAGGATGGAGTTGCCCACGTTTTTGGACGAGTCCGTGTTTGTCGCGACCTGCGCCAGGATATCGTTGATTTGTTCGCTCGTATGGGCGTCCCCGACAGCGAGCACCCGCAGTAACCGGAGGATCTTGACTTGCAAAAACGGGTCGGTGATGCCAGTGACATCATGCTCCGGGGCATATCCTGATGTCGACAGGCCCTTCAACGTCTTGACCAAGCCAGGAACAAATGTTCGGAACTTTTCGACAACACCCTCCTCTCCCCCTTCCTCTTCATCGGCTTCGCACAAGCTCGTGACGAGTGTCAAGCCGCAGAGAAGGACACCGTGGTTCCTGTCAGCCAACAAGTGGGCTGCTTTCTCGAGAAAGTGTTCCTGCAGGTCGGGGACCTTGCGGCATATCCGCATGGCACAGAGCGCCGCTTTTCTTCTTATGTAGGGGTTGGATGTGGAAACCAGCGTCTCGATCTCGGGGAATAGGTCTCTCGACATCTCGATGGATGCTATGTTGCCCAGCGTACACAGGGCCAGGCCGACGATGTACTGGTTGGAGTGACCCAGATCACTGGTACTGAGTGTTAGTTCCGCGAAACTCATCGCGACAGAGGCAGGGGGCTTACTTTTTCAGCGAGTTGGTCACCAGAGTTAGCACCTCCTGGTTTTCGTCGAGGAGCAAGCTCGTGGCAAGGTGCCCCAGGCGCTTGTCTGCAAATCGGGGCGATGCCAGGAGCTTGAGGCACTCGATCTGTCCAAAGTGCGTCCGCTCGCCAAGGGTGAAGAGGTAAAGCAGTTTCGCAACGTTGTTGCGCCTGATCCGAGTCGGTAAGCAGACGGCGCAACGGCAAGCTACACTCGCAAGCGCAGCAGTTGGATAGGCACACAACACACCTGACGCCATGGTCATGGCTCTCCTCGCGGAAGCTGGCGCGTATAGCAGCGCTCTCCTTCTGGATCACTGCTCGTTCGTCTGCAATCGTCTTGGCCGCGCGAACATTGCGAATAAACTGTTTCACTGGGTTTCCGAGCCAGTTAGCGGTACAAAGCAAACGCACGGGTTGGAGACCAGCCGCTGATTGTCATACAGGAACTCATCTTGGAGCAGGCGGGAGCCAAGCGATGGGGGGGCCTCGATCTGGAGCAGTGGCAGCCGGTCCGAGGAACAGCACCGCCTGTCTAGCCGAGGCTTGTCAGCAGCGACCAATACGGCTGATTCGAGTCGAGTCCAAGATCGGCTGTTGACGGGGCTGTAATGGCACGTCGAGTCGAGTTATAACGTTATTTCGGCACACCGTGTTGCGTGTCCAGCGACTCGGGGCGGCCAGCATACGTGGGGCACTCGGCGTGGGTGCTGGCTGGGCCAGGAGGCTCTAGCAGCAAGAGTTCCCAGCGTGAGCGCCGGAAAAATAGAGGTCCCGATCACAGCTGGGACTTGCTGTATGTACAGCACATAGGTACCTAGGTACTGTAGGTACTTTCTCCGGCTCACCAGAGGGAGCCTGCAAGGACACAACGTAGACGTTTCTCTCCTCCAATATCTTTGTGCGGGCTGGAACTTCGCGTTGAACTGTACCCTATCTTGTTGAATTTCAAAGAGCAGTTTTCAATTTAAGACACATATGGATATGGCTGGCGCTCCTACAGATACATGCCCAAATCTACTGTAAAACTCGTGCCTCCAAGGCCCGTGGCATCCATCATAGTGCGATCGATTATGTGTGCTCTGCAACGTCGGCGAACCCACCTTCAACATCATTTAGGTGGAATGGTTAAGAAGAAAAGAGTCACTCCACGAGTTTACGGACGAGCAGAGCTGCGTCAAGGAACCGCAGGCAAGCAGATTGGTGAGGAACACATCAATTGGAGCCTAACTCCAAGAGAGGTTCCAAGAGCCGGTGGACTGGCTGCAAGAGACTGATGGCCGAGACGAAACCGGTTGAGAACCCAGAAACCCCAGAACATACCATTCCGCACCTTCCAATCCGTCAATGATCCCGGATCGCTCGCAGAAGCGTCGACGTCGACGATGAAAAGAAAAGAAATCTTCCCTATGCCTCCCCCAGATACTTGACGCCCATCCGCTCGAGCCCATAGCAAGCCTGTTTAACACCACGAACCAGGCGTGTGTGTGTGCTTGCATGTCATGATGCGGGCGGACAGGCCATCTGAAACACAAGGTATCATTTCCCTTACTTTTGCATCATGAGCTGAACAAATTCGTTGTCTTTGCGAGTGTTAGCACGTGCCATGTGTCTGGCCGAAGTGGGGACACCATACAGTCGATCCGGCCGTCGCCATCCTGGTCAGCTTCGCGAATCATTTCGTCAACCTCGTCGTCGGTGAGCTTCTCGCCAATCGACGTCATGACATGGCGCAGCTCAGCCGCGGATATGAAGCCGTTGTTGTCGCGGTCAAACACCTGGAGTCAATCAGCGATTGATATGCACGCGCCGTCAAACGGTTCACGCAGCACAAACCTTGAAAGCCTCACGGATCTCTTCTTCCGAGTCGGTATCTTTCATTTTCCGAGCCATCATGGTGAGGAATTCTTAATGACCGAACGGTTAGCCTTGCGGACCAGTAGCACTTGTCGGACCATGACGTACCAGGAAAGTCGATGGTTCCGTTGTTGTCGGCATCAACCTCGTTGATCATGTCCTGGAGCTCAGACTCGGAGGGATTCTGGCCGAGGGAGCGCATGACGGTGCCAAGTTCCTTGGTAGTAATCTGGCCTAGAATCGAAGCGAAGCGATTAGAGTCAGTTGCAGAGTAACTCGCAAGCAAGAAGCGTCAAACGCGGAAGCAAAAGGGGTTGGAGAGGTATTCGATGATGCGTTCGAGGAGAGAGCACGGCGGGGCAAAGCGAGATGCTTGCGTGGCGCGTGGGGAGCGACTCACCATCACCATCCTTGTCCTAAGCAACAGTGTGTTAGTAAAGGGAAGGGGTTTGGCGAGATGGATGGCTTACAAAGAGGGAGAAGGCCTCCTTGAACTCGGAGACCTGCTCTTCGGTGAGGGAATCAGCCTGTCGGGGCGAGAAGCGTCAGCGTAAATGCCATGATGCTAGAGTTGCGCACGAGCAGCCCCTCCTCCCGCGGGGTTGCGCAGCAGCATCCAGGGCGTCATCGGCACTGTGGATCAAAGCCAAGCAGAGGCAGTAGCAAGCGACGGAGAGAAACATACCATGGCGAGAGAAGGCGATGAGATGGTCGTGTGCGGTGCGGGCTTGGTCGAAAGTGCAAGGGGAGCGCGCCGTCTGTGTGAAAGTCGGAAAGGAGGTTTGGTGGAGTCGTGGCTCGCCCAAGGGCGGGGAGCTTTTCTTTGCGGCACAGCGGCGACTCGTGTCAGGGCGTGCGAAGGTCGGCGGGGGTATACGGGCGGTACGAGAGGATGAAAGGAGTCGACGGCCAAGAAGGCAGGCTTGAAACGCTTAGGTCTACTGGGGCTACTGGAAAGATACATGAGCACGAGTCGTTTTCTGCGAGAGCCGACTGTCGGATGGAGTAGTCGCCAGGTATCTCAGATAGGGAGTTAGCGACCTGGATGCCACATCAAGGTACTGTACCTGGAGGTTGGACAGCCGCTAAACGGGCACCCTCGCACGTGCTGTGAAGTCGCCCATCGAATCCGGCGGCAGAGGCCTAAAGTCGTACAGGTGATTTGGGCCTTGACACTGTTTCCAGCACTGGCTCCAGCACTGGCTCCAGCTTCTGCGTCGATGTCGAAGCATGTTTAGAGGCATCGAGGCCCTGCACCTGGTGGGATGGGGTGGCAGCAGTGGTGGTTAGAAGCCGTGCGGGCGGCCTCTTTATCGGCAGACGTTTGACGCATGAGGTACTCCGTATCGGAATTCGCACCAGCGACCCCACTGTAGGACGTGCCAGAACCTGCCACATCTTCTACAGTGCCGCGAGGCAGGCCTGGCAAGGCGCCCAAGTTCCAACAAGACAGGCACTTGTCCAGTGAAAAGTACTCCGCACCTAAGCAGTACGTACCTACCTAGGTACTAATGCTCTGTTCAACCTAGTCGATTAGTAGGTACCTCCAAGCAAGAGCCTCGCCCACGACCATCCCTCACTGAGGCTCTTAATCACCTCACCAAAGCTGCGCATCTTCCGCCTCAGACCGTCCAAGCAGCAACAACGTACAGCCCAACACACGTCGTGACGGCTGCGACAACGCCTCCCGCGCGTCCGCCATGTGGCGGGACCGCACCAATCTGTCCGTCTCCGTCCGCCTGGCTCACCAGTTCCCATGATCGACCCGCTGACAACGTTCCCTCCATAGCTACATCTCCTACCGGCAGTCGTACGCGCATCATCCCAAACAGCCGAGTCAGCCCAGAGTGGGGCCTGGCGTCTTCTCCGACGCCTACTCGAGCAGCAGCTATGGACACGACGATCGGCGCGGGCTGCTCTCGAGCGGCGCCTTCGAAGACGACGGCGATGCTGTCATCGAGATGGACCTGCTCCCCCCACGCTGGGCCGACATCTCAGACGAGATCACAGAGCTGCTTGCCGACATTGCGACCAAGGGCCAGCGGCTAGAAAAGCTGCATCAGAAACACGTCTTGCCCGGGTTCAACGATGACGAGGCCAAGAAGGCCGAAGAGGCGCAAATCGAGAAGCTCACCCAGGAAATCACGCGAGGCTTTCACGACTGCCATCGGTGCATCCAGCGCATCGAGCAGACGGTTCGCGAGTCTAAGGAGTCGGGCGGCCTTGCCCGCGCCGAGGAGATCATGGCCAAGAACATACAGATATCACTGGCAACCAGAGTCCAGGATGCTAGCGCGAGCTTTCGCAAGAAGCAGAGCGCATACCTCAAGAGTACGCTGCATCATTTTCCTGCCGAGCTTCCTCTCCGTCTTTCCGTAGTGCTCACCTCTTCACGCAGAGCTTCGCGATATGGGTGGCTTGGCAACCTCCAGCCCGGCCGAGCGCTCATCCACGCCGCAGCCCGGCTCCTACTTCTCCCCTTCCCTGCAAGAATCCGACGCCGACCGACTGTACTCACAGTCGACGCTACAGGCGGCGTCGCAAAAAAAGATGCTGCACTCCAACGACGCGGCCATTGCGCAACGAGAGCGCGAGATTGAGGATATCGCCCAGGGCATCATTGGGCTATCAGATCTCTTCCGGGATCTGCAGACAATGGTCATTGACCAAGGCACCATGCTGGACAGGATTGACTACAACGTGGAACGAATGAATGAGGACGTCAAAAGCGCCGACAAGGAGCTCAAGGTTGCGTCGGGATACCAGAGGAAAACGACCAAGAGAAAGATTATTCTCCTGCTCATCCTCCTCGTTGCGGGCCTGTTCATCCTTCTCTTGATCAAGCCAAAAAAGCACGACTCATGACGGCAAAGGTCGAAGTAGGAGTTGCCGGCGGCGTGATACCATGTAAGCCACGACCTTGCGCTGTTCAAGACAGCGTCGGGCATGTATAACCAAAATGTACATATTACCATTTCACAAAAGATATCAGCCACGATTGCATTCCGGGGCCCCAACGTACGTTGTCCCGCCCGTTCACCAATTGAAAAGAAGTGCATAGTATCCTTCACACGGAGCTTCCGCGCATGGAAGCCCACGTTCTTCATTTACATACAACTGCATGACACCAGTCTCGTTTGCATCATGACCTTGTGCCAGCTCTGCGCTTATTGTCCTTGTCGAACGCTTTGCCAAATAGCTTCGAATACCGGCTCCATAGTTTTGGCTTCTGTCGTTCAAGCTCCTCGAGCATATCTGATAGGCTGGGGAAGATGGCTGAGCCCCAGGCCTCCTCGACCAGATTCTTCAGATGCTCTGCTGCCATCTCATTCTTGTCCCTGGATCGATGCCTCGGCCGACCAGGCACCTGACCCAAGGCGATGCGCGAGATGACTGCCGCTCGCACTATCTGCGTATCGATGAGAACACCTTGGTTCCGCAGAATGGCCAGCAATCGTACGCCACACGCAACGTCAAACCCCCGGATCCCCGAAATGCTCATCTCCATGAGAGCGGGGACACTCGGTCTGGTAGCCAATGTTTGATCGAATCCCCATCTCACCACGGAGCGCTGCAGGTGAGCGTCAAACAGCTTCTGCACGGGATGCTCTCGATGGGTGAAGGGAAGGTCTGCAGGGATGTACTGCTTCTCGTCAGATTCGCCTTCCGCCGCCTGAGCTACCAAGTCTTCGAGTCCTGTTGTCTTTTGATCGGAGCCCGAGCCTGGACTGTTCCGCTTCGAGTCGGCTGGGAAGGGCCCGTTGGCCGAGCTCTCCACCATGCTGTCGTTTCGATTGATGAGAACTGTACCTTGTCGCCGCATTAATCTTGCCGGAGAGTCATTGCCGTCGCGTGTATGGCGGGTTGTCTTCTCATTCTTCATCCGAATTCCCACCGCATCGTCTGCACATGTCTCCAACTCAACAGGGGCCACAACCGCCAGCCTCCTTCCACGAGCCGCGGTCTTGCTACTAGCCAGTCGAGGCCAGTCTTCCCGGTGTACCGGTATCAGCCCCCCCGATGGAGGCATGTAGAGCTGGACCACTTCCAGGCACACTTGCTCCAGCTCGTCGAGCCGACCTAGGCGTCCAAGGTTGTAGAGAATCAGTCGCCAGTACCGCAAAGGTATGGCAGCATCCTGACACGCAAGACGGCGGGTGAAGTCGATCGCGTTATTCAAGGCGGAGCCCGGATCAGTGTCAAATGCTTCAGGAAGGCGAGACCATTCAATCGGGTGGCTGCTGAGACCATCAAAGCTGCATCTCAAAAGCTGCGAGGCGCTGTCCTGGGCCACACTATGCCCTAATGCTTCCATGCGATTAAGGACGTCCTTAATTTTGCCTGCCCTTCGCTCGACGAGTCCGCTTCTCAGCAGCGCGTTGAGACGCCTGGATGATGACCCAGTCCCAATGGCCCATTCGACACCTTTCAATAGCCTCGTCCTTCTCCAATCAAATTCCCGAGCAGATGCAGCCAGAAGCATGCGTCGGGTCTCTTCATTGTCGAATTCATCTGGGTGGATGTCGCAGTGCACCAGGTCCGTGAGTAAATCATCCTCTCCGTGTTTCGCAAAGAATATGAGGACCTTGCAATATGTTTGTGACGTGATTTTGATGTCCAGCTTCTCGAGTTGTGCTATGCGAGCCGCGACACCTCGAGCATCCGACTCTCGCAAGGCAAGTGACTGGAGGGATCGAGGCCCAATGACACGCAGACCAAGCTTGTGGACAAGGCTGATGGCGAACTCAACGGACGTCCACAAACTAGCGAACCACTTCGCCACCATTGAGTCGCTATACTGGCCCGTTGAAGCGTCACGAGCCACGAGCGGCCGAGTGTTTTCATCGCTATCGTCGCATCTTGGGTATTGCCTCCTAGATCGTGCGGCGGAAAGCTCCTCGCCCGTAAGAGCAATGAACGGATAGTAGCTCGCGAGAAATGCCAAAAAAGGACTCGACCTGGTCGTTGTAGGGAAGTCGTTGAACATGATGAACGTTCTTCGCCACGCGCGAGCCAGCTTTGATTGTCCAGACGAGAAGAGGACCGGGATGACGTGGTCGTAGAGTCCGCGCTCGGTGCTGAGAATATATAGACTTCTCAGGGTGTCCTGCATCTGTGGCGAAGGGTCGAGCACAAAACTCGAAATCAGAGCTTCGAACACCTCAGTCCCAGGAGGGAAACTGGGGACAAGTTGCATGTGGCAGCGAACAGCCTCGGTGAAGCGAGCTTGACCTAGACAAGAGTGCAATATTTTCAAGTAAATCTCGGGCCATTTGAAGCCGGCTTCGGTGTACAACTGATGAGCCACTCTGATGATGACTGCAATTCGCCGGTCACTGTGAAGGGCGACTGTCAAGACCCCATCACGAAGCACGTCGGCGTCAGGCAGAGCAAAGAGCTTCAAGAGCCCTTTGTCCTGCATCAGTTGAAACACAGCCCAGGCATCGTCGTCTCGGCACTCACGGCGCAGAGTTACGAAAAGATGCTCCCAGCTTCTCAAGCTGCTTGGCTGCAACTCAGCTCCAGCTTCGGCCGCATGCGGTGCCTGTCCTGTGTTTTCGTTGTTTCTTGTTGTCGATTCCACTTGGCTCGGGGACAATTCATGCTGCATCCGAGCTGACTCTGACATCCCACCTATTTGCCATCTTGCAAGCTCTGACGGCCTCTTGGCCTGCTTCTGGCAGGGCAGATGAGGAGCTAGAGTCCGCTCGGACGAAGCGGTCGCCGGGATCAAGGGGCCTGTTGGCGTGGTAACTTCTCGGAAGAAAGGCCTCGAAAGTTTGACTTTGATCCTCGAGGTAGGTTCCGTGGCAATTCGAGCAGTCGGAGGAAAACGTCGAATTGGGGTCAAGGTCTTTTGCATTCCCAGGTCTGCCTCCGATGGCCACGGGTGTTGGCCGCATCGAGTCGGTCAGTACCAGAGAATGGCACGAGGCGGTACAAGGCCCTCGGGAGAGAGACTCGGGTGCTTTTGACTCGAAAGTTGTGCCCTTGTTGGAATTGAACTCGCGCGTTGTGATAATTGAGATGAGGCATGTCGAGCACGTGTGCGCCAAGCAGCGTCGTGCTGAGTCATTCATCAGCCGATTGGGCCGACGCCAATGGCCTCATTTCTGCGGCGGCGGACCCGACACCCTCAACCTCCACCGTGACCAAGTACTCCTTTTCGCACGTCAACGTCTCGAAGCCTCGCGCAAGCCTCAGCCTAAGTCTCTCAAGATGGGGTAAGCTCCCGGCATTCACCACCGACACTGACGAAGCCGTGCGCGCAACTTGTGGCCGCAATGGCAACAGCGGACCCGACCATGATGTACAGTCAACGAGCATCAGGCTGACGCATGTTTAGTTTGGTCGACGCAAAGAACAAGGTGCCCGACCACCAGCGCTTCTACCAGCAAGCCTACAAGGCCCACACCCGCGTTTGGAAGATTGTACGAGAGAATTGATGCCATTTCGAACCCCTCTCCCGACTCGATGCTGATGGCCCAGCAGGGCCCGCGGTCTCGTTGGTACATGACGCCCTACCTCATCGTCCTCTGGGGCACATTCGGAGGTTCGATTCCATTCCACTTGCAATCCGGCCGTTTCCCTAACGCATTGATAGCTTCCATGTACTCTGCCGGACGGAAGGTCATGGGTCACAACACCTGGTTCGGCAAGGAGTAAAGACTGGCATCATGATGCTCATCAGGTTGTAGAAGCCGCATTACTACTCAACTGCCAAATAGAGAATTTCGATGAACAGGCGCAGTCCTCTCATTTCCTCTGCGGTTAGGTCCTTGTCCCTGCAAATGCATTCATTCCTGCCAGATAGACCCCCTCAAGATGAAATGTTTATGTTGCCTTGAGCTTGGTCCACGGTGTCACGCAACCTTTACGCCATATGTTTCGAAGTACAAGCCCGAGCGCATCATCAAATGAATAGCCAGCTTGCGAGAGACTGTTTGCCATGGCCATTGCACATTCCGGCGTCCGCATTCTCGGTCTCGCAGCTCACCACGCTCACTCCGGATCAGTAACCTGAAGCGCCAGGGGCCTTTTCGTCTTTGCGCAAGCTGGACAGCATTTCACGGAAGCGCTCTTTTCCAGATCCAGCCGCGCCGCCCTTGATGCCTTTGCCACTGACGTCGACCAGCTTCGCGATCCGGTCCCAGCTTGTTCCACCAGAAACGGTGTCGTCCTGGTTGGCCAGAAATTGTTCAGCGTCCTTCTTCGTCTGAGTAATGCCCTTTTCCTTCTTTGCGTTGTAGTTCTCGTAGAAGTCGTCAATATTTTGTTGGGCCTCTTTGATCGTCTCCTCGCGCTGAGCTGCAAACTGTTGGGCTCTCTTGGCGATTTGCTCGTCTCGGCGCTCCCTCCACTCTTTGATTACCTGGGGCTCCTCTTCGTCTTCCATGTAGGTTTGGTAGCCCGAGTTATAGCTAACAGACGGCCCAGTTATCGAACTGGTTCCGGGGAGGCCGCTGGCACCCTACGCACGGCATCGTCAGCTTCTTGAGCCTTTCGCTCGAATGGCATTTGACTTACAGCCGAAGGACTGGCCAGGTCAGGAAACTGAGACTCGAACGAGGACTGGGCAGCGTCACCCTCGCCCAGGAGGTCGTGGCTGGCTTCTCCAGCGGCAAAATCGTCGTTTGTTGCAAACTGGTCTGCGTCGGCGCCGAGAACAGCCTTTTCGCGAGCGAGAAAGTCGTCTGCGGAAATCTCGGCCGAAGGGTCCTTGACGTCGGTTTGTGCTTGAGGAGGTGAATCAGCGGCATGAAGGTTGGTTGTCTGGTGCCGCCGTCAATGCGCACTCACCTCCCGAGTCAAAATCCTCGAGGGAGGGGAATCGGTCCGCCATCTCGAAAAGCTGAACAGTAAACAAGCTTTGACACCTGAGGTTTGGTGAGGTCCGAAAAGCGCATGGGTTGCCGGAGGGGTGTCGCTTCGCTGGGGGGATCGCAACGACGACTGTGTAGCTTGATCCACACTTGGTTGCGACCGCCTGGCTGCACCTCCCTTTCCAGCAGCCAGTGCACCCACCGCGCAAGGTACGTTCTGCCAGGCGGTGAGCTTGAGGACGCGATGCGCTTTGCATTATTGCATTAACCAGAATCAAAGCCTGGATAAGCGCAAACGCAATGGACATCTGTACAAGTCTCCACGCACTCATGCATGTAACCGGCCGTACCCGCTGGACAGTACCACACCCTCCAAGCTTTTCGGCCATTTATTCACTACCTATCCCACGCGGCTGAGCTCGACCGCCAACATTTGTCGTCAACCTGCTTGCCAGAAATCGTAGTGCGCTTGTTCTTGTCAACATTCAGAGGGATCAAGGCCTTTGCTTGTGAGCAATCTAGGGTCGCTCGGAGACGGGCTGCAGCCAGCCCGCAGCTCTGTATGACCCTGCTAAGGGCACGCGCACACACGTTGCAGCAGCCAACTAGCTCTGTTGTCCCCAAAAGGACTTTTCCTTGTCCAACTTCGTCGTCGCCTGTAGAGCCAGCCTCAAGCGTCCAAGAAGGACGGGTAGTCTCGACCTTGGAAGACACAGCCCTTGCAATATCTCGCCCACTCTTCGCCGCATCTCCTATCCCGCCAGCCTTCGACGATGGCGTACAACGATGACTCCGTGCTGGCACGGCTTTCGTCGCTCAACGAGAGCCACGACAGCATCGCGACGGCAGCTCAATGGATCATGTTCCACAGGTTCGACTTCGACAACGCGCGCTGCCTTCACCTGATTCTGTGTGCTAACCTTTATCTTGCTTCCAGGAGACACGCGGATCGTACAGTGCAGCTCTGGATGCAGCGACTCAAGGACTCATCCAGCACCAAACGTCTGACGCTCGTTTACCTCGCAAATGGTGAGTCACCGTTGCGCAATCGCAGCTCTTGCAACGGCGACTTGGCGGGTTGTTTGCTAACTGGCGACTCCTCAGAGGTTGTTCAGCAGTCCCGGATACGTCACAAGGAAGACTTTGTCATCGCCTTCTCCCCGATCGTGGCTGAGGCTACCGCTATCGCCTATAAAGGGGCTCCGGCCGAGGTTCAGGCAAAGTTGAGACGCGTCGTGGATGTCTGGAAGGACAGGACCATATTCGAAGGCCCCATCCAAAGTGCCATCGAAGCCAGACTTGAAGGTAGGTGGCTGACGGAATCCTGCCTGCTCTGAATGACGCGGCTAACTTCCCGAAAAGAATTGGACAAGGCTCGCGGGGCTCCGAAATCGGGGTTTGGGGGGTCTCCGTTTGGAGCTTCCTCCTCAGTGCCGTCCGAGTTCACGCCCTTGGTGTCTGCACACCAGAAAGTATCGAAGCTGAGCTTGCCGCTCCGCACGACAGTCGCTTCGGCCAATCAAGAGTACGAGAAACACACGGATCCTAGCACGGCGGTGCCGACGGCGCCGGTATACGCCGCCCGTCTTAATGGTCTTCTCAAGACTCTTGCAAACGCAGAAAGCGCCGTGGCGGAGTGTGTCAAGGCCCGGGAGGGCTTGGTATCAGGGTTGGAGAAGCTGCTGGAGACTAATCGAAGTGCTCTGGAAAGCGACAAGAATGCTGCGGCTCAGTTGCTGAAACGGAAAGGGGAAGTTGAGGACAAGAAGCAGCAGGTGGAAATGGCCATAATGCGAGCCCTTGGCCCTGCAGAAGGGAACGGCTCTCCGGAAGAAGGGGGATCCGTGAGCCCGCCTCCTGAACCAGGCCGGCCCGAGATGGAAGCGTTGACTCCGCCGGCAATCGAGGACGAGCCCGCGGACCCGCTGGGAGAGGCCCTGGCCTCAGAGGCTTCGGATGATCAATCCGCGGCAGAACCGGACACAGATGCTGCATCTGCCCCGGGCCCCTCTCCCCAATCCTTGACCATCTTCACCAACGGCGCTAACAAAAGACGACGAGTTGATGATGGCGATGAGCTTCCCGATCTGGGTAATGACGGAGATATTGACCCCGAAGTGACCGAGATGCTCAAGGAATGAAGAAGGATGTGAGAGCATCAGGCTCTCGTGGGAACATGGACCCGGACGTCGGGCTTTAGATCTTGGAGGAGCACACGACAGAGGCTTTTCGAAATGATCACCTTGGTACCCAAACGTTATGCGACGAGCTTGACAATTTGTTTTTCGTCAGCAGGCCTCATCTTGCATTTCATGTACGAGATGTTAGGCAAAGAAATCGAAATTGAATCGCTGTGGATCGGGTTCTCTGATGTTGAAGATGTTGAAGCTCGGGGCCTGGTTAGGCACCCACATGTGAGCACGAACAAAACCGACGTCGGCCTGAGCCGAATGGTTTATGTAAGCAGAAGCCTCCTGAGTATAGTACTTTCGTGCCAAGTACCCTGTCTGTAGCTGTGAGCAAAGACGTCATCACAGGGTGAAGAATTAAGCGGCGAAATATGAAGCGACCCACGTCCCTGAAATGTATCGGTAGGAACAAGGTACTTTACGGATACCTAGTCCTTGCCGTGCCCACTGGTTTGGCAAAGCCGTCCCAATTTTGTCCCCGGAAGCTTCACATCTTTCATCCCCACCAGGTTCAATCAATCGACTCATCCTCCCGCTCGGCGGAAATGCCACAACCACCTGCGCCTTACACAGCCTTTCCTTGACTCACAGACTCCTTCCACCGTCGCGCCAGCCCCCTTCGCTTTCCCTAGATGAGCCGATGATGCTTCGTCGAGACGCCGCTTGTCAGCGCATCTTCAATTAAGATGGTATCGGCCGCCGCGCGGCGAGCGCTGTCACTTCGACTCGCGGAGGGCTCTCCCGCAGCGCCTCAACTATCCACGCCTTCCGTCTTTGGGCGAGGTCTCTGGGCACCGTCGTCGTGCGCTTCAATACCGCAGATCCGACTTCTCTGCGCAACACCGAGCCGCGATCAACTCCTCCCTGCCTTTTCGCTTCCGACGTATTTGTCCCGCGCTCAGCGTGGTCCCGCTCCCACCAAGCTTGCGCCCCTGCGACCTCGGTCCTCACAGCGTGGCAAGATCCTGAGCACGCTTCGTTGGTTGTCCCAAGATGCGCGCCCTCGGCAACAGGTTCGGCCAAGCACCGGACCCAAGCTGACGGAGGAGCACCAAGCACGACAATCACAAGATGAGGCGGAGGACCAGGAGTTCAAAAAGAGCGACAAGGCTACAATGGCTGCACAGGTGAACCTATCTGCCAAGCTGTCCAGAGAAGGCAAAGGACAAACCAGGGCCGGCATGGGGGAGATATGGAGGCTCGTCAAAGTCGCGCGGCCCGAACTCCGATGGCTAGCTTTGGCCTTTTTCTTCCTCGTTATTTCCTCCACCGTCACCATGTCGATTCCGTTTTCCGTCGGCCGAATCCTCGATCTTGCCACCAAAGGTGAAGCCGATGACATTCGCCTTTTTGGCCTCACGCTGAACCAGTTCTTCGCTGGTCTGGCTGCAATCCTAACCCTGGGCGCCATGGCCAATTTCGGGCGAGTCGTCTTGCTACGCATTGTAGGTGAGAGAGTCGTGGCTCGACTCCGGTCTCAGCTCTACAGACGGACCTACGTCCAGGATGCCGAGTTCTTTGACGCCAACAGGGTCGGCGACCTCATTTCACGGCTCAGCTCCGACACGGTCATTGTCGGCAAATCCGTGACGCAGAACCTGAGTGACGGACTCCGAGCCCTCTTCAGTGGCGGTGCAGGCTTTGCCATTATGATTTGGACCAGCCCCCAGCTTACCGGGCTGCTGCTCCTCATGTTTCCTCCGGTCGCAATCGGCGCCTTTTTCTACGGCCGAGCCATCCGGAACATCAGCAGGGCGATCCAGAAGAACCTTGGAACGCTGACAAAAATTGCCGAGGAGCGGCTGGGCAACATCAAGACCAGCCAGGCATTCGTCGGGGAAGTCCAAGAAATCGGGCGCTACAACAAGCAGATTCGCGAGATCTTTGCGCTGGGCAAGAAGGAGTCGCTGACTGCGGCTACCTTTTTTGCTTCGACCGGATGGGCAGGAAACATGACCATCTTGGCCATGCTCGTCGTTGGCGGCAGCTTCGTGCGATCCGGATCCATGTCACTAGGAGAGCTCACGTCGTTCATGATGTATACGGCCTTTGCTGGCTCCAGCCTGTTTGGCCTCTCAGGATTCTACTCGGAGCTCATGAAGGGGGTCGGGGCAGCTAGTCGATTGTTCGAGCTGCAAGATCGCAGACCAGGCATCCATCAGACGGTGGGAGTCCCGGTCAAGTCGGCTCAGGGGCCCATCCGGTTCCAAGGTGTTAGCTTTGCCTATCCGACTCGGCCAGCGGTCAAGATCTTCAATGGGCTGAGTTTCGAGATCCCGTCGGGGAGTAACGTCTGCGTCGTGGGGCCGTCCGGTGGTGGCAAGTCTACCGTGGCTTCGCTGCTGCTCCGGTTCTACAACCCAATGGCAGGCTCCATTACGATAAACGGTGTCGACGTTTCGAAGATGAATGCCAAGTCGCTCAGGAGACGCATCGGAATGGTGTCGCAGGAGCCCGTGCTTTTCTCGGGGACCATTGCCGACAACATTGCTTACGGAAAACCAATGGCATCTCGAATGGAGATTATCTCGGCGGCGCGGCGAGCCAACTGCAACTTCATCAGCGACCTCCCAGACGGCCTCGAGACGCAGGTTGGAGCTAGAGGATCCCAGCTGTCGGGCGGTCAGAAGCAGCGCATCGCCATTGCGCGGGCGCTGCTCAAGGACCCCGACATTCTGATCCTCGACGAAGCCACGTCGGCGTTGGACGCCGAGTCGGAGACGCTGGTCAACGAAGCCCTGGCGGGACTGCTGCGTGGCCACAACACGACGATATCGATTGCACATCGTCTGTCGACAATCAAGCGATCGGACCAAATCATTGTGCTCAACACCGAGGGCAGAGTGGCGGAAATCGGCAGCTACGCGAAGCTCGCGGCAGACACGGAGAGTGCCTTTAGCAGGCTGATGGAGTGGCAGATGAGCGGCGGGGATGTCCCGGAGAAGCGGAGCTCCGAGTCTGGGGCAAACATCACGGAGGCTGAGGAGTTGGAGCAAGACCTTGCGCGAGAAGAGCTGGCACTTGATGAGGGGCAGGAGACGGACGAGACGCCATCGCGGTCTGTGGATGGCGCAAAGGCACCCTGAGGGGGTGCTTGCGCTCTTGTACGCCTCACGACGAAGGTGCTCGAGTTTCGCTGCGTGTGTTGGGTGATGGAGAAAGCTGTACAATACTACTAAACTACTAAGGACTAGAGTTGAGAAATCGCATTGGCCGCACTCCACTGGCGAATAAAGTAGCGTGGACGTGCGAATTACTCGGCACGGTTGTACATGCACACCAGTATTACGAGCGCTTCATACTTTGCTCTGCGAGGGCGAAAGTACCGGTACTGCGGGGCGGGCATGCTTCTACGGCAATCACATGCTCGCGGAGGGTGCATGCGCACGCGGAGCCTGCGATATGGTCCGATTCATTCTCACGCCTACACGCACACGGGCAGCATGGCGACCATCACCGAGGGCACGTTCAAGCACGGCGATGCCGGCTTCTACTCCAAGACCTGGACGGTGAGTCTCAAGTGCGCATCGTCAAGGACGCGGCTGACGCGGTGCAAAGCCCCGAGGTCCCACCAAGGCCAAGCTCGTCTTCGTGCACGGCTTCAGCGAGCACATCAATCGCTACAATGACTTTTTCCCAGTCCTGGCGGCTCAGGGCATTCAGGTCTTTGCATGGGACCAGCGAGGATGGGGCCGCAGCGTCACCAAGCCTTCGGACAAGGGCCTGACGGGCCCGACGTCGCAGGTACTGGCCGACGTGGCAGCCTTTGTGCAGGACAAGCTGCCCCAGTCGACGGGCGGGGACCAGCAGGAGACGGCGCCCGTCTTCGTCATGGGCCACTCGATGGGCGGCGGCGAGATTCTGATGCTGGCGAGCGACGCGCAGTACGCCGAGCTGGTGGGCCGCGTGCGCGGCTGGATCCTCGAATGCCCGCTGGTCGGCTTCCCGGCGGGCGAAGAGCCCAGCAGCGTCAAGGTGCTGGCGGGTCGCCTCGTGGGCCGTCTCCTGCCCCGGCAGCAACTCAAGCACGTGGTGCCGCCAGAGCATCTCAGCCGGGATCAGGCCATTGTCGAGTCGGTGCGCAACGACGCGCTGTGCCACAACACGGGCACGCTCGAGGGGCTCGCGTCGCTGCTGGACCGCACGGCGATGCTCTCGTCGGGCCAGGTGCGGCTGGGCAAGCAGGTGCGCAGCGTCTTGCTCGCGCACGGTACGCAGGACAGGGCGTGTAGCTACGATGCGGCCATCAAGTTCATGGAACGACAGCATGCCGTCGAGGACAAGACGTCGAAGACGTACGACGGGGCGTACCACCAGCTCCATTCAGACCACTGCAAGGACGACTTCGCCAAGGACCTGCTCGGCTGGATTCTGGAGCGGTGCCAGGAGAAGGCGGCGTCGTCACCGCAGCTGGAGGCGAAGCTCTGACATGATGTACATGAGATGAGGCAAAGACGAGATTGAATGTCGGAGCTGGCTGACTTGCATCTCGTTCTGCCCGACCTGCAAAGGCGACGCGTGAACCAATTCAATGCTGCCTGCGATGACTACCTTAATAAGGCACTGTTCCGTCTCGGTCGGTTCTGGAATGGCAGTAGGACAGTCGACGGCACGAGTCTCAGCTATTGGTGGCTCCCGCCTGCCTCGCTCCAAAAAGGATGCCTAGTCTGCGTGCTCGTGCGAGGCAGGACGAGGCAGGACCGAGGCGCACGTGAACGAGGCAACTGTTTAAACGTCCGAGGTACGTCCGTGTCCTGGGTTTTGCTGTAATTACTTAATATCTACAAAAGGGAAGACTGTACCGTTACTTCGTCACACGTTCTGATTCTTCATGTGCGCAGGCCGCGATGACATCTCATGTCTCGGTTGGCGCGTGGCACCTTGGCCCGCCAATAACTTGGCTGTAATGTCCGTCGACGGCTGGCGCGACATATGCAACACTCTGCGTCTTGGGTTTCAGATCCCCCCCCCCCTCTTGCTCCTCCTCTCCTCCTCTCCTCCTCCTCCTCTACGCTTGGGGGTTCCGCTGCCGTGGGCGGTCTGCTGTGCCATATGAACCCATGCATGGAGCGGTGGTGGTCGGACGAGTTGCTCCAAAGCGGCGGGTGTCTGTGCTGTCTCCCTGCCACCTGCTTATCCCCCTTCTTCTCTCTCTCTATCTCTCCCTCTCTCTATCTCTCTCTCTCTGTTTCTCAACCACTCGCGCACCATGAGGGGTGCCAGACTGCGAGTAAGCAGAAGAAGTGTGAGCGACGTCACTGGCTGTCAACCCTCCGCTCCCCCTTCCCCCTCTTCCCCGGGGCCGCTCATCAGACCGTCCGCGGTTGGCTGCGGCAAAAAGGCTCCCCCAAACAACAGTCCCCATGATCGGCGGTAAATTCGCCGTCTGCCCTCATTGAACGCCTTGCCACGTCCCGAGTTCCTGATTCAGCGCGCACATGTTATCGCCAAGCAGCACCAACTCGCGCAAGCTAGCGCACGACGATGCCGCCAGCACCGCCGTCGAGCCCGTCGCCCACGACGCCTTTGAGCGCCATCCCTCGCACTCGCCCGACGTGGAGCGCCAGGCCGGCAGCGGGCCCATGTCGCGCCTCAGCGTCGAGAGCGACCCCTACGGCCTCATTACCCGCTACAAGACCGACTCAGACCTGGAGCAGCTCAAGGCAAACTCGTCCCGCAAGCGCCGCGGCTGCGCGCCCCTGACGGCCAGCGGCCCCGTGTCGTCGGCGGCCGGTCCCATGCCGCAACGCAACGTCCGCAAGCTTCGCGGCTTCTACGAGAACCAAAACGCCGTCATCGAGCGCATGCTCAAGTCGGTCGAGGAGCACCGCGCCGACGCCCGCCAAGAGCAGGGCGATGACCAGCTCAAGTACCGCATCGCCGTCTACGGCTCCTTTGCCGCCAACGTGGTGCTCGCCGGCCTGCAGCTCTACGCCGCCATCACGTCGGGCTCGCTGTCGCTCTTCACCACCATGGCCGACGCCATCTTCGATCCCCTCAGCACCATGACGCTCATCCTGTCGAGCCGCGCCATCAAGCGCGTCGACCCGTGCCGCTTCCCCGCCGGCAAGGCCCGTCTGGAGACGGTAGGCAACATCATCTTTTGCTTCCTCATGACGACCGTGTCCGTCGTCATCATGGCCTTTGCGGCGCAGGAGCTGGTGCAGGCGCGGCCGGACAAGCAATTCCACCTGGCCTCGGTCATCTCCGTCTGCGCCGCCTTTTCGACCAAGCTGGCCCTGTTTTTGTACTGCTGGTCCATCAAGGACCGATACAGCCAGGTCAACATCCTGTGGCAGGACCACCGCAACGACCTGTTTATCAACGGCTTCGGTATCCTGACGTCGGTGGGCGGGGCCAAGCTAGAGTGGTGGATCGACGCGACGGGGGCCATCTTGCTGTCGCTGCTCATCTCGGGCGTGTGGCTGCACACGGCGTTTGGCGAGTTCATGCTGCTCGTGGGCGTGGTGGCGTCGGTGGACATGCAGCAGCTGCTGACGTACGTGTGCCTGACGCACTCGCCGGCCATACGGGGCATCGACACGGTGCGCGTGTACCACTCGGGCCCGCGGTTGATCGCCGAGGTGGACATAGTCATGGACCCGTCGAGCTCGCTGGCCGAGGCGCACGACGTGGCCGAGGAGCTGCAGGTCAAGCTCGAGTGCCTGCCGGACGTGGAGCGGGCCTATGTCCACATTGACTACGAGACGACGCACAAGCCGGAGCACGCGTTCAAGAAGGACCTGTGAGACGGGAGAGGTGGAGATGGTGTTAGACGTTGTGGATAGGGGGGGGGGGGGTACGGGATACTGTCGGAAAACCACTGTGGCATGCAGACCAAGGTGAAGGGTGCACTCCCACGGGTGTAATACTGTAACCGCCAAATGAGTCCTATGGGTAATTCATGGAGGTGCTGGTGGCAGTGTGACAGATAATATGTACTACAGGACATGCCAAATATGAGTGGATGGCCTCGCCAGTGGGGGTGGTGGCAGGTGCATGTGTTTGGCCTGACATTTGGGTTTAGAGTATTTGTTTTAACACGCAAAAATGCATGAGACTGGCGAGGGATAATTCATCAGTGGCTGGGTGGCATACAGTATGTTCAAACGTATGGCGTTTGTGGGAGAATGATTTGCGGCACAGCGGAGGCATAATTATGTACTGTACGTCCGGAGTACTCCGTACACACTCGCTACTGCACCCAAGTACATACCTAGTTAGGTAGGTAGATAGTCATTACCCCGCATGAACTAGCACAGCGTGGGCAAGGATTGGCCGTGTACGGACTACGTACTCCGTATCGTACTTACAGGAAAATCATCCAAAGAAGCTTCATGTTTCGTGCGGGGGCGGGGGGACCCCTTTTGGAAAAGAGACGACGGCTTGCCAATGGCGGAGGGGTGACGGAGGAGCGCAATGCGTTCTAGCCATGCCCTGTGTGTGCGCGTGACGGCTCCTCGTCGTTGATCGGCGGGCGGCCATCGGAAGCTCCAGGGTAGGAGGACAATGGATGACAATGAATGGTCAAACTCGGCACCTATTGACCAACACAGAAGCACACACGCGTGCGCTGTGAAACGGTCGAGCCCACGCGCAACCGGCAGTCGTCGCGGCGACGGGCGGCGTCTTGCTTTTGTTGCCCGGCTGTCTCCAGCGAGCCGTTTGTTTCTACTCGGTACGTATCAACTTAGTTATTGCAGTAGACGAGCGCTGTGCTCTGCAAGTACCTGGTCCAGTCAGAAAGCGGACGGAGTAGCTGATACTCGCCATGCACACATGCACGAGCGACAGCGCCGATCCTTCGTCACCGGCAAACCTATGGTCATGTCCAGCCCCTCGCCTCGCCGAGACACGGAGATTGTACATACAGTACAGTGCTCTTTTCTTGAAAGTCAGGAACGGTAGAAGTCGGGATATTGCCGGGCGTCGCTGGCCTCGCAAGTCTCCACGCACAACGGCCGTTGATTGCATCGCCGGGACCAACAACATGTACCGAGTACGTACCAGGTGCCCAGAGCTTCAAGTGGCGTGGCGCTGACGTCGATAACCTACCTTAACCTACTAACCTACCTACTTAATTACCTACAGTCTAACTTACATACCTACGTCCACCCAAGCTTATTGGTAGCGCCCAAGGAGAAAATCCCACACCTCCTACCTAATACACCGTCCCTGGTTGACGATAGCGTCGTCCAGCCTCTCTCTCTCTCTTTCTCTGTCGCCTCCTCACGCCGGTCCCCTCCTCCGGCCTTGTACAGACCTCCCTCGCCGTCGCCCCTTGACGACCAATTCGCTTATGCACGCGCCCTTTGAAAGCACGCGCCTCCGAAATTACGAATAATCATAATACTCAGAGACGGCGCGAGCAACACCATTGGCACCCCTTGGTCGTTTTCCACTCTCCTCCCATGGACCGCAGGCTAGCTTGACTTTTGGGACCATTGCCCTTGTGCAACGCCGGGCAGCAGTCATGGCCGGTGAACAAATCTACGCGACGGTACGCTCAAGCCCGCCTGCATGGACGCGGCATCTCGAGACTGGGGCTTTGCTAACTCGTTTCTCGCCCGGACAGCTTCTTCTGGGCGACTCCTATCTTCCAGGTACGCCAATTCTTCTCCTTGCCGACACCGACACTGACTCTCCCCCCCCAGGCGCCCTCGTCCTGGCCCACTCGTTGCGCGATGCCGGCGCCACAAACAAGCTTGCCGTCCTCGTCACTCTCGACTCCGTATCTGCCGATGCAATCACGCAGCTCAAGGCAAGTGCCCTTGGCCATGTCAAGAGACGCTACCGTCGAGAGACCTTCGGGCAGCTGACTCTGCAAGCTCAGACCGTCTACGACTACGTCTGTCCCGTGCCGCGCATACGCAACGACCAACCCGCCAATCTCTATCTGATGAACCGCCCGGATCTGCATTCGGCCTTTACAAAGATTAATCTGTGGAAGCAGACCCAATTCTCGAAAATCGTCTACATCGACGCCGACGTCGTCGCCTACCGAGCCCCCGATGAGCTCTTCAACCTGCCACATGCCTTCGCAGCCGCCCCCGACACGGGCTGGCCCGATCTCTTCAACTCGGGCGTCATGGTACTGACGCCCAACATGGGCGACTTCTACGCCATGCTGGCCATGGCCGAGAGGGGCATTTCCATGGATGGTGCCGACCAGGGTCTCTTGAACATGCACTTTGGGCCGAGCTTCCATCGCTTGTCCTTCACCTACAACGTCACTCCATCTGCTCACTATCAATACGTTCCCGCCTATCGCCACTTCCAATCCAGCATCAGCATGGTTCACTTCATCGGCGCCAACAAGCCCTGGCTCGCCGGCCGCGAAGCCTACCATGGCAGCTCCCCTTACGACGAGATGGTGGGCCGGTGGTGGGCAGTTCACGACCGTCACTACAGAGCACGGGCACGCTGCCCCCCGAGCACAGTGTGCCTGCCAGCGGCCGGGAACGAGGATGCCAACCTCACTTTCGAGGAGCCGTCTTCGGATCACGCACAGTTTCCTTCATCCCAGCCCGTTCAGAGTTTTGGCAAGCAAGACTCCAAGCCCCAGCTTACCTCGGCTCACGGGAGCTCCGGCGAGAGCCACGGCCAAGGCGTTCAAGTCCCCGCAGCTTCATCCGAGGCCCATCAGCCATGGACTTCCCCTGGAGCCTCCATTCATGCCTCTTCCCCAGGCACATCTTTAGTCTCACAAAGCAGTGGCCCCGCCAATGTTTCGTCGAGGCCAACTGGTGCGGCTCAACCCGCGCAGCAGCCTTTTGAGCGACAGCATCAGCAGGCGTCGCCCCCCCAAGGCAGAGCCGAGCCACCTGAGCTACCCATGACCACTTGGGATGCCCAAAGGTAAGATTCAGCGCTGGCCGCTTTGAAACGAGCAACCGAGTCTGATATCCTTCTTCATGTGCGCAGGCAACCCCCTCCACCGGATTCAAAGCCCGAGGCAATTAATTTCCCTTCCACCCACTACGAGATGTCGCGAGATATCAAACCATTCGTCCCCCCCGTCCGGTATCCCAGCCCCCCAAAGAATATGTGGTATGAAGTTCCTGGCCCGCCGCCCCCGCCGCCCGCCGACACGCCCCCGCCGATATTTCCGTGGGAGAAGAAGCAGCCCAAACCGCCAAGGGTCTCCACGCGCAAGGAGCCAGAGGTGCCGCCAGCCGGGCAGGCGTCAAGAGCTATGCCGTCTGGTGAGCTAGGAGACGCAAAGAGTCCTCGTGCTCTTGCTGAGCCATGCATTATAGAGCCAGTCCTGGAGGGATCCAAAAGCGAACCCCAGACGCCCATCATCAAGATCGCCCCCTTAAACCCTTGGAGCTCGTTTCCGCGGCTCAACGCCTGGGATGACGTGCCAGAAATCGGCCGCTACGTCGAGGGTCTCCAAAAGCACCGTCGCGTGAAAAGTCAGGGGGCGGCTGGTGGGAGTCCGAGGCCCTCGGAGTCCGGCTTCGCTGCCGGTGACAGCGCGAAGCCGCGAATCATGATGAGGCTGACCGACTTCCCTAGCGAGGCGGAACGGCCAAGTCTGCCCGTCACCCCGGCGCCGGTCCGGCGTCCCTCCTACTTTGGCGAGGACGCCGCGGAGCCGGGCCGGGATGGCTCTGGAAACCAGCCACTCCCGGCGGCCGAGGGCGTGCCCGCGCAGACCGAATGGGTATGTGTGCATGGAAGACGGTGGGGGCCTGCAGACTGTCCTTGCAACTCGGCTGACGTGGGTAACCACCACAAGGACCCGGCGGAGCAGCTCCAGAAGCTGGCAAAGCAGCAGTCCGAGGCCATACTGCGCAAGCTGGGCGGCGAGGCCGAGGGTCCTCAAGGCACGGCGAGTCGTGAGATACCCTCGAGACCGCTGCCCTTTGGGTCGGACAGCGTCAAGCCCGCCACGTTTGTTGCGCAGTCGCTTCCGCCGAGCGTCTTGAGCCCGCAGCCCGTCAAGAGGGAGGTGTCGGCTGCGGGCATGGAGACGATGGCCGCCGCGGATGCCCCTGGCGGCGCGCAGAGGCAAAGAAGCGCCTCGTAGGAAAGAGAGGGAGAGATGGAACTTGTGCGCCTGTTCGAGGGTCGACGACACCGTGGTTGAAAATATTTTGGCTCGCCGTAGCCCCCATATATGCCCCCCCCCCCTTCTATTAATCTTGTACATTTGCCATTGAGACATGCCAGCGGACGGTGAGATGTACCACGGAGTCGACTGGGCTGTATTCTCTTCTTCCATCCTTACTTATTGGCTTACTATGCATGGCATCCGAGTCCGTTCTTGCCAGGCCGACGCGCATCGTCGTCGGCCTCATGGCCGGGACTCGCGCAAATAGTCATAAAGCATATAACTCACTACCCGTTTCTGCCGCACGGGAAATCTCCCTCCCACCGGACCCGACGGTCAGCGAACGCTCACAGAAAGGGGGGAGGGGACGCTCCACCTGATCCTCTGCTTGCTCCTCCCCTTTCCTACGCCGGTCTTATGCCAGGCGTTGTGACATGTCGGACCTGCCAAACCCCTCGCTCTCCTACGCCTCTGTCGTTGGGTCAAAGTTGCCATGTGCAACATAGGCTTTGTTGTCGAGATGTAGGAACGGCGCAACTAGGTTCATTGCGCATCGAGTTCTCTAATGATACAAAGCCCGTCGTGTCCGCTCAAACGCCGTCGCCGTGCACGACGGGAAGGGGCTTGTGTTGCGCTTATCCTATCCCATCTGCAGGCCAAAACGCACTCGCTTCTTCCCAGCAATTAAAGATTCTTATTCATTCTTCATCACGGGCCTCTTCAATCGTGACCGCCCTCCCCTTGCCCTTGGGAGAGGATCCATCTGCCTGCTCTCCCTCGTCGACTTCACCTGCGCTGCCCTCCCGTCCACCGCCATCTGCCGCAAAGCTTGGCCCTGCACGTGGTGCGGATCCATCTTCGGGGGTCTCGTTTTGCAGCCCGCCCGTCTCCGTCTGCGAGCTGTCCATCTCGTTCGGACCAACCCGTGGTGCACTGTTGAATAACTGAGCCGAGCCGCCCCAGCTAGGCATCACAGGGCTCGGCGCTGCCATGGCCGCCGGCTCCGCAGCTCTGGTGCTCTGGGCTGCTTCCAGAGGACGGCTTGCGGATGGATCCTCGGCAGGGATTGCCGAAACAGCAGATTCTCCGGTTTGGCCTTCGCCAACCCCTGTCCCCATAGAGACAGGCGTCGTGGATTCATTTGTCGTGCGGTTCGTAGTTGAAGAATCCGCATTGAGCGGCGAAGCGGGCTGAGTAGGAGGTTGGCCGAGGTTCGGAGAGCCGTCCAATCTTTGCAGAGGCATCAGCGACCATCCAGGGGGCAAGGCCACACCCTCAGGAAGTTCGGCACTACCCGCGGGAATGGCGGGCGTGTTTCCTGTCGCCCCGAGGCGGGCCATGAGCGGACTCCCCGATCGCGGTGGAGCGCCGGGGAAAATCGGCAGGCCCGGAAACTGTGGTTGGTGCCCTTGAGCAGGCACCTGAACATGCGGGAAAGGTAGATTCACGGGGACGTTTGGAAGCAGACCGGGAGGATGGGGTGGTCCGCTTGGAGGCTGGTCTTGAAATTGCTGCCGACGCTGTTGCAGCCGTTGCAGCTCGACCATGAGCAGTTGCGCAATCTGGAGCTCTTGCTGGGCCATGTGCAGACGCTGCATCTCTCTTTGCACCATCTGTTCTGACTGCTGGATAAGATTGCCAATGCTTTGGATATTGTCGCCAATGGTAGGTTGGCTCTGCGTGGGCGTTGGAGCCGGAGCAGCCGCCGGAGGCGGATGACCGGCGATCTGCGGCACGCCGAACTGTCGCGCGAGCTCTCGAACCTGCTGATTGTTGCCACCAAACCCCAGACGAATGGGTCCGAGGTTGAATATGCGCGGGCCCCCCTCTCTGGGAGCCCGTTGCTGCTCATCCTGTCGCCGTTGACCAACCGCCGCCTCGTCGTTGCCCGCGGGAGCTTGTTGACCTTGAGGCCGCGGCACACCACCAATCTGAATACCGATCCGGGCAGCCCCGTTCTGGGGCCCACGGGCGCGGTCTGCCGTGACCGGACTCCTGCAAGTAGGACACACTTGCTGACGCTCGAGCCAGCTCTTGAGGCAGCCCAGATGCAGAATGTGGCTGCATGGAAGCTTCTTGGGGCGCACTCGATCGATGGCGCTAGGGTTGCCTACAGGGTCCCAAGGCCTCATTTCCTCGCGGCAGATGATGCATGTGTTCTCCTGAGCGAGGTCTTCGGCGGTTGCGTCGGGGTATCGATTCATTTCCTGAATAGCTCGACGGTAACGCAACAAGGCATGCAGTCTCTTGACAAAGTCTCGTGACGTCATGAACAGGTCCCTCATGATGTGTATGGGAAGCCCATAGAACATGAGGAGCATGAAGAAGAAGGCAACGTAGATGCCGAGCTTGATCATGTCTTCTGCCCGTTAGTAACGGGACCCAGGCGCATTGGTTGCCAAACGTCGGCTTACCACTCAATAAATCCAGCCACAATACCCATTCGCCCTTGGTGGCCCAACCAGGCACTTCAATGTCCATCTCGTCGACGTCATCCTCGCTCGGTAGCGGTTCGTCATTGGCGGGCGTTTCCTCTCCGGCCGCGGCAGCCTGCTGTCGCTGACGAATGATGGACTCCCGCTGCTCCCTGACCTCTTGTCTCCTCTCTAGCAGGCGCTTCCTTGTTTGAACCTTGACAATGTTCTGTTCGGCGAGGACGAGGATGTATCTAGCCCCAGTCCGCCAGGAACAGGTTGCCAGCACTGCGAATTCGAAGAGAAACATGACCATCATGTTTGGACGAGCCTGCTGAATCACATTATGAACCGCATAGCGCAGTATCCAGACGTCGTAGAGAAAGCTCATGGCGAGAGAGATGCTGAGGCGGAGGTGGAAGAGTCTCGGGTTCGGAGGCGGCTGTTGTTCAAGGAACTCGACCCGGCCGTCGCCTATCCAACCCCAGACCTTTCCCGTAACAAGTGCCGTGAACATGACTAGAAACCAGGCTCCTATCTCCTCTCTGAATATGGTCATGGCCAGGCATGTTTCTGTGATGGCGAACCAAGCTCGTTCTGTGAGTTGCTCGACCTCGACGGCTCGCAGAGTGCCGTAGCATAGTCGCGTCAAGCCGTAGACAAAGCTGCTATAAAGCAGCAGGGAGAAGTTGACCAGCGCCTGGAAGCAGGTGAGCCGTCAGTTTCGGTGCAGGCGACCGGCGTTCCCTAGCTAGGAGGCATAAAGGGGAGGAGCATACCAGCAAACAAAAGTTGCTCTGGGCGAGATAGACCATGGCCGAGTAGAAGTTTGCACGCTGATGGAAGGCGGACATGATGACGGCACCCGCAAGGGCCGTCGAGACCTAGGCCAGGCGTCAGCGTGAGCTTTGTGGAGGGCTGCGAAGAGCGCGAAGCCTCGCGCAAACCTACCCCAGCATACCAGCCGAGACGCATCTTGGACATGGGGGCCAGCTTTCGGACAGAACGGAAGGGTCAGGTTCCCCCTACATCCCCGTAATTGAAGCTGTGAACGCGTCGATTGATGCCGGATGCTGGACAAGTTGAGAGACGTCGGCACTTGGGCTGGTTACCTTTGTTGCCACGTTGAGTAAACTCACGATAAGATAGCGACGGGTAATGATGACGCAGGGGGTCTCGAGCTCTTTCACGTGACGGCCAGCAACGGTAGATATCACCGAACTTTAGCCGGCCGCTGTTCATGTCTATACCTAGGTACCTAGTACCAAGTGTACCAAGTACCTCCCTCTCTCTTGCTACTACCCCGTGAGCTGTGGCAACCTCAAGGACTCTCTACCGAAGATTCTCTCGTTCAGCATTAACCTATAACTTATATCCGGACTACTGGAGACTGACCATTGGTTCATGTTTGCTAAACCGCGGCCAAGACTGCTTCTTACTGTAAAGTTGATCGTCAGTCGCAGCAGCAGCAGCGGCTCCGCGTCTCCCCTCTTGGCTGGACGGACATGACCTTCCACCAGCTGGTTAACCCATTGGCCACGAAAACGCCTTTCTTCACGTCCGACCAGTCGTCTTCGCAGGCGCATACCGACAAGATCGTCCAATCCGAGACACCGTAAGATGCGTCGCCTTCCAAACCTGTCGTCTTGGGTAGTAAACACGGTCTGGCCGGTGACGGGAAGAGAGCGACCTCGCCAGATAATGACTCTGGTATCCACGAAAGCACGGACTGGGCTCGGCGAACCCGTTCAGCTTTCGATTGAACATGGCGGGCAGCCCGATGTGGACGCGGATACCAAACACTCGATGCGCATACTACATCAAGGCATACCACCTTTCTACGACGACACCCCTTGACCCGGTAGACCGACCGCTCCTCCTGCCAGAACTCTGTGCCTTGCACACATGAGAAGAGCGGAGCTGTTTCTCACCGACGTTTTGGTTGCCTGCCCCAAGCATGTAACCTGCACGGGTCATTGTGTAACCCGACGCTGACTCGAAAATGAAGATGAAGCCGGCCATTGCCTCATCTACCTCTGCCGCTACGGGCGGCTTAATTTGCACCTCGACGAGCATGGTTGCACGATTCCACCGCAAGGCGCATCGGGCCCAAGCTGCAGCGTAACCTTCGGAGCCTAAAGTCGAAGACAACGGGCATTCATGACGGTGGCATATCAACACCGCACTCGGCTCGTTGACAGCCAGCCACGGCTTCGCGAGCGCCGAGAGGGCTAAGGATACTTGGTGCCTAGGGAAATCGACCATACCGAGACGACAGGAGGGATGCTGTGCGTCATCCTATGCAGATGATTCCCCGTTGGTGCTGAAAGAATGCACCTAGGCACCCTGTTCTATCAGAGACCAAGTCTATGCAAGGCGGGCGGGCGGGAGAACACGGCAGTGCCTGCGGAGTTCTAAGCGAGGGTATGGACGATGCAGCGGCGCTCCCGCACAATGAGCACATATTTACCATCTGACTTGGTCGGTGCTCCGACTCCGGGTGCCAAAAAGGCGAGGCGCATGCTAATGACACGGGTGCCAGATACGTTGCAACGTTGGGCCCGGAGCTTACATGGCTCGTCCCATGGTGCGATGCATGGTGGTAGCATTTGCACTGCCATGTCGGTCGGAACAATAAGAACTATGGCACTACATGTGCCATACCAAGGCAGTTTGCAGAGCAAAGGGCGCTGCAGTGCGTTCAAGTGTAAGTGATGGCTCGGGAGCACGAGCAGGCGTTCGGTGCTTCGGGCGAGGCGAGTGCCTTGACATGCATGCTACACCACCACTGGGGGCGAGGCCATCTCCTGCCGAGCCGCGCTCCTCCGGGACGACGGCATGGATGGACGGACGGATAGGCGTGACCCGGGCCATGTGCTCTGGACTGCACTTTGCGCCCTCGAGGAGCGGCCGGGCGCAAAGGACCAGCACACGGGATGCAGCACACGGGATACAGAGCATCGCGCCTAGCATACTGTACTGTACTGTACATGTCTTGCTGCGGCGAAATGGATAGCTGCCGGCGGGCTTCGGAGCCGCGGCCGCCCCTGTCCCCTTGTTTCCCCGGCGTCACCGGCATCCGGATCCCACAGGCGATGAGATGCCGTGTTGTGGTGGTGGAAGTTGACGAGGCGTTCCCATCGGCTGACGTTTTCTACAGGCCGAGGCCGACTTCCATTGCTCACCCCCGTCTCTCTTTGTGTGTGCGTACAGTACACACATACTGTATGTATGCCTGTAGTCTAAGGATTCACTCGTTGTTTTTGTTTTCCTTCAATAAAATAAAAAATCATCGACAGCCACCTCATCAGCTCCGGAGAGCCAGGACGTCATGTTCCCCCTTCCCCCCCGGCTTTCGACTCTCGAGGGAGCGCTCAGGGGGACCAACAACCGAGACCTTGGTACCATACATACAGATGGAAGCATGCAACTTACTGGAGGTTGTGCATCCATGTGCGAGCCAACCACAACAAGTGTTGAAGTTCGGGAAGACGCAGTACCTTTGGTCCCCGAGAGCGGGCTTCTTCGGGCTTCACTCCACCTTGGGCGTGTCATGACAGATTTGCGGAGAAGAGAGACATGCAAAGAGTACCAACACCTCATTTCAGCATGCAAAGGCCTGCAGTGTCCCGTCCATCAAAGTGAAGCCCGCATCCGCGCCCACGTCCACCGTCGACGCCACCAAGAGCTACCCCTGCAGCCTAACAGCATGTTGTATGTTGTGGTGACGGGGAGGGGAGGCGCTTCTCTATCATGTTAGCGGTCCTCGGTGTGTGCATGTATGACACGGACAGACAAGATGGAGGTGTGCACACACACATATGCATGTGGGTGAATCTCGTTGGTGCAGCTCCCTGATGCGCATTTTCGGTACGACTGCAACGCTGACGCCAGCGGAATGGCCATGCTGTATGCACCAGGCCTGCCTTGGCGGGTTGCCTCGTCGGCACAGAGTCTCATCCAGTCCAGAGGGATGGGTGGTACTCGTTCTCGCTTGCCGCCTCCACCAACGGCCCGGGAACCCTTGACCTGCTGAAGGCAATGCAAGTGCGCGTGGACGATGGAGGAGAGGGTGTCGTGAAGCCTCGTCTGCCCTGACTTGTATGTCATGTATGTCATGTATGTCATGTATGTCATGTATGTCATGTATGTAGCTGCACAAGACACGCCTCGGGCGAGACATGCGTACCAAACGCCGGGACACGCTGCTGTTACCTGTATGCCTCTGACCTCTGACGTATGGATATGCTGCAGAAGGCGGGACAGTATGCCGCGCTGCTGCACACCAAGAGCCTTTGGGATCGGGCGACGATGGGGAGCCTTGGAATCATGTCGTCGCCATCGACTCCCGGGCAAGAGAGAGAGGGAGCAAGCTCCGGTCAACTCGCATGTCCGTCCTTGACCCTCGTTGTCGCGGCCACACACGCACGCACGTGGCCAAGCCTGTCCCGCTGCGACAAGGCGCGCCCCATGACATGCAACAAAGTGAGTTGATTTAGTCTAGCATACGCGATTACACTTTACCGGGTATAACGTAAGCCACCGTCTTCTTACATGACCAAGCCCCATTTTGCACACTACGGTGACTGACTTATAGGCTCTCTATAGAGCCTTCTGCCTACTATAGCAACATTTTTTTTTTAAAAAACGAACTTGATTTTTCCTATTTCTGTCTAGAAGCACAATTTCAAGACTCTCCTAAAAATGCGGTCGATTCCGTGCGCCGCAAGTTGCGCCTTCGATCCACTATGATGATGTCCACTATCCGCTATCGTCTTCGAGGCGGTGGTCTACCAAAGATGCGCCTCCGCCCCCGTGCCTTCGAGGGTTACAGACATGAGGGCCCCTCCCTTTCCCGGTCTGTTCCTCACAACCATCTCCGTGCCATTCTCAAAAGACACGCCAGCTGTGCTGCAGCCGAGGTAGTGCTTCTGGCTCCAAGTCTATCCTGTCCCATTTCGACTTATCGATGGAATCTTGACAGACCTCGCCGATGGGATCTCTTCCGAGCCCTGTACTCGTCAGCACTTGAGTAAATCTACAAACAAGTTGGGACCTCTGGGGCCACCTAAACACGGCATTTCAGCCTGTTGGCTATATCCCCAAGTCATCCCGAGAAACAATCTCCACTTCAGAGGCGCGAAACCCTCGGCCAGTTCTTCCCCAGTCTCCGTCGGAGCCATTGAAGTGGCTGGACCACCTCCAACATCAACAACTCGGCACCGCACGCAACAGGTTCCTTCCTCACAGCATCAAAGGCGAGCCTGGAAACATTTCGGGTATAACTCTATGTCTCGTCATGCCCTCTGCCTCGAAACTCGAGGGGCTTTGCCAGGCCTGGTGCGGCTGTTCTCGCGCTCGGTCTGCTCCTGACGGGCATCGACTTTTCGCCGGGTGATGAAGCTGTCTTGAGATTCTGTCATCGCGCCGTCAGCGTCTTTGCGGCTCGTCCCGATCGTCGATTCCGGCACCCATTCCACATTTACAATTCTGCCATGGAGACTTGGACGTTTGACAGGGCTGGCCAGAGCTTACAGCGGCAAGCCATTCGATATTGTGCAGGAACCCCATCGTTTCAGGGACATCGTTTCTGGGTACATGTCCATGGATGCTGATGGTCTGGGCTTGAATCCGTTCTTATAACACAATGATCAAGGAGTCTTCGTTGAGCTCAAGGAACAACACCACTCTTCGGTCAAAAGACTGTTTGTCGACGACGATGCATTTGTGAAGCGGGACTACCTTGTGGGACCTGGTACAAATCTGCTTCGAGGCACGTATTTCGGACTCGTCAGATCAAGAGCTGGCCTTCAAATATGCCTGGGGCCATGGCGAGGTCTCTGCCGAACGGAGGCTCCTACAATTTGCCAACCAAAACAATGTTCGAGGCGTTCTCAGGACTTGGGCGATGTGGCACGTCTTCGACAAGGACTGCAGTTCGGCTAGCCATACCAGTTCTCGCTTCCTCGTCTGGAGGCTGAGGA